GGGGGGGGGGGGGGGGGGGGCTTGTTTGCGCCACGACTTGACAAAGACAACACCAAAGAGGCCGGCAAGTACAAGCAGCGGTCGACCTTCTGCTTAAAGATCCGTAGCTAATGACCCAGATTTTCCTCCTTCCGTACCTCATTGCACCATTACCGGCGAGTGTTACAGTGGTGCCCATGACTACGAGCACCAGTAAAGTATAGCGTTATCGTGTTATCGGCACCTTAGGTCTACTTTCAAGTAGTTTTTGCATCTGTCGTGTAACTGTCGTGACACGGACACCTCGGTCCAAAGCACATCACCGGACCGGTCAGTAAGTCTCAAGGGCTGGATGGATATGGGCAATCATGCGGCTGGTCGGTTCGCCAGGGTGGTTTCCTTGGTGATGACACCATCATGCATCATGCATCATGCAGTATCCTTCTGACAGCTGATTGGCGGGATCATGAACTCGAGTCTCGGGCGAAATGCGCTGTCCTGTATCCGTTGCTAAGACTGCTAAGACTGCTATTGCTGCCATTGCTGTAGCATGCGCTTCTTCGTGAGTAATTTTGCTCGAAGCATGTGCTTGACCCTTCTCGCGATGAAATGACAGGAAAGCCGTTTTGTTTTGGTACCGAAACCCGCTGTGCGGTACGGCACATGTTCCCGATAGGGGTTACGCGGAGAGAGTGGCATAAAATATTGAAACGAAAAGCGTCCGCGCAGTACACCAATCACCAAACACACCTGTGTTATGAAACTGCCGGGCGAGAGCTCTTCTTCGTCGACATTCTTGCCACGCCTCGGGGTGGTCTGCATACGTTACAGAGCAGAACAGAACAGAACAGAAACGGGACACCATGATAACAACCGATGCAGTGTGGATCACAACGTTGAGATTCGACACATCATGGAGGAAACGCTGACACCCAATCACCAATCGCCCCAAAAGACTGTGCACCATCTGTCCTGTCCCAAATCTCACATGCACCACGCTGGTACAACATGAAACGCCCAACAAACACATTCCAAGCTTGGGTAGATCGATGACGTGTTCTAAATGAGAGTATACTAGTGTCGTACATATAGTTGAATATTCGCTTGTTCAGATCGGTCAGCCAGTTGCAGCGGTGGACACAAGACCACTGCAACCGCTTCAAAATATTTTTTCCTCCCTACAATACAACAAGGCACAGACGCACACAAGAAAGCAGCAGTGGCGACCACCCAAGATGAGCGACGGCACGAGCACCAGGTCAAGCCGCAAGGTTTCAAAGACGAAGCCAAACCATAACCATTACACTAGATTAGCCGGCGCTCATCAGTCTAGTCTAATGGTTTGATTCCGGCTTCTAGAAAAGATAGCCGTGGGGTTCGAATGCCCGAGACAATCGTTCTCACCCTCTTCACCAGTGGCTTGGGGTGGGGGGTACCCTTCCTCTTCCGGGGCTCGGGAGCCGCCATCGCCATCGCCATCGCCATCGCCATCGCCGCCGGCTTAGGCGGGGGGGGAGCCATGGCCATGTGCGTGGACGAGGAAGTCGAGGAGACGCCACGGTCATTGCTGCCACGGTTGGCACCGCTCTTCTTCTTGCGCTCATCCTGAACCAAACCGTACATATGCACACGAGGTGCAAAAGTACACGTTAAGCTACATGCGCCGGAAACCGCTTGCCCGTGGCGGGTCAATGAGGCAACGCGGGGGTTGTGTAAGGCAAAAACGGCAGCAATAACCGGAAGTGCTGACGAAACACCAACATGCATTGAAGGCGGCCGGCTCAGCTTCTAACGACATTGTAGCTACTCGTAGACGTGAGAAGCCGGTAGAGTACATGTGTGTCAGGACCGAGGGAAGAATAAGGGTAAGGGGTCCTCTCCTCTGAAAAGGGACACGACGACACGACAGGTCTGTTCACGCCTCGAACGACATTCCAACCACGGGTCGGTCCGTCAAGTTCGTAACACGGTAGAACGTTCTTGTCCGATCCTCCAACTGGCGGCATCGCACGTACATGTAGCAGCCGCAGCACGTGACAAAAGGGTACCGCATATACCACCTAAACAGGATAGTTCGACCGAGTTACAGCTACAGCAGTAGCCGCCAACCACAAGACCCCGACGAAATCGGCGCTGCACTTACGTTACCAGCAGTAGCTTCACGAGCTGCACCGGCGTCCAGGCCTGCCCCTTCCGGCACCTCCGCGACCACATCCTCTACGCGCAAGCTCTCGTCCTTGGCCCCGGCACCATAATCAACAACGTCGCTGGCAACACCACCGGGCACACGACCAGCCTCCTCTGTCTCCATGCGAGCCTTCCGAGCCTCTTCTTCTGCAGCGAAGGCATTGGCTCCTTGGAGTCAAACAGGGCATACAGGTAGGTACAGGTGAGGACTCCCTTCACAGCTTCGTGGCAGGTAAGGCCGCGGGTGGCTTGGAGTGAGTCAGACGGTAGGCGCCATAGTATGCCGACAGAACATTGGGGAGGCGCGCTGCCGCGCGCTGGATCAACTGGTCTCGCCGGACCCAAACATGAGCTGCTTTCGCTTTCGATACTGCCTCCCCATACAAGGGCATCTCGACGGCGCGCAGACTCAAAAAGCAACACCCAGCAGCCGTTCCTCGCAATCAAACATGTGCTAGACATTGAGATGGTTTGTCGAACGTGCACCCGACGCGCGGTGATGCCTACAGCGAGATAGCCATACACCACATCTCCGGTTTCGGAGGCTGTGATGAATACTTGTAGTATCCTTATTTAGAGGTCCATATCAGGCACAAAGCTTGTGCGAGGTTGTGACTCTCTTCGTACGCCAAGTGATCGCCGTCTACAAACCATGTATCATGTGCAGCTCCTTCCACGATAAACGCAACGCGCGGGTCCCCCACCAGGAAAAACGAAAATAGCAGCAGAATTACTATATATTTTTTTCTACAGCACAAAGCAGAATCCAATGTCAACGTTGCCACAATTCAGCGCACCCCAGCGGCTTGGGCCTGTTTTTCCTAGTAGTAGTGGAGTACTGCATACAGGTTCTATGGTACACACGGTACACAGTACAAACCAAGCGAGGGTAATCTTCCCACCAAGGCTGGACTTACTGACACAACCTTCCATGCGTACCGTGAGTTATCGTCAGCTTCGACCTTCCCTCGGGAATGGGTTAAGAACGTCCAAAAACACATCGCAGTGCCGGGAGCCGCATGCTTTCGCTATTTCAGGAAAGACTCTTGGTACTGCAGGGTATTGAGAACGGCTTTAGTGATAAAACGGTGACGAAACGGTACTCGAACTTTGGGCCAAAATCCTCTGCCTTCCCGACGTCGCTGGCTGTCTTTCTTGGGTTCGGGGTGCCTCTCGGCAGAGCACACGTTGTACACTACGTACGTACGGGAAGCCCCAAAACGTAAGATACTGCTGCTAAATCTCGTTGAAAAAAAGACACCTGTGCATTGGCGAAAGCGTGCAGGCAAAAACTGCTGTAGGCTGTGATGATACGTGATGATGGCAGAATCTACAGCGGCTTTCCACCTTTCAACTCACGTGCGATGACACCCTCGTCGATGTCGCTAACGCTCAGATCACTGTCGTCGTCGCTGTAGATCACTCCCGAAAAGGATTCGTTTCCCTCGCCCCTTGCCGACGCGCCGCCTTTAGCCCCTGCTGACCACAGAACACCACAGCCACAGCAGCAGCACCAGCACACAACTTCAGCGGCCGAGAAAACTCGCACGTTTCGATCAACCCCACATGAACAAAACGTAATGCGCCACGACAGCAGGAGTGCAGCCTTCGCGGCCACCGCTCAAGGCTCGCTCCCCCAAGAGTACCAACGAGTAATTAGGCGTGACGAGAAACCACGCAGAGAGCCTTCTCAAACAGCCGTGGAGACTATGTTGCCGGGCAAAAATATAGAGTGATGTGTTGCCGACAGTTTTTCTAAAGCAGTGTTTAGCGGGCGGGTAAGATAGGCCACTGTCGCACCTTTCGCCCCGCGAAAAGACTGAAGCGAAAAAATTATCTGCACCTGGAGCGGATAACTGGGTGCATGTACTCACGTGTTGCAACTTCTGAGGAAGCCGTACGCCAATGATTCCTTCCAACAGTTCGAAAATTCCAATTCCAGCCCCCCTAACCCGACCATCGTTTTCTCAATGCTGGGTCAGAAAAAGTACCATGTGTAAAACGAAGACCCTCCGTCCGTCCTAACCCTCAGCCAAACAATAATGGTGCCCTTCCCCTGCAGAAGCGACGTGCGACTCTAAGATAACCCTAACCTAGGTGTGCTCAGCAGAAGCGACCCTCGTACTTGTTGGAATGTTTTTCCCATCACATATACTCATCATCGCTTCGCTTCGTGCAGGCACCATTTGACGCATTGTCGTGATCGGTGCCGGCTGGCTTCAAAAATTCCGTGAAAATGACGGGGTACAGGCTGCACCTGAGGAAGCGGCTTGCGAATCTCCTTCTTGTTCTTCGTTAGCATCTCTCATCCAGTCCGGCGAGGCCCCGCTCCTTGTCGTAAGGCTCGTGTTGCTACCGCTGCCACTCGTACTCGAGCTGGCACCACCACGGCCGCCGCTCTCCTTAGCAATCTTGGAAAAGTTGAGGTTTTTGATGGCCGACTGCGCGCTGCCAGTGTCATCCTCCGTGCTCAGATCGTTCGGGTCGTAGCGGAACGGAGTGGAGCTGCGCTCTCAAAGTCGAAAACCACCCCGGAGCATCAACCAGCCACCACCCCAAGCCAACCCATCGGGGCATGAAATGAAACAGCCAACACGGTAGGTATTAGGTATTAAAGCCAAGAGCAGCGACACGGCGATTGACGGGCAAGACAAAGGCAGCGTTTGGTCAACGATGTGCAATGATGGGTCATGTGCTATGTTATTGATAGGGAATCGGATACGTTACGCTATTGCATTGCATCCATGGGTTCAACGACTTCCAGTCAGCATTCTGCACCATCTACCTCGAGGCATAAACAAGGCTCACGGGTAGGGCCAAGGGAACCGTGCCAACCAATCCAATTGCGAAAGTCAACCGCCAGCGTAGAATTTCGGAACAGGGAGCAGCAGTCAAGCAGGCGATTGGCGGTGCAAGTAGCGTAGGTCAATACCAAGCAGCACGACACAGAACAAAACAACTTGAGCGAGAACGGCGCTGAACACCCGAGCTGCCCGAGGGCAACCCCCTTCTCTTCTCAACAGAATACTACTACTTCCAGCAAGAAGCGACAGACAAGATGGATACAACAGTAGCTTTCGCCCACTCCCTGCCTTCGCCCTGTCTATCTCTTCATTTGCTTCGAAGTAACGCGTCGAGATTGTCACAGAGCATGTGTGGGGAGTGGGGAGTACCATGATGCGAAAACTGAAAATTCTCAGCGTGCCAAACGCATAGGGTGTCGACGACGCTGCCGTCGCCGTCGCTATAAATACAGCGCCAGACACCTATACAGTGGTTCCCCGACTAAGGCTGTGGTGGGCAGCTGGCAGAATGACCAACATACATGGGGCAGCCGCCTTGTTCAATGTGTAGCACACCTTGGTTATTCCGTCCATGCCAGCCAATTCAACCCCTATACATAGGGCGACCGACTTATTCGGGGACCTCCACTGTGAAGGGTACATACAGTACAGGGGGTTGCCACCCCACCCTACCCTACCCTACTGCACTGGGTCACAACATACCTCGCAGGCGAGTTGCTGTTTGCGGCAGAGTCGTTGAGAGACAAGCCATCGACCGAGTCCTCGAGGAGACGATCGATGTCGGCTTCCGCACGGGCGTTCATGCGGCCTTCGAAGGCGGCCATGACCTAGAGTGTACAGCATCACGAGATGGAGGCAGAAAGACAAGCAGACGGATAAGAGAGACAGAGGACGCTGCGTCACCCAGGAGGTTGACGTCTGACGAATCAACGCCAATGTACATCAGAGCTGCTGCATTCCGTCAGCCTGCACAACATGTGTTGTTTGAAACATACCCAGTCTCCAGGCAGTCTGCAGATGTTGAGCCTTTGATCAAGTCCAACTCAAATAAACGAAAGGGTCAAGCACGGGCACTTCAAAGCAGACGTGAATTCGAAGTAGCTTGGCTTGGCGGCACAAGAAGAGAAATATGTGAGATTGTACGGTACCTGGTATGGAAGAACAGAATGGCAGCATCACAACCGTAGCTGGCGAAGCAATTGCTCCGCTCCAGTGTGACTCCGCCCCGGCTGGTAGGGTGCGTCTCCATGCTTACAATACTCCAACGACGCAGCCGATACACTAATGGTGCCATACTTAAACGAGACTGCCCCAAACTTCTTGTGGACATTAGTCGCGCACTCGCTTCCGTCAGCCATGAGGCGTTAGGCTCACTCACCTTGGCCATGACCTTTTGCTGGGTAGGCATGGAGATGTACGCTTCGCCATCGTCCAAAAGCTTCCTAGCCTCGAGATACATACCGGCGTCCTGAACAAGCGTGACATGGCCGTGCCGTGGCATATGTATGCGTAACATGGCGGCGGCAGTTTCAAACCATACAGTTCGCACTTTCAAACCGTACAGTACCGTACGGCAGCGTTTGGAGTGGTCGAAAACCATACGTGCTTCTAGAGGTCGGAGTGACGTTGCAAAACCAAATTGGAGGTTGTAAATGTATGGTGAAACGAGACGATGCGCGAAGAAGAGTTGCACCTCCACCGCTCGTGACCTGCTACTCCAGTCGAAGAAGCGGTCGCGTTGCACCCGTCGAAGCTTTCATCCACGACACCCCCTCACACTCGCCTCTTCGAGCTTTGCACGAGCCGCCCAGTATAGCGCTAGCTCGCCCACTCCTCGTCCAGCGCCGGCGCAAGACAGCAGGTCTCCCAATAGCGTGCGCGCAGCGTCAACGCCCGCGATCTGAACAACCCGGCACACCGTTTGCACGGCAGAAACAGTTCAGATGCAATATTCACAAGCATTTAATGCTTGAGGTAGAAACCACTACCCACCGATAGTATCGCTCTGCGACACTGATGTGCAGCCTTGCGGTGTTGTTGACTTTGGTAAGGTGTAGGATTCGGTCGACTATTCAAAACACTGTTGCAGACAGCTACAGGTGCATCACCGCCGGTTGACGGCTGCCGCGCCCTGCGCAGTGATTCCGTAGGCTTCCAGGACAGCCCTAGACAAACCGAATCCACGTAGGTACGCCGTGACCTACGCAGGCTAGAGTTCGAGGATGATTTGCAAAGCTATATTTGAGGGAACTCTCGATTCTACCACACGCTAACCGAGCAAGCTTGAGCGAGGTTTTTATTATTCACGCAGGCACAGGAAGGACACGCGTTATAGGGCACCAAGAAAACAAAGGTTCATACGCATGCTATTTCACTTCCAACTACCGCAGATCGCCTGGGGTGACGTCGCCTGACACTTGGTTCACCTCCAGCAGCATGTTGGCCTCGCTGATCTGGCTCTTGAGATAGTCCGACACCTCCTTCGTCCTCGCGGAGTCCAAGCTCCGGCTCACTCCGTTCACATGCCCAGGTACCCTTGCAGCCGCAGCTGCCTTTGCCTTTCCCTGTGCCCGAGCGGTGGGAATCACAGAGGCTCCCCCTCCTGCCGCTGCCGCTGGTGCCGAAGGTGCGGGCGCTGGTTTGTCCGCTGCTGCTGCTGCTGCTACGGCGGTGCGCTTGAGGCGCTTCTTGAGGGAGTGGATCGGAGTTCCGGGCTGTACGCGGCGTTCGCTGGCCTGCTGTATGCTTCTTGTGTCCACCTTGCCGCGAAAGAAAGGAAACACAAGCGCCCGTTGGCATGGCGTACCGAACGTCAACCACACTACACAGCGGCATCGTTATCGTTTGTACAGCATGGAATACAAAGTTTTCAAACTCTACAACACCAAGGCCGCCAGCCTTGTCTGGAGCGCGCACCCTGAGTGATCATGGCGTGGGGTTGGTAAACAACCCCGTGTGTATGCATATGCATATCATAGAGGGCGGGAGAGGTGGGCGTAGTTTTGGGGACCGGTTATAGCCTTGACCTACCCATACAGATAGATACGGAGAGATCGTTCGGATGCAGCGCCTCAAACAAGGAGGGAGGACATGTGTGATGACGTCACCATGAGGGTGTGACAGGTGACAGGGTTTGATGTACCGAGGAGGGTATACTGTACTATAGTAGCGACCAGCACGGAGGAGAGATGACGGAGATGAGACAAGACTCACTGCTGTTCGTTTGGTGTGTTTTTGAAAACATCGTCTGGCGAACCGGGAGATGGATGGCAGCAAGAGCTGCGAGTGTACAGCCAGCCCCGTTTATCGACAGGAAAAACAGCGTTGATTCTAATTCACGCCTCCCGGCTGCTAGCGTGGGAAACCTCGAGAACCGTGTGGTATAACAGGGTCCGGAGTTCGATTCTCCGCAAGGCACGTGTAAGTTCCGCATTTCGTATGCATGTATGAATACATGGATTAACCTTGAGGGAAGGGCGGCCAAACCCTTCTGTTCTTGCACCGCAGAGGAAACGTTGTTAAAACTGACAAGAAGAGTCCAGAGAGGCGCACGGCCGAAGGGTAGTCAGCGACCGGGAATACATAAATGTTGGACAAAAAAAAACGATACCCTACTCTGTAGCTTTTCATTCGTGAATCGAAGCCCACCTAATGCGAGCACACAAGCGTACCTGGAACGGCTTGCGCTGCGGAGGCGCGGTCCTTTTGTTCACCCTGTTTCCTGCACCTGGCCTCGCCTGCAGCACACCTTTCGCCACATCTTTTTTCCCTGCCCGCCCGGCAGCTGCTGCTGCTCCTTTTCCCGCCGCTCCTCCTCCTCCCCCTCCGGCTGCTGCCGGCTTATGTGCCTTTTGTATGTAAGGGTCAATCAAGACAAGGTGCGAGGGTCAGTGCCCCACCTAGGAGGAACGCCCGGCAGCCGGCGGCTACTGCTGTAGTTGCCAGCAAGTGCGCGAGGAAGCGGCAGGAAGCTACGAGCGCGTGGTCCTACTGCTGTATAGCGTAACCCGCCGGGTTTCAGCACTCGCTCTATCCTTTGTCTTTCGGTGTACGGATAGGACGATAGGACTACGATGTACTCGCGAAGGGGTGGCAATGTGTAAACGCGGCACCTCTACCCCCGAAAACGCGTGTCTGGAGCTTGAATTGCTGCTGCTGTGCTGTGCGTATCGCGAGCATTTGCATATGTTGACTTTTCGCCAGAGGGGGCAAGCACACGAATTTGCTGCTGGGTCAACTGCTGCTGCTGCTGGGTCAACCTATCTTTGTACATTGCAGGTTGCATGTCAGCGGGGGGTGCAACAGAGGGTGAACGCATGGTCTACTGCGTCCACCGGGGTGCACCTACGGTTTAGTCAACGCAAGATGAGAGTAATGTCAATGTCTCAGCAGTACCATACCTCCAACGGTTTGCCTTTCGCAGCTCGCCACGCCGCGAGCTTTTCCTTTCGGGATAGAACCTCCTCCATATTTCCCCTCCTTCCTCGCTCTCTCCCTCGCTCTCGCTCTCGCCCTCTCCCTCGCTCTCGCTCTCTCTCTCTCTCTTCGTTGTCTCTCCCTCTTGCTCTTGCCTCTCTCCTCCCTCCGCTTCGCGCCCGTGGTATGGATGATGTGAAAACCGCAATGCACTCGCGCTGCGTTGTTGGTGTTTTGGCCGTTGAACAATTATCGAGTCTCGGTGATCTACGTAGATCGGTCGCTGGCCGTCATAAAAATAGAGATGGATTCGTTGTGTCATATTAAGGAAAAAAAAAAAACGCGCGCAAAAAAGCGGCGGAATTTGTTTCAACCTCCCGCATCAGCGCATCAGCACAGGGCGCCAGAGCCTATAGGCTATAGGCAGAACCACTGCGCGCAGTGTACTCCCGGACGCACGACACAGCAGGACGCTCTCTCGGCGAGGAGCAAACTATGGGCGCTTCATCGAGTCTTCAGCAGGAGTGCTCGGCGGTCCCGAGCACGGACAATGAAATAAAGGTGACCAAATTGTCCACTGCTGTGATGATGATGAGACAGCAGCGGCAGTGGCTTCCCCTACCGTGTGTGCGTACGTGCGGCTGCAGGCGGTAGGTACAATATCTCAGCCAGCACTTGACACATGCACCCAAGATCCAACATGAAATCTTCCTGTTTCGGTCGCAGACGCGCACATCGAAGCGATGTCAACCGGCTTTTTCTGTAGCGGCAACACATCGTATGCATACAAGAAGCTGCAGAACCTTACACCACACGATCTATTGAGCGGCGGAAGCACAGATGAATGAATCTCTTCGACTAATCGACTAATCGTAGTGGGATTGGGATGGGTGTGCCCGTGCCTCCCCCGCCCGCAGCACAGTACGATGCGATTCTCCACGTGATGGTTTCGTCTTATCTGTTGTTGTGCATCATCTAAACCTGCTCGTCGCCGTCTTTGCTGATTCGCGTGGTGAACACGCACATGAAATGACGCAACATTATCTTTCAGATATTTCGTCAGATGAGAGCGGAGTACTTTCGCCTGTCCGAGAAGGGGCTGGGTGACGCCGAGCTGCTTGGCAAGCTGCGAGAGTCGTATCAAGTCATGGTCAACCGCACAGACCCTCTCCAGAAGCACAGAGGGGACAAGGTTGCCAAGAAATGGGACTGTCCCAAGGTATGTGGAGCAGGGGCAGCACGTCTACTGTACACGGCAGGCAGCGACAGAACTGCTTGTAGAAGAGTCATGGTTGGTCATGTCATGGGCGGAGACCCCTTGGCAGCCAATCACGGCTGGCTCTCCTTCTCTCGCTTCTGCCCGTGGCACCACGTTTTTACAACTTAAAACAGCTGTAAACTATGTTTTTCGTAACCCGCGCCGTTGTATGCATGGAAAAAACTCGTCGTTGAGCTCACAGCATCGTCTCCCGGATGCATGGTCCTTTGGGAGGATAAGTGTACAGAGCACACTACGTATCCATACATGCGAGATCGCAGAAAACCTTGTGGTATGACTATCGACAGCAGCATTATCTCAACGGGTTCGCTGAAAGTCGTGCAAGCCTGCATCAGGCTTGCCAGTACATCTGCAAGCCTTGAGTGTCGTATTGTGCGAACCGGCAACGCCTTTTTTTGTTCGGCTCCTCCACAGATACTTTTTACGTTGCGGCATAGTCATGGCTTGGTATATTTATGTTTATCTTCCTACACAGTCCTCATCGTACATGTCCTGTCGGGTTCTACTGCTTGCGTACTGTAGGTCAGGTTCGGAAAGACGGAGCTCAAGATGCCGATCATCACGTGCGGCGGGATGCGGCAGCAGCTTACGTGGAAGCCTCAAGAGACCACGACGAGCAACACCGACATCCCTAAAGAGTGCGAGGACAATTTCCAAGCTATCGTTGACAGGTGGACGAAAACAAAAGCAGCATGTATACGTGGAAGCTTCGGGCACCAGTCGTGTCATGCAGTGCGCCACGCCCAACGGAAGCTAGAGACGTAATATGCCCTGCCGAACACTTGCCACCCGGCCATACGTCTGTATTTGCTAGTGGTGACTGGTGTTGCTGAGCAGTGCAAGCTCCCTCCCCCTCTCTCTGTCGCCGACCGCCAGCATCCGTCTGAGACCGGTCTCACCGCATGCCCTCCCAATCTTATCCCTTGTCCCTGACCCGATACTGCTGCACGGCATGTATCGACCTTCCTTGTCGTGTTATCGTACCAAGGGCGTTGGAGCTGGGTATCAACCACTTCGAGACCGCGCAGGTGAGCTTGTGTCGTGTGTTATTTGGTGTTGATGACATCTACGGTAGTATCGAGCACCTCGAATCGTCCTCGCTGATGCAACCAGGGACTCTAGCACAGCAGAACCCCTCGTGTCTGGGAAAAGACGAAGATATATTGTACAGGGGGGCAGGCCATCCTTTTGCGCAGGAACACGCCATTTGGTTGATTTTTTGTATTGTTCTCGTAGGATGGTGGCTGTTGCTTCGAGAGCACGGCGGGTGGCGCAAATCCCACCGACACAGTTACTTGCCGTTTGTATCCGTATCCGGTCGAAGAGATCGGCCACGAAGGTCCACTAATGAAGTAAAAAAAAGATTGTTGATCCGGCCCGGCGTGCGTTGCCTCTCTCTCTCATTTTCTTCTTGGTCTAAAAAGCGCGTGGTGTTCAGTTCTAGCGCTGCAGCTCACGGTTGGTCTGGAAGCGCTTTGCCGCAGCACCAAGTGCCTCGATATTGCCGGCGCTACCTACTCATGATGTAGAACGTCCAACGCTAGCATACCGCATTCAAAATATGGCACGTTGCGACACACGCGTGGTGCGGCATGGCAGATGTACGGCACTAGCGAGATCCAGTTCGGGCAAGCCCTCAAGAAGCACGACAGGTCCTCATTCATCCTACAGAGCAAGGCCGCTGCCAAAGAGGACGTGGCGGCTTTCCGCAAGGGCCTGGAGCTGTCCTTCGAGAAACTGCAGGCCAGTAAGGGGCGTTGTAGCAAGTCGCACTATTTATAATATTGACATACAGAAACTGGTTGCCCTCTACGACGCAAGTTGTTGATTATTTCGGAGAATGGATTCTCAAGAAGTGGAATCAACAATGCGAGTGAAGGAATGTACTATAATATTATAGCGGCTTGGAGTTTTTTTGCTCTCGTTCCTCCTGCGGTGCGTCAACGCCCGCCCCCATCTGTAACATTTTAAGCGTGTGCAAGCGGGGATTGTGGTTTCTTGATTTCAGTGAAAAAGAGAGGCACAATTGCGACGTGACAAGCCCCCGCGCCAGGCGGCGCAACGATCCAGCTTCTCAAGAAAAATATGGCCCATCTACAGAACCTGACTTTAGCAATTCAGGATAGAATCGTGAGATGAAACTGAGGTGATTTCCCGTGCCGCCGTCAGGCATTTGTCACAATGTGAGCCTCTGGTAACGCAAGAGTATTGTTGTAGGTCGTCTCTGATTTCCTATCCAATGGTACGCATGCAACAAGAATCGGAAGAGGCTAGACTACACTTGTTCACACGAAGCGAGTGGATGGTGGGTGTTCTCGTGGTGTGATGTGATGTGATGTGCAGGTGGAGTACATGGACATTTTCTCGTTCCACGGCATCAACTCCCTCGAGCAGCTGGACTGGACACTGAGGGAGGGCGGCTGCATGGAAGTGGTGGAAGAGTTCAGAGCCAAAGGCAAGATCCGCTGGGTTGGCTTCAGCACTCACGCCCACGCCGATGTGATCAAGGCAACCATTTCCTCCAAGAAGTTCGACTGCATGAACATCCATTACCACGTGAGGGACGGGCTGCCTGCCGCGTTTGTGTAGCCTTGTGAACACGGGATTACATGGTCACCGGTGCATTACTGACTGTACTGTGTTGGATGCCGAAGTTTGGCCAATTTGCAGGCACTGGTGCGTGCTGGGTTTGTTTTCCACCAAATCCCGTGGCTGCGATGGTTCAGTTGAATGGTTCGACGGGAATCCGATCCTCCTTGCTGCGTCCGAGAAGGCCTTCGTTTCACGCGGTGTCTGCTGTCTGCTCTCGTAGGAACAGCTTTGGGGCAACGTGAAGCGCGTTTGTGATTTCACGATGTGATGATATAGTACATCTACAACAGCCCGTTAGACAAGGCCGATTTTCATTCTTGTAAAGCTACTGCTGGTATTGAAAACATCTATTAGTAGTTGTAGGAGTTCCCAAGACGTTCCCTTGGTGGCAAGACTTACGTCAATGTCACCCCAATATCGCCTCTATCCCCACGGCATCGTGTGATGGTGTCTGTCTTGGCCACCTATCAACTGCATACATCATCTACCAAAGTTCGTGGGGTCATACCATGCTTCAGGCACCAACCAGACGGAGGGCGAGAGTGACGGAAATAGGGAGAACGTGGAACTGGCGCACTCGCTCGACATGGGCGTGTTCTGCATATCTCCCAGTGACAAGGGCGGCATGATGTACAAGCCTTCCAAGGTGTGACTTTCGCCGCTTTTCCGCGACAGCGAAACGTTTTCAGTGCTGTATCGCCGCGACGTAAGTGCGAATCCAATCGACAAGTCAGCATTTTTTTGCCGTATGTGGACGCAATGGTGGGGCCTGAATGGTGGTGTCTCAAGCAACCCCTCCTGGGCTATCTAGACCGCCCCTCTCCACTCGCCACTTGTACATGAAGTACTGCAACTGGAAGTGAACCAGATCACATTCAAGTATGTTTTTTACGTACACGTAATTTTGCTGCAGCCTGCCACTCGATAGTTGGTTTTTGTAAGCTAAGACAAGCTGCAAATATGTTAGTATGCACTGCCTTGTCCTCGTGTGGATGCTTCGTGTGTGGCCATGTCTGTTCGTCAGTCATCGTTTTTTCAAATTTTGGTCGTACTGCGTGAGTTCACGTGTTGGGACTGAGAGTATTGAAACGCGTGCGGATCAACTACATCGGGGGAAAGTCGAGAAGCGCACAGTGTGGCGCAAGCCAGGCGGAGCAAATCGTAAATAGTGTTAAAGGGTCGCTTGAAGTCAACTTAGCTTTATCGACGGGCTAGTGGCTACTGTGTTGCTTTGTTTTCTTGTGATTTCTGAAGGGATGCGTGGTGGTCTTATTCCTTGTTGCAGTTGGCGTTGACCCTGTTACTGTACTCTGTGAGAGTGTCAACGTACACTATTCTTTCAACCTACACTATTGTTTCAACGTACACTATAGTTCCAGTACGGCGGTTGCGCTGACACGACCGATGGACGCTAGTAAGGGATGTTGTATGATCGTGCCCCTATATCTCCCCCACTGCTGTTTCGCGCCCTTGGTTTCGTTCGTAAGCAAAGCGACCCTTGCTGTTGTGCTGGAATAATACCATTCCTTGACAAGTCGAGGTATCAACTTACAGTAAATAGTAGTTTTAGTGTACCTACACGGACGAGACCGTTTGTGTGCAATAGCCCGTCGCGGCCCTCGCACGTCGGAGGAAGGTCGGCTATTCTAGGAATTGTTTGCTCTTGCAGAAGTTCTCCGGCGTGCTTGCTTGTTTGTCGGGGGGGATTGCCTCGTGCTTTTTATGTTCACAGGCAACGGCCAACTTCTAACGGTCAACTATCAAACCTTTTTTTTGCGAGGCCGAATGCCACTAGGTTAGTTTGCTCTCTCGCTGCCAACTATAGCACGACATTTTCCCTTTTTCCTCTGGCTGTGCACGTCCGAAACCCACCCAAAATGAAACAAACAGGTGCTCGCCGACGCGTGCGCGGAGTCTGGCATAACTCCGATCGAGTTCCACAGCCTCTGGCAGTGGACGCAGCAGCCGATCGCCCACACGTTCGTGAGTAGTTACAAGAGCTACAAGTAGCTTCAGAAACATCAAATCCCCGAACAACATCCGACCTTTGTTCGGTACCTTCCGACCCTAACGTACCGCTCGGCACTCGTGGTGTTTGTGTTTGTGGTGACGGTCCCCCTTTGGTCGCTTGCATCCTGTCGATGTGGTGTTAGCTCTTTGCTCTTGCAGTCTCGAACGCAAGTTTGACCCTGTCAACTACCGTCACGCTTCGTGTCCCTGCGAAGAGATAAGAGAGGTAAGAGAGCATCCACCCGTTCCAAGGTTCGTTTTTTGCTTTCCTAGAGGAGACGAACTATTGGTGGATGCCACACTGCTGTGGTCTGTCCATTGCTATTGTAGAGATCGTATTACATCCGATACGCGTGTCGCAACCCGCTTTCTCTCCCCTGTATTGCTTTGCTTTGCTTACGCATGCCCGATTGGGCACCTCCAATCCAATCACGTGAGGCCATCCTTAATTACACATGCGATGAAACTCCACTCGCTCAGTCTGTGCGCCGCGTTCCTGACTGACTGGTGCAATGCTGTAATGCTCCAATGCCGCTGAATGTAATGCTGCAATACATCAGACCGTGGGTGTGGCTAGACCTTCGGACTTCGACGAGCACGTGGCTGCCGCTTCCATGTTCCACCGCGCTGATGAGCTGGTCCTACCGGTGCAGAAAGCCCTGAGGTTCGTACATACAGCTTTGGTTGTTGCTGTCGTGGCACATATCGCGACCTTAGTGTAGTGTGCAATGTGTTTGGTTTCACGTCGACCCTCATGCACGGTACAGTAGTGTGATGGCGTGGTGTTCTCAGTTGGGCACATATAGTCTATCTCTCTTGGGGGTGTTTGAAGGGGATCTCGTTGAAGCAATGCCTACGATACCGGAGGCTTGGCACGTGCCGCAGTTATGCTGTCGTTGCGTGTTCTTGTTACCTTACCTTTTGGCATGTCGACATTTTTTCACCACGGTCTGCCTACTGCTGTCGTGATCACGAAGCTACTGCTGTACCGTACCCTGCCAGTCAAGACCTGTCATATCATAGGCACTATCATATCGTAGACACTATCAATCATAGATACCTTCATATCATAGACACCCGAGATCGGCAGATAGACATCAATCATCTCCTCACATGAATTTATTATTCATGGCATGGTGGACTCTATATGTTGCATGTATCTTGACGGTCTTCGGTGTACTTGAAAAAACCCTGACACCATGGTTGCTGCCATGTGGACTGGTGCCATTCGATCCGAATCGAAACTTTAATTCTTCAGGGGTTTGATGGTTGAGAAGCTCGGAGCGGAGTGGATGTCGAACTGGTGGCATGGCCTTCCGGGATGCTACGACACGCCCACGGGTGAGTTATCGTCTGCCGATTCTGCCCATTTTACGGTAGAAAAAAAAACCGCGTTGGCGTTGACGCTATCTGGAACTGAAATCACGCTGCGCGTTGTGTCTCTGGTAATGATTCTCCGTTTCACCTCAGCACCGCTGTTATAGGTCTGTTCGAGGCATGCCTTATTCGCAGTTTGGGTAAGAAAACCTTCTGCTCCGGCCGGCTGTTTTTTGCACAGGTCACCGGGCAGGGTTTTTTGTTGTATTATTGGCATTTTGTGAATCAGTGTCGGTCCATGTCACCCCACGACCTAGACCTGCTGGTGGTGGTGCGTGACTAGCCGTTTGCTGTCGGGAAACATCGCGGCAAGAAAGGAGATGAGATTCGACATGCATACGCCGGGTGTCCACTAAATAGAGGTTTCCTTGACAGCCTGCGCTTTGTCGCCCCCCCCCCTCCCCCCCCCCCCCCCACGAATCGTTTCCTCGGATCGCATCGTTTGGGACGGTACCCACGGTCGTTTTTTATGCAAGGCGTGTTCGTGCCGCACATCGTGTGGATGTGGAATGTGGTGACAGCCTGGGGGATGTACGACTTCGCTAGGGCCAGGTATGCCTTGCTTGCCTTGCGTGCCTTGCTTGTCTTGCTTGCCTTGGTCTGTCTGTCTTGCTGCTGTCGTGCTTTCCTGCGCCGTTTTTTCTGTCTTGTTTGTTGAACACGGCCTGACTGGTCAAGAAAATGAGCACGTCACGTCAAGCTGGAGCAGAAGCCTCCTAATGTATTGTAATAACAGACCCACCCCCCGAGAAAAACCCGTCGTGTTTCAAACAGCCTCTCGTAGCAGCGGTGCGACCAATACTGGGAAATAGGTTCTTCGGTGGTGGTTAGAAGGAGGCATGTGTTGTGGCTACGTTCCATACGTTCCTGTCGATTCCTTGATAGGGACGCCGCCGTCGCGCGTAAGTTGGGGGCCTTTCGTGTTGTGCTGCTGACGTGGCACGATGTGCAATAGCATCACGCATCACGCTTGGCGTCTCTTCGCACAGATACAACGCATCCGCTTGTCTGGGCAGCTGGTAGATACATACAACCCTTGCCCTATCCGTCTGTGTGCCCCTGCGTACAGGTACGCCACTTTGGAGTCGAACTTGAAAAAGCACAAGCCTGAGCTAACTGACGAGGAGAACGTGAACGCGTTCAACCGTTTCACGCCGGGATACCCGTACCGACCCGACATCGACATGGAGGAGCACATCCCGGACTCTTGCCCCAACAAGGCGAAGGTGGGTGGCAAGCACAGCGGTTTGTTTGGCGATGAACGATTTACCAAGTCTTGGGTGTTGATAGCGTTTCGAGTTTGTTTGAGCCGTACTCGCCCAGAGGGTTGTGGCTTGTGGTATGTTCTTACAAGTAGGGTTTTAAAGCGCTCGCGTTGTAGCACCAACATTTGGCGGTGTGTGGCATGCGTGCTCATCTGAGCGTCGTGATCCACTTTCGTTTTGGTCTACTTGGGGGTTCAGTTCGAACGTCGCAAATGTAATGTGTGCGCTACCAAGGACATTCTACTTGAAGCTTTTCGATCCCACCCTCCTCCTGACATGAGTACGATGCTTTGCGCTGCAGGTGCTGGAGATCTTGAAGGAGATTCACGAGTGGCTGTGCAAGGAGAACGAGGCCGAAGTGCGCCAGACGCTGGAGCAGCGAGGGTGGTTGCCAGCGTTCGATTTGCAGCCGAACGTTCCCTTCCCAGAGCGAAATCCATCCAGCTAAACTACAAGCGGAGCAGGCTTAGCTTGGTGCCATCCAATGGGGAAGGTGGAGGACGCAGGCACCTCGCCCAACAGGGGCCTGGGAGATGGACATGGACATGGACATGGACATGGGACAAAGTAGCTCAAGGGTGTAGTAGGAATCCGGACTGGACCAGATGCGATGCCAAGAGCGCGCTCAGCAACTGATGCTCTGGTGGAGGTCGTAGGGAGGTGCCAAGTGCCTCTGTCTTGGTCCTGTTGAAACCGCGTTGAAATATCTGCTCGCCCATGTGTTAAACCGAGCTGCAGCTATTGTACCCCGAACTTCACGGGAGGGAGTCTTATTATTCTGTTTTACTGCCTTTTTTTGTACGATTGGCTCGGCGAGAAGATAGATCTATTTGTTGGGTGAAGAACAGAATGCGACGAGTCTCCGAGTCTTTGAACTACTACACAAGTCTACAGTAGTCTAGGGCCTCGTGCGCGGTGCTTTGTACCCGTCCGGTCTATCTCCAGTAACATGTTGTATTTTTTTATCACGTGGCGTTGGAGATAAATCCTTACCCTCTTAGTGGACTACTGCCTGCCCTAGTGGTGTGTAGGTGCGTAGGTGGGGGGGTGCCATGGGTGTGTCGTCGCATTTCGATTGATTCGTCCTTGGTTGTTGAGCAGAGTCAGTGTCAAGTGTCAGTGTCAGGGGTCCGGCGTTGTCCCCTAGAAGCATTGACGAAAGGGTTTACTCGGTAACGGTTTTTTAGGCAGATATGCTTTCGGCGGTAATGCCCTTTGGCGGTGGTTAATTTGGCGGTAGGTGGCAATTCGGTTTTTGGCGGTACCGACTTCGGCGGAGGCGATGAAATATTATTTTGGCCGTAAACGGCGGTAATTATTTTGGCGGCGCAGTATTGCGTTTTCTGGCGGTAACGACTTTGGCGGAGGAGGCCGTAAAACAGAAAGTTGGCGGTACTGTAATGCCATACGGCGGTGATGCCATTTGGCGGTACTTGTTGTGGAGGTAGGCGGTATTGCGTTTTGTGGCGGTAACAACTTTCGCGGAGGCGGTAAAACAGAAATTTGGCGGTAATGCAATACGGTGGAAAGTTGTTTTGGCGGTATGCGGTAATTCGTTTTTTGGCGGTATGTAACGACTTTGGCGGAGGAGACGGTAAAACAGAAATTTGGCGGTAATGCAATACGGTGGTAGGCGGTAATGCGTTTTTGGCGGTACCGACTTTGGCGGAGGCGGTAAAACCAAAAAAAGCGGTAAAACGGCGGACTACCGGGACCGCCCACCACGGCGGTAACTTTACGGCGGTAACATTACCGAGTAAACCCTTGAAGAGTGCTTCCGGGGTCGTGGCTGCGGCCGTTGTCATCGCAGCGCTACCATTCGTTATCATTGTCAGCAGGTCGGCATTTTCTTCGAGCAGGCCACCACCTCGCTCCTTCTGTACCAGGTACCTCTTCACACTAAGTTACAGGTAACCTGGACAGAACCACTTGCCGCATGTATGTTTGGCCAAACAGTTGCAACATATAGGTGTTCGTGTAACCTGTTCATTTGTTCCCTTTCAATCAAGCTTCCCCAACAGGGGTGACAACCTTCACCTTGACGCTAGGCTGACAAGAGGCTACGGCGATAAGCACAGCACCTAGACACCAACTCTTGTTCCGACAAGCAGACACTTGCTGCGGCTAGCACTGCAAAGCATTGCCAGTTTTTTTTATGGACAGCCGAACAAGATACAGAAAGCGTCTCTCTCGAGCAACGTGGTCCTCTAGCACGTTAATGAAGCAAATCGAGGAGGAGCCCTTGAGACGGCGACACGCTGCGGTGAGTGCAACCCAGTTTATACCCACCTCCTCTGAGCCGCCTGACGGAGTCATCATGATCGTGAAGCACGTGCTGCCCGTCGAGCAAAGCATGAGCATGACACCCAACACCAATCCAGCAGGTGCTAACAGGTGCTGAGGGGGCACCTGCATCTCTGCGTCATACACAGACTATCAGCTGGTACATGCGGGAACAAGACCACAGGGAGGTTAACTTCAATTGAACTACATCGATCGTTGCCTCGACACGAGTACAGGGTCATGGGATGCGTCATGGAGTCAACCAAACCTGCGCTATCATGGGTGGGTGTGCGTCGTGAAAATTCCACACGCGAATGGTACGTTTCTTCGAGAATGATCCCGACGTCCTACTACAGAACAGTAGGTTGCGGCAAAACCGTCCCAGACTCCATGCATGAGTCAGAAAGATTCGGTAAAACCCTTGTTCGTGGCCTTGGCACCAAAAATAAAAAGCGGGGTAATTATTCTCACCAACCATCTGCTTTAATCCAACAACCGTCGTCGGACCACCGCGATAAACACAAGGTAATCGATCAAAAACAAAAACATAAACGATAACACATACTTTATGAAAGAGGCAGGTGGCCAGCAACCACCATAGCAACTGGACGCCATAACTCCCCCCCGCAAAAAAAAAAAAAATCTGCTGGTGAGTAAGTGTGCCGATAGAAGAGGCTGCACTCGCCCCAGGTTCGAACGCCCCCCCCGCTCGAACTCTCAAGGGCCTGACGCACCTCCCCTACGCTCTATCCCGCTCTACTGCCCGCGAAATACACAACACGCGCGCTTGCGATGGCTTCACCTGCCCTACCAAGGAGCCCGATCAACTCAAAAGAAGCAATTTCTCATCCCCAATCACAGATCCATGTGCTTCTTAATAGAGCTCACGAGAGCGCTCTTCGGGACAGCTCCGACCACGGTCATGACGCTTTTCCGGTCGCTGAACAGCATCAGGGTGGGGATGTTTCGGATCTTGAACTCCGCTACCGTTTTGGGGTTCTCGTCCGTGCACAGCTCCAAAACCTTGAGCTTGCCGCCATGGTCGGCGATAACCTCGTCTACGATGGGGCCGACCATGCGACATGGGCCGCACCTTACATGACACGGACAACGAATACGATACGCGCAAGCAGTTGGGCAGCGCCGAGCAGCTGGGCATCACTTAACCAGAGAAAGCAGCAGCCGAAGCAGGTTGGCTACCATGCCATAACACAAGAAGCAGACGGGTTGGTACCGTCAGTAGGGTACAAAAACATGCGCGCAAGCGAGGTGAAAGCATAGCATCAAAGGAAAGTATGAGAAAGCAGAACGCAATCAAGGTACAGGTCGGGGGGAGGGGGGTAGCATTCTTTGCGAGGTACAGCTACATACATACAGCAGTAGGACAGGTCGTGAAACACGTAGCTTCTGCTGCTGGCAAAACGGAGACCAACGCATTTGTTAGTACTGTAGGTTTCGGTGTTAATTAACCTTTTGACTTGGAAATAACGATTTGGCCGGACACTCTGGTTCTGCTTCAATGTGTAATATCTTCACGTTTCCTGAATCCCACTACTGTTGGTTTGTTGAGAGTCGAGAGACACGCTCCGTTTGTCTGGTAAATTTAGGTCGAAGCGCGCCCTGCTATTTGCTTTTGTGCCCTGCTCCTGCATTTAGAGCATGCAGGCTTTACGTTGCGATATTTTCATCCCGGCTACCTCGCTGCTGCATATATATTAATCGCTGTTACAGAGAAATACCACTCATTCCAAAGAAGCAGCAGAGATCAATAAACAAGCAGCGAGGTAGCCGGGGATGAAAAACACGCAACGTCAAAGCCTGCATGCTCTCAAGCGCAGGAGCACGGTGTGAAAGCAAATAGCTGGGCGCACTTCGGCCTAAATTTACCAGACAAACTGAGCTTCATCTACCTGCACACTGCCGTAAAGCGGAGTGAAACCTCATCGTTGAAAAACCTCGCTCGCCATCTCCTCTCATGTCTGTCTCACCACGCAGCCCGAAAGAAGACGAGCACTGGTCGATCCTCGTCAAGCACCTCTGCCTCGAAACTATCATCCGTAATCTCGGGAGCACAACTTCTTGCATCCATGTACAGCCCACGCCCTCGCAATCTGCGGGGTGGGGGCGGGTAAGCCCTGCTGGGCAGCACCAGCGCGGCCACCACATGAATGTTTGTTGCAGCGGTTTGGGGGGGGGGAGGGAGATCAAGAGCTGTAGCGCGTCAGCGTTTGATTTTTTGAACTACAATCAACACATGTTTGAAACTTCTTTGAAAGTATCAAGCTAGGGTAAGGCATGCGATGTACACGCCAGAGTATCAATTGCAGCACGCATGAGTAGCTTGGTGAGTGCAGTGTACAAGGCCCAAGGTCTCAACATGATCGCTCACTAGCGCACGATGCCCCGGTGTACGTGTACAACACGGCTCGGTGCCGGCTGCCTGCTGCCATTTCCGTTTTCGCAAACATGTGTGCCATTGTTGAGGCATCGAGCGCAGAACACACTCACCCCTTGGAAGACGCCTGCAATCGCTCGATCCTGCCCACCCCATAGCTAAAAGTCCTTTGTCTCGCGATCCCTCTGCCCTGGATGAATGAGACTCCTGGGGTGGCGCACGCCAGCAGGAGCAGCAACACCGAGCATACCTCGCCCGCGGTCCTTCCTGCTATTAATCGACAACACCATGACAAGGCTACCATTCCCCTTCTTTCGGAGAGCAAACGCTGATCGCCGAGGGAGCGCTAGAATGAGAGCTACCCTCCCGAGCTACCCTATGTCTGCGTGACTGCTGCTGGCTGTGCTGCTGCTGTGTCACGACCCAGCTGGTGTTCACGCACACACCGGCCTACCCCATCCCGCCGAAAGGGATACATGCCCTCTCACATCCCCCCCTCCTCTCAAATATATTGTCTGCGTGCTCCCTGGAGCAAGCAAGCACCGGTTGCACCCCTTGCACATCTCGTCTCTCCGCCACGCAAAACAACTCACATCGGCACTCGACACCATACGATACATGCGCCGTACGCAGTAACGACGGGGCGTGATGGCCATGAGCACCACAAGGAAGCGAGGAGCCTTTTTTGTTTTCGAGAAGCCGCTCGTTTCCCGTCTCCCTTTCGAGGTCGAGGTGGACGGCGGGGTACTTGCGAAAAAGCGAGCAAGGATCGCGGCAACAACAACAACCGAAACAACAAGACCACCATCACCCCCAGCCCATGAAGACCTGGATGTCAACACGAGCGAGAATTTCGAGACAAAGCAGTGGTGGACGAGAGAAGCGCTGCAAGAACGGCATCGCAGAGAGGAGGCCGATAGCTCCTCTTCAAGTAGTGCCATTGCCGCTGTAGGTGCGGATGTTGAGCGGGGCTGTTGGTCGGGCGGCATCTGGGGCGCAAGAGAAGGCCGCAGGGACACGAGAGCAGGAACGAGACCGTCTTTGGAGAAGGGTGAACGCGAGTGCCTGGACGAGGAGGCTGTGTCTACCGCGGCAACAGGGGGCGCAGGTAAAAGCCCTGACCATTTTTTTGGCGGCAACGCTCAGAGTGGTTCGGACCACAGCGGCGTTCAAAAATCGTAAACAAATGCTCTTCATTTGTCAATTCGCTCCCTCTGGACGCATGTACCATACACACATACATACACCAAACCCCGATACAACTAGCTTGAAAATTAGCGCCCTTGTTTGTCATTTTATTTCGGAGAGCGTCGATACCGGATTGAGAAGGTGTCAACCTCCCACGAGTCTTGGTTTGTGCTCCCAAGAGGAACGCCGCCGTCGGACACTGGGAGGGTTTGTTTGTTTAGCTGAGCACCTGCGGTTGTGGCATGGTGTTGAGTGTTGGAAATGGCATCCCAGAGTACCGCAACTTGGCTGCACGGGTGAAGCGCTTGGAGAATGCACTGGGGGGCGAGCGATTCCCCACTGGACAACTTTTGTACGTGTAAATTTTTCCGTCGATGCCCGTAAGAACGTTGTTGTCTGCCCACATTTTCTGGTAAGCTGCTGCGAGGAGGGCAAGCACTCCGTGCACCGGCCTGCGACGGCCATCTTATTATGCATACGAGCCCTCATGATCAGGATCCGCTCCTCGCGTCTCTCGCTCACGCTCGTCCAACTTCGAGTACTGCTGCAGCGTTGTTTTTATCTCATTGTATGCATACATGCATGTTCCTGAATACATACCGTCTCAGCCGTGATTCTGATGCTACGATACAAGGAACAGCTGCATCGCATCGGCCGTCATCACCGCTCTGACTTGCCAAGCTTGGGCTGACAAGCTCCTCGTTCTCAAGGATTCTTGGGGCGAAAATCTTACGTCGTCTGGGTGACAAGTATTATAGTATACTGTATATGTAGTGCTCAACACCGTGCCGAATTGCGTCCCGGTGCGGTCTCAAAAACGCTTTGCCTTTCCGGTATCTGCTGCTAAAATCCAACCCAAAATGCTGAAAAAGCTTTAAAAGTATTTGGCGTCTTGATGCGGCACCGACCTCCTGCAGTCGATGTGTCTATCCCTCTCTACCTCGAAATCCTTTGACCTGTGTCGTGTGTCGAGTTTGGCTTGTGCCGTTCGAGGGATCGTTTTCCCATACCATTTGACGTATCGAACACCGCTCTCTCGTTCCACACAGGAGTAACGCTATCTTACTTTCGACGCCCGTTTTCTCCTCCGACACGCTAACCACGACACCAATTTCACCACGGTGCTTCCTCCTATCATCCGGCACAGGCGCTGGGCGAACGCTGGTCCAGCTCAAAATCGACGCCATGTTTGCGGTACCCGGACTGCCTTGCACGCCTCCATCAGAGTGTTCTGGTCGAAACCCCGATGCAGAACTCTGCGATGGGGAGTGTGCCGGAACTACAAGCAGAGGAGACGGTGCAATGGATGTTGACGTCGGTGTAGGAGCCGAACCTCGGGAAGAGGGTGGGCCTGCCTGCTACGCTTGCAGAGGCGCGCTAGGGACGGCGGGCGGGGACATTTTGTGTTCGTTTTGTGATCGTGCTGCGTGCCAAGCATGCTGGCAGAGGTGCTCCGCTTGCGAAGTTCCTCACTGCAGTCTGTGCTTGGCGGCAGATTACAACTCGCAGTTTGAGTGCTACTTCTGCCCGCCATGCTATCAGGATGAGAGACTCGAATCTTGCTAGAAAAATTGTTGCTAGGGCAGGCGTGAGTGCAACGTCTGTAAGAAGAGTGGGCGGGAGGGCAAGCGTATGCATGTCTGTGCTGTCGGGATGACGTATGCCCATCACCCCACATGCAGTACACGAAGCTTGAAGCGTTTCCGAGCGCGGTTGGGGCTGGGGCTGTGCCCAAGGGACTGTTGGCTTTGCCAATCGTTTTTTTTTTCCTTTTCCCCAGACCATGTGTGGTTTTCGAATCTGGCGTGTTGCTTCAGGTGTTTGGTGGTCGTTTGCGAGGGTAGAATGTGCGAAAATCGTTGGCAGCAACCATAGACTATTTAGTCTAGAGGTGGAGAACATGTCGTAGAACAGCCAAGCGTTAGCGAACCGTTTTGACGCGTTCCTACAATTGAACCCTGTAAGATGGTTGTTGCGGAGAACAGGCGACTGCAGCTTGCTGAGGGTTCCTAGCTCCTTGGGGACACAGTCTACGTAAATAGCACCGCAATAGTGAGACATGGTTGTTTTGTGTACGGAGACTGATGTTTCGAGAACATGTACGCGGGCTACTCACCTAAGCGTGGGTGACTAGCCCGTTTACATGTCCTGGAAATCTGCCAATCTCCGTGACACCAATATTACCATGTCTTTTACCTGCCTTGCTGTTTTCGAAGGCCGCATGTCCAAGGCGCTAGCAGCTGTGAGCATGCTGCACGCGCTTTCTTTCGGCACCAATCAGTTTTCAGGTTCGGAATTCGTCCAAAGGGATACTGCTGTGATGTTGTCTTAGCACACCTAGGTAACCTCCACAGGCTGTAAATATTGCATGATTGAGATTGAAGTTAGAAAATACAAAACAGAGTGATGACCCTCACAGCTTGAGTGAGCACTTTTCAGTTGTACCACGGTTTATCCGAGTGTATCGAGATGAGTACTGTACTGTACTAAAAGTTGAGGTTCCTCCTGGTGGTGTCACTGCGGATAGAAACGACCCCGTTAGCATGCTGTATCATTCTGTCGTCAATAAAAATGCCTTCGGTTCAACGAGAGTTGCTTTCCATGAGAACCACTGCGGAAACACCACTGCTCGTGCAGCCATTCTTGGGTGCATGGTTAGGGTTGTCGTGTGTTTCGACTTAGGCAAGCGTTTGCCGTATCTGCGCCCTTTGTTGCCGCCTCTGCAGGATTCGTCGACGGCGAGACACTTGTAGGCAACAGGAGAGCAGTGTAGGCTACACACCTGTACTGCCTGTGTAGGACCTCAGAGTGTGACTTGCACGGAACGGCTCAATGATTGATTTCTGTGAGGATTCACTGACGTGAAGGGCAATGTGTTCATATTTACGGCAAAACCGCTGCATGCTTCGACTCTCTGTCCGACAAGGACTGCCGACACTCATCCGCACACACACCCTCGAATACTCTGTAGTTATGATTGAGCGACGTGAGAGTGTGCAGCATCGTCACCGAGCCCAAACACCCTCGCTCCGTATCCCGAACACCGTAGATCACCCGTCGAACCCTGCTATGTACCAGCGCCATAGCGCACCTGTGAAGAGAGGGTGAGCGAAGCAGTGCGAAGTCGGCGCGGGTGAATATGCAAGCGCAAACTGTGACGATATACTGGTACAACAGCAAGACAACATGCTCCAGAAAATCACGGTCAAGTGAGCTGCGTTTCGTGTTTCCTACTGGTATCCGCGGCGTCATCGCAAAATTCCGCACCAAGCTGCTCTCGGAGCGTGTCAGCCGTACCTTCGCTCGCATGATATCGGTGAAAACGTGCTGCACTCATGGTCTGTCAACAACCGCGGTTGTCCAGGAAGTGCTTCACAGCCACACATCCCACGCTCGGCTTGTGTACTCACATCAGGCAAGGTTCCCGCGTGACGTAGAGGTCGAAGCCTGTACACAAATACTGCTCGGGAGACAGCACCTCCACTACCCCGCCAGGAGGGTCTGCATCGCTGCATAAACTCTCCGACCCCTTCCCCTCCCGCTCCTTTCCCAGCTTGCCCCCTGCTGAATCTTCCTCTTGCTTTCGTGCAACTTTCTCTTGTCTCGATCCGGCCGCTAGCGCTCTCCCCACCCCTTGCACGCACAGCATGACGGCGTGATGCAGGGGGTGATCTCTCATGGACGCCGGCTCCTCGTCGCGAACCTTCTGCCTCTCTCTTGAGGCCGTTGCAACGACCCTCCCCCTTCGACCCCCGCATCCCCCCAAGGGGTCGACCAGCACCGCTCCGACCGTTGGTCGGCCCCCGTTTTGCTGCCTCCCCGTCTCCGCATCGACGAGGGCGTCTCTCATGAAGCCAATGGCGTCGAGAGCGTCTTGTTCAGGGATGACTCTGGCGGCCCGCCGGGCTTCCTCAGATGTGCTGGGTAGCAAACATACGGGGGGAGGGGGTGCGTACAACAAGCAGGAACAACGGTACATGTTGGGGAATGGAGTCCTACCTTCTTGGACATCCCAAGATGCAACCTAAATAGAAGAGTTGCTCCGGCCGCGATCGCCTCTGCTGAGACTGCTGTGATAAACCTAGAGCTGGCTTGAGCACGATGGCCTTTGGTAGTGCGCATGCCTCAAGCCAGCCCTGTAGCCGGCCACATACAAAACCAGATGAAGCCTGTGGCAATAGACCACGCGACGCCAACGGTCGGGTTCAGAAGCGAAAAGGAGTAAGAGTAAGACATCACCTGTGGTGAAATATCATCGGCCACGCAGAGCCCCCACTCAGGAACTGTGCCCGTGTTCGAGGCTCAAGCTTGGGAACAGCGTGCACGGTGGGCTCAAGACCATACCGCTCCACGATTTCCTTGCGCTTGGCCTCGTCGAGGGCGTGGTACATGTCGGGGGGCGACAGGAGCACTTGCAGCAATCTCCCGGTTTCCGGGTGTTGAGATGACCGTATACGCTTGAGGTGATTGAGCTGCGCGATGGGGAAGTCGCAACAAGGGTTTCAAAGCCGAAGGGGGCAATGAGAACATCGATGCTCACTAGAAAATATTTTCTTAAATAGTTGAGCGAGATGTCGTTTCTTCAAAAACGAACCCAAGGCAACGACCGAGAACCATGGCAATTGCCAAAGCAGCCTAGAAAGTACACACAGTCCACGCTATACTGCTGTAGCGTCGCCATACATCAACAGCGCCTTCGACGCACGAGGGGACAACACCGTCCGAACCGTCCGAGTTACTGTAGCATCGAACGTCGTGATAGAAAAATATTGAAGCTCCGGCTGCTTCGGCCGAACTGCTGGTTTGTGGGAGAATCCTAGTCCGGTCAGCCGCACGTAACGCAAACAGTCTTAGCGGGAGAGTAACACTGTTGCCGTTGAACTTCGCTAACCTCCGTGGACACACGTGAGGGAGGCACTTCGCCATCGATGCGTACCGAAGACTATTCCGCTGTATGGTAGGTAACAGGGGGGACACCTTCACTAACCTTGGCCCGCTCAAGAGGAAGAAGCTCTGATAAGTCCTTGACGACCTGGCTAGCCTGGCGAGGCTTGATAGCTGAAACCAGTACATCCAACCGAGCGGAGCCGGCAAGATCAAACTGGTGACCAGATGACGAGCGGTAGGGTGCATAAAGCCGTGATATTCAAGGGTTTGGGGGTGAGCTCCGAGTAGCGCATGCAGTCCTTTTACACGCGACCCCGTAGGTTCGCACGTAGGCAAGGGTTAGAACACAACAATGAAGCACAACGCGAACAGAACAACAACCTACTTGCCACCGCGTGTCTATGAAGTACATGAAGTAGCTGCATCAGCATCCATCAGCACCCCGCAAATGAAGGGAGGACCAACTACAGCATCTTCAAATATGTTGGCTAAAACTGGAAATTCATAAACTCGTACCTACTCTTCAATGTCTTCGCAATGTCAACGCGAGAGCTTGACAGATATGTACTGCTGTAGTGATGTCTACAAGATGACCTACGGGTACCCACATACCGAGTGTTTGACATGACACAAGATATCCCATCCCCTGGATCTATTTTCAAAGCTCGATTACTCCACGACGAGGAGGCTGTATACATCAAACGATACGTTTCGGCAACGTTCTCGACGGCACGGGTTTCACCGCCGCCCTGCTCGGCACCTCCACTGTTTCTGCTGTGGAGCACTCGACCTTCGAAAGTCGGTCAAGGGGGTGTGATACCCTGCGTATGTGACCTCCAACGTACATCATGATAGAAATGGATGAGAAAGGCTATAGATACATTCGATGACACGAGACTTCAGCACACCTCATGATCTTCTTGTACCACCTCCAACATCTTCCTTGCCCGTGTCCACAGGGAGAAGCCAGCTGAGGTGGTGGGCGGTGTGCGAGCAAGCGGTCCAGTGGGGGGCCGACAGATGGCAGAAACGTGGGGGGGGTTAGAGATTTTCAAAAGTTGCTCGAACTCTGCAGCTGCAGCACCATCACATATCAACTGCTATACCACCCCCGCCGTCAGCAGTCAGCAGTCGTTTAGGGTAGAGGGAGGGGGTAGAAGGGAGAAGAACGAGGGGTGTATTCAGGTGGGAGTTGATGCGTGCGCTGTTGGTGTTTTCGGTGTCTGATGGTGCAAGATAGAAGCACGTAAATCTAGCACGCTGCTGCTGCCGACGGCCGATAGATGTCCCTGCGAATTCGTTGTGTTTTATGAGCGAGTGCGGTGTAGTGCAACACCTTATCCGCGACGGCAGGTTCAAGCTTCCTGTATGCTGGCTTCTCAGCGATAGCACAACAAAGAATTATTCTTATTGCACTCCCAGAGAAAAAAACATGTATTCGAATGTGACTACAATGTGTGTACAAGTAAGCTATTTACTGGCTACTTCCGGGACTGTAAAAAGAACTGCTGTAGGCTTCAGCGTCTCTCCGTCGCTGTCTGTAGATACTGATCCCCCTGCGCGGTATACCGCTGTGAGTACCTCTGCTATGCATTCTGCGGTATCATAGAGCCTTGCGTGTTGCACTTGCTTGTCGGCGACCACTCAGCCCCTGGACAATGTCGCGCGTTCAAACGCAAGTCGCACTGCACAGCCTCAGACAAAGTCATCTATCTGGTGTGTCATCCGTTGCCCAGCAAGACGGCCGGATGCTCGGTCCCTGGAGATGATGGACGCCGAGGAAATCGACGACAACTCCAGCCAAGAGGCCAACCTTCCACCAGCAACCTTAACCTTAGCCACGAAGAAGCGGACCAAGACCAAGAAGGACTCTCCCGCCGTAGCTCCTTCCAGCACCCTCACTCGCTTCCTAGGACCCGCCGGCCCTCCGTCCCGTTCTGCGTGGGACGATGTGAATCGGCAGTGTCCGGTGTGCCAGCAGACAGGCTTCTCGTCGCGGTCTTTAGCTTTGCACGTGAATGACTGCCTCGAAAGAAGGGCTCGGGCTGACGCTAGCGATAGTGAGAGCGCGGCTGGCGGGCGGAAAGATGCAGCCGGTGGGGTAGGGAATCCCGATGGTCGCAATACGGCGACTGCCACGACAGTGGGAAATGAAGCGAGCAGCGCCGTCACTGATGTGACCGGCAGTGGAAGTCGTGAAGGCAACACTCGAAGAATGTCGAGAGAAGGGACACCGAAGAGTAAGGCAGTACACGGTCGCGGGGGAGAGAAGCAAGTTCGGCAGGACAAGGCTGCGAAGAAGACCAAGACGCTTCAGGGCGAACGGGCTATTGATACTGAGAGAGCAGGTGCGCTGGCATTCGCTCTTCAACAGTGGAGGTGCCACAGCCGTGACCCCGTCAGCAGAGTTTTTTTCCTTTTCTTGGCGCTACAGCAGTGCGTTGAACCCACCACTCATTATGCTATACTCAAATACCATACTCAAATACCAGGAGGTGATTGTGCTTTGCAGCAGACCTCGATATCGAACATTGCCGCCGTCAATGCGGCTTTATCGGCGATCGATGTAGGGTATGCATACGACAAGCACTTTACCCGAGAGGTCTCCCCTGCACTACATCCTATAAAAGGTCTACGGCGCAGTGGCTGATGTTGAGTCAGTATAACCACCCATTATTTCTCGGTCGACGACATGTGCAGCGTCGAAAGTGTTCTCCATCCCCCCATCGTTTGTGGCGCCACGCCTCAACCGTCTCTTGCGTTGTGCCATGTGTGCATTCGTAGCCTCGGCTACCTCGAAGGCTCGGGTTTCTCACACCCGAAACCAAGCTGCCGACAAGACGAAGTCCAACACAAGAGCAGCTCTACAGCATCGCTTGCCCAATTCCACGCAGTCATCTTCCCCCGATGGGTCGCAGCAGCCAAACCCACTTCGCCGTCGAGCTTTGGGGTTAGCTCGGCCAAAGGGGCACCAGATTGTCAGCGACGCCATGCCAACACCTGCTGCTGCTTCGAATGCGAGTAGAGCACGCAAAGGCTGCGACTCGCGCGCCCTTGATGAAATCGCGCAGGCGCAGCTGTTGTATTTGCGAGAGGCCTCTGCGCGTGGGCCTGCGCACGGCGGTGGATGGCTCGGCACGAAACTTTTCCCGGCACCCGATGAGGAAGGAGAATCAGCAGACGATGGCTCCATGGATTGCTGGTGTGTTGGCACCGGTGGTGGTGAAGGTGCATATCGGTCAAGCTGTGGGGTGGGTGAGTGCGGAACTGGACGAAACACAAGGATGCGGAAAGAAAACCGTCGAGTGCGCGGCCGACCAGCGTCGTGGGGTGCTCGTCCGAACGACGAACAGTGGGGTTGGTTCGGAACCTGGCCAGCTGGCGGGAGTGTCGACGACGGCGGCGTTGACTGCTGGGGAGATGGAGACGGCTATCTCACGCTGAAGGCATTTCCTCCGCCCGAAACGCTGGTAGAGTCGGATGGTGAGGATGAGAGGGATGGTGGCGGAGCTGTCATGCCGGTAGACGCCGCACGATCGATGCGCTTAGGCGAAGAAGGTAGCCCTGCCCCATCGTCAAGAGTTGACCGCTTCCTGCAGGTGTTTTCTCGGCTGCAGCCCGCTCGTAGGGCGCTGAGACTTCACGAGCCGCCAACGCCAACGCCAACGCCACAAGACAGTGGTGACAACCGTGCCAACGCCAAGGTCAAGAACGTCGGTACACGATCGCCACCGACAGCAGTCGCCCCGACAAACAAGAACACGGTTGCCAGTAGCTCTGGCCCACAGCAGGCCGAACGTCCAGGAGGCTCACCGACTATGAGACCTTCCGTAGAGCGTGAGCCGGGCGGGGCTGGAAATAGTGCTAGGACGGGGACTGCGCGTAGCTGCGAGGGTGAGAGGGTCCGCGAGTTGACCATGCCCCCGCCGAAACGCACGGCCCTCGAAACGATATCTGAAGTCAGCGCCAACAACAACCGGCGACCGGGCGCCACGATAGCTTCTTCCCCAGTGCAAAGTACTTCGCCTGCGATCATCGCCTCGTTCAAGTCCGTATCTGGGCACAAGATTAGCCGGAAGCAGCCGCCACAAGAGCCTCCACAACAACGCAAACCTGCCAACCGGAGTGGCGAAGAGGGGTCTCGGCGACATGAGCAGGAGGACCGCAACCGCACTAGCTCGGAGGGGTCTAGCAGAAAATTGTCTTTGCCAGCGCCGACGGTACGACGTACCTCCACTTTCGAAGTGCAAGCCTGCTCCGGAGGGGTGGAAAATAGTGTGAGCGCGCCAAAGGGGAATTCCCCCAGGGTTGTCAAGACTCCCGCCAAAATATATGGGCCGCCAAACGAGAGTGCTGCAGATGCTGCGAGCCAGCAGAGCGGGAATTCCCCCAGGGTTGTCAAGACTCCGGCCAAAAGAAATGGGCCGGCAAATGAGAGTGCTGCAAGTGCGACGGCTCCAAGCTCGGTGGGGTCGGAGCGCGCGACGTCGGCGCCTCAGACTAGGCGTCCGGTTGCGGTCGCGAACGAAAACCTGACCATTGGCGAGCATCGAAAACGGACGGCTCATGTCGATCGCGCCCCGGTGGACGCAACAACACATGGGGTGCCACAGCCACCTCCTCGGCACGGGAGCTCGACGGGTTCGGATGAAGTGAAACGCTCCATGCCAGGCGCGACGGTTGCGAAGAAGCGAGCATCTAGCTCCCATGAGAGGAATGTGAGGGTATCGTCGATGGATGCCGGTGGCCACCGCAGGTCACAGAGAGACCCACCTCCTGGCCTGCAGCGCGCGATACCTACGTCCAGCCAATGGAACGGCTCTAGATCGAGGGGAGCGTTGGCCTCACGGGCGTCTTCCGGGTTGCTGCGAAGTGCTGACCTCGCAGCACGTTCTGAGAATCAGCGCAAGGAAAACGAGAATGCGAAGGTCGCGCCTGCTGCGAACGATGGTGTCGTGGACCTTGCCGGGAGCAACTCATCGCAGCTAGAAGAGTGTGAAGGACGCAAAGCGGACGTGCGGCAGAAGGTATTGGTTCAGTGCGGTTATGCCTAGCGCCAGTGACTCGAAGGCTGGGATGATATAAACATGTGCCCGATATGGCCCAACTACCACGCAGGTGCTGTCTGCCGTGTGGTAGGAGTTACATCACATCGTGACGAAATCGATTGATTTTCTATCTCTAGGGTTGTGATTTGCTTCGTCTTGACGGCCCGCCTTTTTTTCCGCCCCACCTCCCCAAAACATTCAAGGTCCATGTCATCGGTGATCGTAGAGCACAATTAGAATGCAGAGGGTGTCTGGTGCGCCGCAGTCGGAAGGTTTTCCCTGTTAGGACCAGAAATAGGCCTCGACTGCAATGGTCGCCACTGACATGATATGGCCTGGAGGCCAAGGTAAACAGCAATTGCGTACTCACGTTTCCTCACTCGCCATCTCCTCGCTTCCTCGGATTCCTCGCCGTCGTCTATTTCTTGCACCAACATGACGGTTTCGACGTTTCCGGCGGTTTTATCTAATGCCTATGCTGATACCAAACGCACGTTGGGTAGAAGTGGTTGCGTTTTCAACAAGGCCTTACCCATCTTTCCCCTTTGAGTCTTCTGTATACGAATGGACCCCTTTATCATACCTGTACCCTGCTGCAGGGCTCTCTAACTGTCGTCTGGGAGCATGGAGCAACTCTTCGGGATAGCTGGTCTATCGACAGCTCGCACGAGCTCGGAAGGCTGGCGTTCGGGGCCTTGCTGGACTATGATGCGGTGAGCGTACCCCGGATAGTGTTATTTTATACGAAGTCTGTTGTATTTGAGTTTTCCGGTAGTGTGAGATAGGTATTGGGGGGCAGCGCCTGGCGCAGGTGGCACATTTGTTCATGCAGTCCCTTGGTGCATGTTCCCGTGCAAATCAATCGAACCACCATGCTTGCATCCTTATGGATCCGGCGTGACGCCTGGTCACGCTTTTGTGCACCCGTTGATGCCACGTTGCCAAATGCTGGTGGGCTGCCGAAGACCGATCTACGAAATCCTCCACGTGCCTCATGTTACCCACTCCGGCATGTTTTTTATCACCATTTTTTCGTGCGTTGCAGGTCTGGTATCTATCTCCTGCCGACACGGACTGTGTCGGCGTTCTCCGGTACAGCGTCGTGCCCCATCCTCGCCTTGCACCCACGGTAAGCTGTGTGTGTCGTTGTACCAGACGTTGTTGCGTCCCCTCGATATTTTCAGTTGCATCGTAGCTCTCTGCTTTTCTCATACTGTTCAAGCCTGTCTCAGCCCTCCGTCGTTGCCATTTGCTTCCTATGGTTAATAATCCGCTTGTAACCTTCACGGACCCTTCTTGATAGGGCGGTTGGATCAGTGGAAGCGGGCGACTCCGAGACGATCCCTATATCATCGTCAAAGCTGAAGCTGCTCCCTCCATTCGTCCTAGCAAGGCAGCCAGTCGAGATCGAGGGGACGGGCGGGGGGGCTCAGGGCAGAGGCAACCAAATCTCGATCCCCATCACCACCAAGGTAGAGTGGGAGTCGAAGGCCTGACGAAGTCCACGCATGGAGCGGCTGATGGCGGGTACACAGCAGCTGCGCCGTCGCGTGGCCACGCGGGGCGATCGCGAGGAACAAATGGCACGCATGGGCGGCATGCGGAGCGCTATGAACCAGCGGAAGAGAGTCACAGCGATCGCGTGTCTGCGGGTCCAACGGCGGAGGGGGGGCGACGAACGCAGCCGCAAACTCCTTCTAGAGTCTTGCCGAAGGCCGTCTCGGCTGGGGGGAGCTTCGGGCTCGCAACAAGCCCTTCCGCAAAAGCACTGGAGGCGAACGACTCTGGCGACAAGGTGACGTGTCCCGTTTGCAACCGAGGCATGGACCACTGGAAGTCGGGGCAGCGCCAGCAGGTGATCCACAAGCGCGCGGCCACCTTTGTGAAAGTGCTATACCACGGTTTTGGTTGTGGATATATCGCAGGGCGCGCGAGTCTTTGTTGCGAATCTGGCATTCTCCCATGAACCCGTTGCAAATGTTAGTTAAGAGAGTGAGGTTGAATAGACGTCAACGTAGCCACGTCGCGTGGGTTAGCATGCGTCTATTTCGTTCGTTGGTGTTCACTCATAAGCCTCGCTGGTACCTAAGGTGTTCTATCCAGCCGTTGCTGCAATTCATGTTCCCTCTAGCCTCTCGACCTGGTCGGCCGCCGAATGTCGTACCAACTAACACCGTCTTGCTCCGTCCCACACAAATTTCCCGCCGTCCGTTTCCACAGCACGTCCACGCCTGCCTGATGAAGCAGCCGTCCTCCGCAAAGAAGACCCGTCTTGCCGGAGACGCAACGCCGAGCGCCTCGCGGCCGTCGGGGATTACACACCGATCATCGCTTCAGTTCGATGGGTCGAGCGACCCCGGTGAATCAACTACACCACGTCCCGAGCGTAGGCCAGGAGTGCGAAGGACGGAAGGAACGGGATCGTCCGCGAACAGGCAAGAAGGGCCGTCAGGTCCTTCGGAAGGACCGAGGTCATCACGGGTGTCACTTCAAGGGGTATTTTCGCCGAAAGTGAGCTGGTGAACCTTCTTTTGTAGTGACAGCAGTATGTGTTGGGTGTCCCAGTCGGATTTGCTCACAGCAGGCCCGATGATGAGATACGCCGTCCGTTGCATTTTTTTTGGTGCATCACTTCAGGATTGCATCATCCGCGCGTTATGTGTGTCGTGAAGCTCCGACAAAGTCCCAGATGGATATTTATTACTAAAATCTATTCGAACCCAGCGAGATCCTCGTCTGTTGCTATGGTCTACATTTTAGCCGAGGTTGAGGAAGCGCACGTGTCTCTTCCTTTTGCGGAACGAAGTCTAGACCAAGATATAGGAAATGAAAGGCGATTTTACCCTCGTGGGCTCCTTCTGCGGTGCTTCGTTGCAACCTGCCACTGCTGTGGTGTTTGGGGATCTTGCTCGATGATGGCATGCCGAATACCCACCCCGCCCACCCCCGCATCGCTCCACCGATCCTGTCAGCCTGCACGTGACCCAGATGGAACAAATACGGTCTCGGCATCAAGAGGGACGGCGCCGGCTAGGGGACCGGCCACCACGGGGAGAATGTCGTCATCGAAGGGCCTCACTGAGTGCCCTGTCTGTGGGGTTAGTTTTGGAGGCCGACAGGGGCAGTGGGAGAGACAAGCGCACGTGCAGCAATGCCTGGATAGTGCCTGGGAACCCTAGAATAGGTGTTCGGCTTTGGAGCGAAAGGTGTTGGAAAGAACACGGCGTCGACAAGCTTTTGGAAACGAACCGCTCCACATGAAAGGAGGACGAGGTTGGTGTTTATCGGAGGGTAGGGCGGGGGGCGTGGAGTGGTGGTAACAGTACGATTTTGCTTCCGCCACGAAGCCCCACGAAGATGTCAAATCAGCTTCATGTGACGCATGGTGTTGTCTCGACATACGCTACGGCACGTCTTACGGCCTTGTCACGAATTGGCCAGGTGTGGCGACATGACCATCGTCTGCTCTTTGTTCCAGCTGTTGGCACCCCTTCACCAACGAAACAGACACCCATGGAGCAGCGTAGACCACGCCCGTGCGGTTCTGTTGTCGTGGGAAGCGCGCAGCAGCTGGTAGTTTCTACGCACGCTGTGTTCGTGTCTGCTTTTACATGGCAACCTACCCGATACCTCCGCCCTCCGCCCTGTTCTAATGGGCATTCCTCAATCATTTGTGGTTACGCATACCCCAATGAGGGTACTAACTTGTCCAATAACAAGTCATCAGAGAAATCTGGGCAATTATGTGGATGACACATGGGCAAGTATATTGGAAGCGTAGGACCCATGCGGACACATCAAAAGTCAAGGAAGAATCGATCCTTGAAAGCGTTCCGTGAACCATGGGAACTCGAGAGACCACTGACGGCCGTCCACATTCCTTGCTTACATGACCGGGCGGACCACTTGTGGCGGCCGCCCTGCCTATTCGTTTCTGGTACCTCCCTCCTTGCTCAAATATCAACGAAGAGCACCACCTGCCCTCGGTAGCGAACTACAGCTACCTCGACCTTGGGATCCTTCTCCACCCGCCTTCGGAAGGGAGCAAATGCTAAACCTGGGGAAACATGTACGATAACAGGGTGCAGCGGCCTCTGCCGCCGCGAGAGAGGCCAGCATGGAAGCACACGAGAGTCTGCCTGCAGGAAAGCGCTCATAATACAAAAGCGCTGGACCCATACGCAAACCGGTAACACAAGTTTCATAGGCACTCAAAACTTTTCTTCACTTACACAGAGTTCAATCCTGTCAGACCCCCGCGGGTTCGTCCAGAACACATAACCGAAAAGTAAAAAGACAATGTAGAGCATTTATACGGGACGCCAAACACACAATCATTGAATTTTAACTCCCCGTCAGGTACCTAGTTCTAGGGAGAGCTGTTCCAGCAAACCAAGAAGATACCGCACAACGACAACGACACACGACTATGCTGATACTCTTGCTGCTTCTGGTGGTTGTCGTGTGACTCCTTCCTCGTTTCTGTCCCCCGTGTAGGTCCTGGACAAGCGCTCCTCAAGTTGGTGCACCAAAGTTAGATCTGCGCATGGAACACGGCAATATTTGTCAAAACCTAAACAAGCACGAATTGCAAATGAGGAGGCTGCGTTCGGAGGCCAACACCGCCTTGCTTTGTTAGGGTGCTCACCTCCAGTTTCTGCTGCCTTGAGAGCTTGTTCTAAGCTTTTTTTCCGGAGTACAAACACCGGGTTGCTGCTACGCATAATTGCCAGCCTTTCTTTTCTCCCCTCTTCCCCGCCCTCGGGATGGCCGTTTCCAATGCCCTGTGAGTCAATTCGCGAACTGTAATCGCGGATCCAGGTCGCCCACTGCTTGCGAGCTGTACTTGAGGCTCCGGCGGCGTTTAACACAGAAGACAGAGGTCGCAGCGTCTCCTCATCATCATTGCAGATGTCATCTTCGACGCCAGTAGCTTCTAAGTGCTCAGTGGTCAAGTTTCGTCGCGCCTTGCGTGCCACAGACAGGGCCGGAACGTCAAGCAAAGCTCGCCAAGTTTCGGTGAAATCCGTCCGACATGCTGCCATCAGGTCGAAAAAACTCAAAACAAACTGTGCGTCTGGTGGAAGCTTCTCTTGCATTTCGCCAGCGGGCGCATCCCCACTCCTTCGCGGGTGAATCCAGCCACTTCCCAAATCCATGCCACTCAGCCCTAGTTTCTTCTGAAGATGTACGGTGTAGGCGGCATCAAAGGCCGGTGAAAAGGCAGCGTTGGCTTCAGCAACTCCCGAAACCCCTGCACGGGCAACAACCACAGCGAAAGGCGCACCATGCCTTAAAACAATTCGTGCCACAGAGTATTGCAGGTGGTAACGTTTTATGGCGGCTCCCACATTAGGAACCCCCGTCGTTCGAGGAGTGTGTGCAGCGTGGTAGGTTGAACATCAACAAACGCGTCTCTCGTTAGGCACAATACTAGCGCAGTATGCACGGGTGCCGCCGCGTGTGGTGCTGCCAAACCAGTAAAATGACCTGAGGAACGTTCAGACGTGGCGGTTGTATCATTGGGTGCTCTCACCCACAATCGGAGAGAAGGCCTCGGCGAGTCGCTCGCAGTTCCACGCTGATACATCTGGTTGATTTCGGAAAGCGTAGCGCAGAGCCGAATCGCCTTCATTCGGAGACCAAGTTGGGTCATAAGCCTCCATGAAACTGAGAATGTGTAACGACGTAAACGACGCCATCAAACAGGGGGCCACAATGCAGCGTTCTCACGAACTCACCATATTGATACGTACACTCCGCCTTTCGAGGAATACTTCAAGGTGCAGGAACACAGCGTATGCAAGTTGATCAAAATTTCCACCGACTAGCCGACGAACATCGAACAAAGAACACAGCTATCTGCAACACATCCGCTTTGTGGCACGCTTGCTTACCTACAAGGTCCAAAGTCGAGTCCAAGGCCGAGCAGGGTAAAGTTGTCCGTGTTGAGAACACCGTGACAAAACCCCATCGCCTGCCATCCGGCCACCATTCGAGCTGTAGCCTGCATGCCACCGGTGGCATCGTTCCAACGTGGAGATTTGTTGGTCGGGCAAGCTGTCTCAACGTCCGATTGATCAACTATCAAATGTGCACGCTACTGGGGCAATCCCGTCCACCAAATGTTTTCTGCCGCTTACTATTGGGCACACTCCTCAATCTATTATCCCCCACCGGAGGAAGCAGCTATGTTTACTCACTCACTCTACACGATACGGGCGTTTGGCCACCGGCCTTGGTCACATGTTTACCGCGCTGGATGGCGTCCATACCTGCACAATAGCCACAAGAAGCTCCACATAGTCGTTACGAGCGCCCATTTCCTGATTACTCTCCTTGCCGTTTCCTTGGGCCTGCCCGTCTTCCTCGTTTCGCCCAATGCCCAGATCCTTTCCGGAGGTTAAAAATTCTCTTGTCCTTTCGTCCCCCGACCCCGTTGCGTGTGCTAGTAGACTCGATTCAAAATGTGGACTGAGGTGGCGGAGGCAGTAATCGGCCAGCTTTCGCACGAGTGTCACGTCGCCCCTCCTTGCCGGCAACTCGAAAGATCCAAATCGCAGAAAGCTTGGTGCAGTACGGCAAAGAACCGCGCCCCGCGCTCGTTTGAACGTCCCACCGTTTTTCGGATCAGAGTCTCGAATCGTGGCGCTTTCTCCGGAAGAGCAGACCGAAACCGCTACCGCTGCTGGGAGCCCAAGGCCCAAGAAGGCCTGAATATCAATAACGACAACAGAGCGATCGAAACTTTTGGTCATAGTCGACACCATAATTTGGGCATGCATAAGCACCAGAAAACTAATCCCAGAAACACACTACATAGACTCAAGAAAGCTTACCTCACTAAACAAGAACTCGCGCAGGCATGCCCCAAGGACTGCAGGATCCCGACACCGTGACAGGAAACGAGCGGGAGAAACGGAACCACATTTTGGTGTCAAACGTGGGAGGGAGAGGAACTTAAAATGCAGCACAATATGAAACCTCGCACAGCGACGACGGTGTTTGGTTTCTACTAAGCTCTAGCGCGTGCACCCGTGGAGTCAGCGTGTGTGGTAGCACCGTTCTTGTATCCTGGGGTAACCAGCTGTTGCAATCGTTCCTGGTAGTGTGTCTCACCTGCTTTCCCGTCGCCTCCTCTAGAAAATGGTGTCTGCCCAATGCCCTTGAGTTGAATCTGTATCAATCCATTCACGCCGCGCATCACGGCAAAAAGTTAGACAAGGGAATGAAACTTAGCAACACTACGCGCATCCCCAGTTCGACTCAACATCGCGCCCTTCAGCCAAAAATGGACGGGAATGACAGCACGAATCAGGCAAGGGGCTGACGCTTCTGATAACACCCGTCCCGCCACTACAATACACAGCCTGTGTTCGATTCAATCATGGCGTCGTGTGACCGAGGCAAAAAACGTTGCTAGGCAAGATACCACCCCTACCCCGCTACTGTTATCATCGTCTTGATGTTTTCCCCTCGATTCACCATTTGTACTACCTCCATCCAGTACTGAACCATGACCAAAAATAACGCTATCCTACGCAGTGCCCCACCACCTGCGAAAACTACACGGTCCTAAACCAACGAATCCAAGACAACGAGAAGCACGATTGAGCGAAAAAAAGGCGAACACCAAAAAGCGGTACCTGTACAACTTGCCACGGAATTTGATCGCGTTCTGCAACGCTGATTGGTCTTTTCAATCCTACACCGTTTGGTGGCAATAGTAGGCGGCGATGAATCAGATCGGGACCTTTAAGGTTGGCTATCACAGTGTCTTAGCGTGCCCCCGTGCCTCTTTTTGGCGCCCATGAACTGACCATTCATGCCACAGCAGTGTCCCAAAGGTCTCACGCGCCGAAACCGTGACAGCCAACCTGAAAAGCCTCGACCTGATGTACAGCGGCTTACCAGCGCCACATACCGGAAGAATGGACCCATCAACATTACGGAACGTTTTCAAAGTTCTTGAACGTTTCTGGTGTGTCGTCTTTTAGTCTGGCTGGTACCGTCTGTTGTGTTTGCTCAAAACAACATGAGAGTGTGAAGAAGCTATACCAGTAACCCTCCGAAGCAGTGGAGTGCTCACCGCCGGAATTTCGCGAACCAGGTTACCCCCTCCGGCAACGCCCTACCTGATGTGTGAGACGGGTTCCACACAAAAAATGACCACAATACTGCTGTCCACGCACGTTACGTCAGACGGTACGGCGTGTCCCAAACAGTATCTCCGACTATCCTTGCTTCGCGTGGAGGCCGCTGGAGTAACATTTTGGAATCATGGGAAGCGCACGAGATCATTTGCGTTACAGGATGAACCCCACCTCCACCAAGCCCCCAAGGTTTTTTCCAGCGACATGCTCTTTTCCAGCGACTCGTCCGATCTCGCTTTGGCCATCGCTCAGAATCTCCCCAAGGGTCGCAACCCTGCCATCACCAAGTTGGCCAGCCCAATTGCCGAACTGATGCCCGCCGTAGCTCGAGGAGAAAGGCTGCGCACCTTCGAGTCCCACCGTCCCCGTGAGGGCAAGCGCAACCTGTTTCAGTTGGCACGGCGGAAATGCGCCTTCCGCCCCCTGATTTTCTCTCCTTGTTGCCCCAACAAATTCAAGGGGTATCCCCGTGAGCGCAGCGGCGGTCTTGCTGAGAATAACCACCTTCGGATCTGGGGCAGAATCCAAGGAAACGAAGGCATAGCAGGCGTTTCGAACTTCCCGTGACACCTGTTTTCGTTGAGAGCGACAACGCGAAAGGCGCACCGGGCGCCGAGAGAGATTTATGTGTGTGTATGCCTGACGCACAGGCCTCCACAAACTTCGTGATGGCCTTCATGGTGTTGCGAACAGCGGAACACGCCCTTTTCCTAGCTAGTAAACAGGGTGTGGCAATGCCCTTGAGAGCAGAACCGCGAAAAATGTTGAATGCCCACCTTGCTGTAGCTCTCAGATGTGCCGCTGGCGTCCTGGTCAGTGTCGTCGTCGAAAAGCCCATCGAAGCCGGTAAAAACCTCCTCTGCGGGGAGGTCAGCGCATCTCCCGGGCCGCTCACACACCCAAGGCCATCTCCCCTCGAGCGATGCGAAATTCTCATCCCCAGAATGCGAAGAAACCCGTGCAAAACAACCCGGATCCGAACGCGGTCTCAGCAGCAGCGGCACCGAGGTATGCACGAAAGCTCGCGTCAAGCCCGCGAAGGCAACCCAGACAAGCGAACGGCCGAAGCGGAATCTTCTCCCGCTGGGTGTCCGCCTACGATACAAAACGTAATCCGTGGATGATGGGTGATTCCGACCGCACGTCAGGAGTTGGGATCGCTGTTGAGGGTCAAACGATACGCCCACGGGAAGGAATATGCCGGCCTATCTCTATCATCACAAGGGCGCAATCTACGAACGACAGCCGGTGCCACAGTTTAGGAGGCCCTTTTCCAACACACGCTCTGGCTCTCCACAGAGGTAACGAACCAAGATACAAGATAGACGTAGGGCACCCCATGTCGACCTGAAAAAACGTCAAGCCTTAAGACTGCTGGGCAGTCAATGCACGAGTGCGATACACCGTGTACACCATTCTCGGTCGTCCCATCGTGTTAGAGAGAGAGAGAGAGAGAGAGAGAGAGAGAGAGGGTACACCAGCCTACTGCTGCTGCTGTGTCGAGTATCAACCCCGCGGTGTTTGCCTGCCAATCGTGGTGTTTTGGCGAGTTATCCACTCAAATGCCCCTCGCCACACCCGCATCTCTGACTAAACTTATCTCTACCACGAACAATGGTTGATTCCCAGGATGTTCCGATTGGAACGTTGCGGTAGGATTAGCTCAGCGCCTGTAGTTTTGCATCAATGCATCCATCTCTGGGAACATAAAACATGAAAGTTACAACTGCTGTGACTAATGTTGGCCAACGGCTAAGGCAATATTTACGGCGGTTACACATAACAGCGAAAGCAAAGCAAATTTCACTGCAAAGCAAACTTGTCACATGATCCTGTATGCGGGTGGTACTATAATACATGTGAGCTATAGTCTTGCAGTGTGTACATCGTATTTGAAATATCAATACAATCTGCTTCCGACGTGGTCATGGCGGCAATGGTTTCACATGTTCAACTGACTCACCGATATAATCCACATCTTGCCAATCCTATTTTTTCCATCCCCTCGATCTAGCCCGCTTCCTTTCCGTTCACGGCTCTCCTGTAGTATTGTAGGCAATCGCCAGCTGCAGAGCTGTGCAGCGGCGGCGGCGCAACCATCGTCGGGGCACCGCAGATGAGGCTACTACGTAGACCAAACATCATACCGCGGAGCCTCCCGGGAGCACCAAAACACCAGTCAACAAAACAAACAACAGACAAGGCACCACGTGCGTCGCGTACAGGCGGGACAAGGCTAGGTGACATCGAGCGAGAGCTAGTGCAGGCCCATCCACTGAGCATTCGATCAGGCCCATGTCTTTATTGGGCCTTGCTGGCTATGATACCGACGGAAGCGACGGAGATGAAGGTGCCAACAACAACCAGCGCCGATCCCCCCAGGCCGAAAACACCTCGGGGGCCCAAGAGCCAGCGGCAGGAGCCAGCGGCAGCAGCAATGCCAACAACGCGCTGGAGGAGAACTCGGACAGCCGACTAGGAGAGTCGGTGGACGAGGAGGCAGGGGCCAATCGGGAACTTCGGACTGGGATTTTGAGGGCGTCGTCCTTCGATGCTCCGGCTCCGCCGTCGAAAGAGTCGAGGCAGTTCTTCATGCCCCTGCCCTCTCCTCTAGTCAAGCTAGATAACGCCTCTCCTAGCGCGAGCTCCCCCTTCATAACCTACGAACCACCAGACGGCACGGCGGGAGGAGCTGGGGCGGAGGGGGAGGGTGAAGGCGCAGCAGATGACGGAGCGAAAGACGAGGGGGATGGCGATATCATCAAGCCCGAATACCGAGATATGCTGCCTCCCGAGGCAACAGGTCAGGCCAACCCCGAGCTCAGGGCCAAGCTTCAGAAGTTCTTGAACCGGATGCAGGGGGACTTCACCAAGGTGATCAAGGGCAAGAAGGACTACGGGAACCCGGCCGTTCTTGCGCAGGTAAGACGGGGGAGAGTTCGTGATGCCACTGCTGTTATTTTCGCTGTCTTTGGTTTATTTGCAAGAGCATGAGAGGGAGGATCTGCCTAGACCCTGTGCTCAACACCAACACCTTGTTTGAACCTGCCGACGACATAATGGACTATTGTGGACCACGGTCAAACCGGACCCTGCTTCAAGAATGGCGGCCCGGATCCTCAACGGCAATGCCTTCGAAATGCCAGTATTGCAGGGTTACTGCGCTTTACAACCGGACCCTGTTTCAGCAATGGTGGCCCGGACCCTCGACAGCAGTGCGATCAAAATGCAAGTTCATCTTGGTGCGGTTACAGCTTTCCGACCCAGAGCAGCCTACCGTATGTACTCTGTAGTTATAGTTACAAACGGCCGCACATCGCGTTTGATTACGAGTTTGGATTAAAGCATACCTGGCATGTATCGTATGTGTTCTACCTTCCAACGCTTCCGATCTGGAATCCAGGATTTTCGAAGCAGGCGATGTGGCGAAACACGGCCGGGGACGGTGGAGAGGACGTGCGCTCTGTTCACCATTTCAGCAGTTCATGAATACGTATGCGCCAGATATTGCCACCAGACAAGAGTATTGACCATGCCCCTATTTTCGTGTCGCTGCTTGCCATGTCACTTGCCGATTCCTCCTCATGTGCTCCTCCAGATCTGCCGCTACTGTTCTGTCGACGATAAGGGGACCAACTACCCCGCAGACCGCATGGTGCACCCGTCCGTGTACGACACCAAAGACTTCCACGATTCGCTCATGATGCAAGAGCAGCGGAGAGCGAAACGCCCCAAGCCCGACGAAGCAAAGGTGTGTTGCGGTTTCTGTCCAAGACGGTGGTTTGTTGTCGTCGTCTCGCCGATCGTCGTCGACAACCTATGCATACGGCCTTTCTCCGGCAGCTCTCCCTCTCCTCTCGAATCCCCGGCGCTGCTGTGTTTAGCTTAGGCCCATGGGCGTTCGTGTTGGTGCTCCTCTCGCATGGGGTAATACTCCTCATGTAAACAAGCGTTTTGTTTGGGAGCTGTTGCAAGGTCTCACTTCAAAGAGGTTGCTACCTCAGTAGGTATCCCAATGGCCCGTGTGGAGTATGGTAGCAGCACTGCTGTTGGTCTTTTCCTGTTGTTGTTGTTGTTGTTGTCTTCACATTGAAAACCGTTCCGATCTCTCTCTACCCAGTACCTTCGTATGTCCGTACTGATCCAACAATCGACGCGGTCGATTCCCGTGGTCACAGGTTAACTTACCCTAAAAAGGTACACTCCAATAAACTGGCCCCGAGGGGTCCGCAAGTCAATAGAAATCAACGACAGATATTCTGGAATCCTCCACTCCCTCTTCGCGCTATGCGAGGTATCAACTGAGACTAGCAGTCACTATCTATCATGGGCCGGAGAGAAAGAGGTACACCCCCTTTCCTGGCACTGACTGAAAGCCTGTTGCTGTGCCTTGGCTTCTTTTCTGGCGCGCGAATTCCATACGATCATTGTGGGGCAATCACTGTACAAAGCAGCGAGGGTGAAGCCTACCTACTGCACAACTTGGCCGATGGCGGTGACGGGGACATTCTAGTACGACTTGTCGTAGCAAATTCGCTTCCCAGTTACATGCATGAGCAACCGAGCGAAAGTCTCTACAAGGGCAGCCCCGCCAATAGAGAGGCCTCGCGATTCGTCTTTTCCCATACTCTCGAGGGGGTATAGGTCTTGGTTTGGTATGACACCGGCTATAATAGCGTGTAGCCCCTTACAGTCATGACAAACCTGCGCTACTACAGCAGTGCCATGGCCTCGCTCCAAAGACGATGTTCCTTCTCCTGGCCGACTTCTCATCATCTATGCACCCCACCCCCACCCCCACCCCCGTCGGATGATGTAATGACAGGCCAAGGCAGCAGCAGTGGCGCAAGGCGCGGCGGCGGTGGCGGCGGCGGCGGCAGCGGCGGCACCACGACCAGCCGCTGCAACGGGGGCCCGAGGCTCGGTTGACGCGGCTGTTCCTGCCGCCTCGGGTAGCACTCGAAAGCGGGGGAGCAAGTGGGGGGTGGCCGGTAGCAGCTTACCGTTCGCCGGGCAGCAGATGCAAATGCAAGCAGCAGCGCCAGTGCCAATGCCCCACATGCAAGGTTCGGCAGCTGCTTCAACTCTTCCTCTGGCAGGTGCTGTTTTGCACGCATCTGCAGGAAATTAGAGAGCGAGAGAGAGAGAGAGAGAGAGAGAGAGAGAGAGAGAGAGATAGAGAGAGACAATAAACATGAAGATATCGTAACAAGAACTCGTCCTCCCACCCCATTGCTGTTTAGTCAACCCTGTTCCTCGGAAATGGTGCTACTGCAAGGCACCTTACCCCCACCCCCGTTCTTGTCCCATTTCGTCCACGCGTCTTCCCTTCCCTTCCCGAAGTGGCGGCAGCAACAGCTGCAGCGGCAGCGGCAACAGCGGCAGCGGCAGCAGCCGCAGGGTCGGGGATGGCACGAGCGGGATCGGTGGGGGCTGGTGCGGCGGCGCCAGTGTCAAAGGGGAGGGTCGGCTTTTCGGCGGACCCCGGGGCGACCGCCGCACGAGCTGGGCAGGCGGCCTTGCTCCTCAACGCGCAGGTGCAGGCTGCGCAGGCGGAAAAGGAGGCGCAACATCGTGCGGAGGCTATCGCGAGGGTTCAAGTGAGTCGAGTCAGAGGGTGGATGCTTGCTGTGCGACTGAGTGGTGTGGTCTACGCCGAAGCGTCGGTCGGGTATTTGGTTTGCCTGAAAGTTCTCGTGGGTGCGCGGGCTTTCGAACAGAGCCAGCTATGTGGTGTTTGAGCGAAGCAACATCTGAGGGAACCGACATGAACGTTTGTGGCCAGGCCAGTTTGAACCAAACAAGGAAACAAATCCAGCTGGACGCCGGTAGGTCCAGCAGAGGGTCACTCCCCCATGTGTCCACGTACCGTTAACAACGGCCGGCAGAGTGGTTACCTTCAATAGTATCAACAGATGGATTCCATGAGCTAGCGGCTGCTGGCACAAAGTGTTGTGAACAGCAATCGTGCCCTTTGTTGTGCAACGGCAGTGGGCTCGGTAAGTGGTAGTGATGGTATGTATGTGCTGTTGTAGTATAGCGTGTTTTCAGAGCACCCGGCACTTTTTTATCTATTCCAACAATGAGGAAGCTTGACTCTTTGTCCACACGATTACCGACACTGCGGTGTTAGCGGTCAGTCACGAAACGTGGCTGCTGTGCAACTGTAGCACGGAATCGGTGTGTACGTCTTGTGGTATACCCCCATGCGATGCCTATATTTCCCTGGCGCGGACAATGTGGTTACAGTATCACTCTTTAGCAGGCCGGCCGTCGATATCATGTGCGTCAGTCACGGCTTTCGTTTTCTGGTGCCGAAGACTAAAGGCTAGTCAACATCTTTGGGCCTTCGACGAATCCGTTTGAAAGTTGGCCGATGTGTTGAATTGTTCTTTGACTCTCTACATGTGTCTCGTGTGGGCCGACCTATGCATACGGTAGTATATCACTTTTCACGACGCGAATGCCCACGGTAGGTTGCATAAGATACCACACTCCCTGGACTGATTTTCAAAGCTCGATTACTCGACAGAAAAAGCGGTGACGGTGTCGACAGTGGCGGCATTAGAACCGTCTCTCTCGTCTAGAGCCTTCCGGAAACGCATCAGTTGCATTTGAAATCGGCACCTTCCTCGTGGGGTAATCGGGCTTCGAAAGTCGGTCCAGGAGGTGTGGTATCTAATGCAACCTACGGTAAACGCTGGAAACGGTGTGTGTGTGTGTGTTTTTTTCGTTCCAGACCGGCCATTAGGGTGGGTAGATTCGGTCGACCGTTGGTTTCGTTCGTGTTTGGTGCAGTGCTTGGTGCTGCCAACAGCTCGTTCGAGTAATAATGTATTTTTGCGCACAAAATTGTAATATATCACACCAACACTGCCAAGGAATGCTATGATAATGTTGGTGACATTGCCATTGCCACGGCTCTCATGTTCACGGGCTTCGTGTTCATGTGTAAAGCACTACAATACAATGTACCCAGGAACATTTGGGTGTAGGCCAAGCTGTTGTTGTGGACGTTCGGGCCCGTTGTCTCTCAGCCTTGAGCAGTGTCGCAGCGTGAGCCTCCTCGACCTTCCCCCATCCTGTCGATTCGGTCTCCAGCGAGATAACGTGGCAACGTATTCTAACCAAAATGTTTTTTCGCACGGCAGTGTCGTAAGTATTTGAAAATGTGCAGATCATGCATCAAAGTAGTTACGATTGCCAATGACCTTGAACCGCAGCAACGCCAACGGCAAAGAGTCGTTCTTCACCCCCGTTTTTTCCGTATTGTATTGTATTGTTGAGTGTTTGATCGAATCCCGCACCCTTCCCCTCCTTCGACTTGTCCTGTCTGTCGTCTTGTGGCCCCAGATGATCGCCAACAGGGCCGGAAAAGCAGCGTCAGCATCGACCCAGGAGCCACCAAAGAAACAACAACGCTTGAATTGACTCTCAACATATGATAGGTTGAATGAATTGGGTCTTTGACAAAGGTTGTCTGGAGTCTTGATTGCTTCTACGCGAAAGTGTGCTTGTTTGGAAAAATCAGAAGTGTGCCACACTGTACTCTGGTGGCCGGGACGTCAGGCGGTTGAACGAGAACAGGCTTTGTCAGTTTTCCGCTCACATGAAACCTTGTGCAGAGAGGAGGCTGCGTTTTGTCTCGTACGATGTGGCACGGCACGAGATGGTCATGCGCCGTTGTTCAGTGTGTGCAAGACTGTACTGATCGGGGTGCATTATTGTGTGCTAAGGCAGAGGTACGTAGTCCTAGCCTGCCCGAAAACGTCATTTTCTCAAGCGGGATAGATGTGGCACCCGGTTTGGTTGACCTTCTCAAGCTGCCACCGCACACCATAGCTCCAACAGCAATATCACGTTCAACGAGCAGGAGACGTACGTAAGGTTTCAATAGATGGTAGGCTAGGTTCTTCGAGTACGTACGCGGACAAGGGGGATGTATCCATTTAGAATTATCCTCTCTTGCGTATTGATGGTCTTGTTCCTTAACCGTACAGGTACCGGCCAACGACAAGAAAGATATGTAAAGTAAGCGTGCTTCAGGGCCCGCAGATCCTCTGTGGAATAGATTGCCGTGTGCCCACGGCTGCTTCCCCAATTGATTTTTACTTCAAGTGCCGTTTGTTTGTGTCCTTGTGTACGATGGCGTCACAGGAACAAAGGCACAACTACGTAGGGAGGAGTGCTGCAGACGGCTCCAAACCCCCCTCTCGTTTCAAGTGCCGTTTGCGTCTTGTAACGATGGCGGCGTCACGAGCTGAGCGTGGATATAAGAAATAAGGTGGTACGGTACATAGCTCGAGAGGGGGGGTGGTATTCATCATCATCAGCAGGGAGGAGCAAAAAAAAAAAAAAAACTCTTTTTGCTGTGCCTCTCTGCTTTTTGTTCGAGCTGGCGACTCAATAGCGTGTGCGATGGAGGTGGCCAGACGCACTAGTCCCTCGCGCACAAGTGTAGAGAGGCGTACAGCAGTACCTATTGCACCACCAATGGTGTTGCGTAGCAGCAGCGTCTGTCTGTGTGTTGCTGGTGTGATGTGCCTCTCTCCAAGGAAGGAGAGGTATGAAGGCGCTGCCGCCGTCAACTGCCGCCGCCGCTGGCTGCTAGCAAGAATCGGTGACAGAGACCCAACCAATCAATATGTTCATTCAAAGGCACATCTTCGAGAAAACCTCGACGTCTTGCACTGCAGCAGCAGCAAAGCCACACAGAAACCCCAAGCTCTTTGCTTCACATTTCGGCAACACAAAATAGACTACATGAGAGCAAGTTTCAGCAAATGCCCGATGTCGACGAAAACCGCTTGCAGGCAAGTGCGCTACGATGCGGCCGGTTGATGCGCTTGACACAAGGTCATGTCGCTGCCAAAACCGCCGCTGAGGGCAAAAACCAGCTAAATCGACGCCCCAACTGGCGAAAACATCATGATCATCACGGAGCGTCGCCGAGGATACAAACAAATAGCCTGGGAATTGATAATGCTACAGTCATGCAACGGGGCACCTGATGACGCAATAAAACGAGACGCACTTTGCAACGGCCATAGCCACCTGGCAGCACTCCTGCACAATATACCAATGTGAGGGCAGCAGCGGTGGTCGCTTGCGAAGGAAACTGGGTTAACGATGAGTAGCAAAGGTTGGTGTGCACACAGCAACGTACAATTTTCCTGTAACCAATACCTGCGGGTCATCATGATTTCCCCGCAAAACAAGAGGAACCGGCTGTTCTCAATGCCTGCCTTGAAATCGTAGAGAGTCAGCAACATCACACGCACAACTCCACTGCACCATGAAGCTCATCACATCACATACATGTAGATCCCTGCTTAAATGCAGTCAGCCATATTCACATCGCAAGGCAGGCTGTAGGCTCCTCTTCTTCGGCGCGAACCCAGCCCGCCTTCGCCCCGCTACAAGAGCTCCGCTGCTGCCGCCATCCGCTTCTTCTTGAGAGCCTTCCGCTGCCGCGGGTTCAGCCTTCGCTCGGTGGTCACCGCCCCCGTCTGGCTGAGCTCGTCAAGAGACCTCAACACAGAAACACCCCCCCTCTTCTGTGTGATGGTCCCTTCGAACACGGCCTCGGTGTGGCTCCCGCAGTGCACGTACCACACCCCGGTGAAGGGCGAGTCCGCGTGCCCCGTACCCTCCGGGTGGTCGAAGTAGTACTTGTTCTCCGGCACCACGTAGAAGGGCTCCCCGCCCGGTCCCGCGGCCGGCCCGAGCACCGCCAGCCGGTAGTAGTCTTTGGTTGCGACGTAGTTTGGTACGAGAAGGAACCAGGGCTTGCCAGAGGCCCTGCAGTACTCCAGGCAGCGCTTCTTGTGGTCGCCGCTGTAGGGGGGGTTGGTGATGAGGACGTCGTGCTTGGGCTGCCGCTTCTCGCGGACGACCTTGTAGAAGTCTTGGTTGCTGTGCTCGACCTTGGGGAACCCCAGCTGCCCTAGCAAGCGCGGCGTGCGGCCCGCGCAATACTGTATTGTTGTTGTGTACCCAAGTATCGTCAGGCGATGAGAAAGAAAGGCAAGGATACATACGCACATCAGGATTGTTCACTCTGTCCTGGGCTAACGGTGAGGTTGCGAGCTGGTAGGTGTGACGTGGGGGGGGAAGTCGATCCGACAGAGAGAGACGAGATGCGTGTGGTATGCATATGTCGACGCGGCAAAAACAAAACAAAACACTTTTGTTCGGATCATGGACACCACCAACCAAAGCAAAGACTGCCGGTTAGGGGATTTGGCACAGGAAGTGGACTCTCTAGCGATAAAAATGAGATGAACAGCAGGTTCCTTCCAAACATTAGCACTCTCAAGAAAATGCGGCCTAATCTCTCCCTGTTGTACCGCGTTGATGGTGACGCTCACTGAGCCTCTTGCTCAACATGCTGGCTAGGACTCACGTAGGGGTCCCAGATTCGAAGATGCTTCCGCTTCTTGTCCAGCAGCTTGGCGAGCAGCGCCAACGCGACCTCTATATCTCGGTAGGCTTGAAGCGGTGTTTCAAAATGGTCGCCGTACTCGGTCGGGAAGGGGTGATGGTGTGGGGCTGCCAAGCTCTCTCTCGGTCTTTTCTTCCCCGCCAAGGACGCAGCTGCTGCTCCTGCACCGTCTCCTCTTGGCCGCTTCTTTCCTTGGTCGGAGGGATCTCCTGCTACTGTCCTCTCGCCCGTTCCAGAGGTGGTTGCAGTGGCGCTGCTGTGGTTGGTGCTTCGGTCAACTTTGGCGGAGGTACTCTCCTTGTCCCTCCTCCTCTTGTTGCTCTTGTTGCTCTTGTTGCTCTTGCTCTTGCTCTTGCTCCTCTTGGGATTCGTCCTAGTTCCCGCCTCTCTTTCTCCTTTCTCCATGATCAACAGCAGGTGTTTAGCCGGTAGGGAACTAGAGACGATCTGCCAGAGGTTGTAGGCACTAGCATGGTCGGTGTACGGGTTACCACTGCTTCGTGAATAACACTTGGTCGAGAGGGAGACACCCCGCACCCTCGGCCGTGGTGTGTTTGACGAAAATTCATGCACGAAACCCCCTCTCCAAGCCCCCACACAAACAAGCCTACCGAGGTCCTGGTGCATTTCTCGCTCACGAACCGCGCACCCTCCCCACACACCTCCACCGCCGCTCCGAGCGAGAAAGAGAGACAGAGAGAGCACCGACTGACTAGCAATGCAGCGCGTGGCAGTAGCAGCTCTGGGGCGGGCAGCGTGCCTTACTGCACGGCGGGCGGGATCGGCGGCGGCGCGGGGACGGTCTTTGCAGCTTCACAACTCATGGCAGCAAGCTCCCGCCGCTGCCGTGAGGCACTTCCACTTCTCTAGGCCTGTCGCGGGCGCCGCAGGAGACGTGAGTGAAGAGTGAGAGATGGGTGTGCGGCCGTGATGGCCGGATGGGTTTGCCTTTGCACAGTCTAGGATTAGGTCGACATTGCACCATCGGCGAGCTCTGTTTGCAGCAACCCGCTGACTCCGAGCATGCGAGGCCCCTCCGCCCCTTTCTGCGCTGCTGTCACATCGATTCCCGCCCACAGCAGTGTTTGTTTGTACACGTATCAGCATGTCAGCATGTCAGCGCTTTTGCGTCGGTTCTCCTTGGTTACGGAAAGTGTTATGGGTGTTCCACACGTTAATGTCGAGTATTTGGAGCGGAGGGAAAGCGAGCCAGCTTTTGTGTTCAGCGTGGCCCAAGAAATGCGTATGTACACATCACAGCCTTGAGCAGCAACGCGGAGTAAAAGCCGCTACAATAGTTCTCAGTCCAAGGGCACCAACCACACCGGTACGCACGGAGCTGCTGCCTGGCCCAGCCCATTGTACCAAGCGAGTACCTCCTATCTCCCTTCTGCTTGAACTTCCACCAGTGATTACCAGCGGCTTCAAAAACGCCTTTGTCGGTCTACTCCAGTACTTCAGTTTTTGTGTTCACCGATCGGCTGTTGAGATGCTGGACTGCTGTGCGCAGTAGTGCATGTTGGAATGTTGGTGCGCTAGTGGTGGCTCCTCTGACCGCATGGTTCACAGTGGCAGATACCCATCATGGTTTCGACATAAAATCTTGGCACGTACGGATCTAATCTGGTAGTACCGATAAATGCATGTGCTACGCGCATCGGGCGACACACGGAGACTCTGCTTTTCCCCATAGTGTCGTGTACAAAAGCATATACAAGTGACAGCAGTACTCTGTTGTTGCTTACACGGACGGTAGCTCTTGCGTGTGGGCGTCCTCGCTTGAAAAAGAGATTGGTCGTGCATACCATACAATACCATACCATACAATACCATACCAGGTACCACCCAGCACCGCGGACGGGTGCCATGAAGCATGATGCACATTTCCGTCGCAATGGTCCTCTACTCTTCGGTGCACACCTGCTATGGTAGAGAGTACTGCTGTACCGGTGATGGCAGGGATAGTTGTTGCTTCGCAACTCGCTCTTTTTTCATGAACGACAGCAGCGTGATAAACTGTTCGCTTACCTGCTGCTCTTGCGCTGTCGTGTGATTTTGCAGACGTTTTTGGACAAGGGGGATGCAACAGCTCGCATTATTGCCGTGGTGAAGGCATTTGAAAAGGTACGGTCCAAGCAGCGAGGGTTGTGTCAACAATTGTGGTCCAGCAGTCAGTACGCGAACAGTGTGCGCAAGAGGTACATGCCGTACGGTAGGTGGCCCGATAGAGGGGCAACTTGAATTGTGGAACTGCCGATACAGTGGCGCATCAAACTATCTTGTCACAATCTCAACACATGTATCGAATAGTGGCACTGCCCTGAATAGTGCCGTATTCTCCTCTTGCCCCTACTTGCCACTATATCGGGCCACCTACTGCTGTGTAGCAGTATTGTAGAAGGTGGCGATAGTATGCCGTGCGCCACGGAGAGCACCCAGGCGATGGATTTGGCGAACGACTTTCCTCGACAGCGCAGAGAGTAGCACCAATAACAAGCATGGCGACGTGCATAGAAAAAACCTTCGAAAAACCATGGACCATGGATGACATGTTGTCAATTCAGGCTCTGTTTTTTTGCCCATGTCAACACCGCCAGGTTTTTTTAGCAGGATTCGATTTTTATGCGCTTGATCTCAGGGGGCCTGGCATGAACAAGTCACATGCGGGGTTGCGCATACGTCTATGGCATGAAATTTATCGCTTGTCAAGAGGCTAGACCTCTCTTGCTTTCGTTGGCATGTTGTCAGTTGATCCGTTTGTAGGAAGATGATCCGCTGCGCCTGGCGCGAAGGAAGAATCGCGCTTGCTGCTGTAGCCAATTTTGAGTTGATGTTGCCGTTGCTTCGTGTTATGCAATCCAGTTGAAGCCACAGCAGTGGACCCATCACATCCAGAGGGTTTGCCTGCATAAGATGGCTACTATTGGCGTTGGTATGGAATGTTCCGCCACCCAGGTTGTCAGAGATGACGCCCATCAAACGCTGACCTGTGTTGGATAAAGCGCAGGTTCATGGGTGTGTTCGCCTGTCCTCGGCGTGCTTCGTGTTTCATTCTTTCCACCCAGCGGCGGCTCTTTCTTACGTGCTCAATGCATATGTACTGTGCCATACCCAAACCACCCTTCATATTGACTTTGGGTGTCTGGGGAGCGTTGAGAATCTGTACAAAGTATATCGAGAGGGACATGGTGCTGTCTACATGTTGTTCCCGTTCATTGTCGTTCGTCTTTTATCTCGAATTGCCTACCGAGGCGGAATCAAGTAACACATCCAGAGCGGCGGGTTCAGTCGCGCGACCCTCTGCTTCAAGTTTGGAGTAACCCATTGGAGGAGGTATTGCTGGGTCAGTCACACAACTCCATCTTGACCTATTCGCGAGCAAGCGCTCTAACAGCTGAAATTGACGTGTGCACCCACCCGCCCCCCCCCACCATCCCGTGGTTGTGTCCTATGTCGACGGTTTCTTTTTTTCTTTTTCCACACAGGTGGACCCGACGAAGGTGTCGGAGAACGCGCTGTTCAAGGACGATCTTGCTCTGGACTCTCTGGATGCCGTAGAGGTGGTTATGGCAATCGAGGACGAGTTCACGATTGAGATCCCAGACTCGGAGGCGGACAAGATCGCGGGCATTGCCGACGCAGTGGCGTACATCATCTCCCACCCTGCCGCAAAGTAGTGGATGGACTAAACCAAACCAGCCGCACATTTTTGTAGGCAGGCTGCCGGACGCAGCGGGAATGGGGAGCTGGAGGATGCCCGCCGGGGGAGGGGGGAGAACTGCCCGGAATTAGTTTTGACCGCGAGCTGCGGACACCGCACCCAGCCCGCAGGGGGGGCGGTCTTTAACGTGGGCGCAGAAGCTTGTCGTTTCTCGTCTACCGGTGGCGCTTGACTAGGCAGGAGTGACTTTGACTTGGACATCGATCGTCTTCGTCGGTTGCGGGCTGCTATGTAGTTATGCTATTCATGAAGGAATGGCAAGTGCGCGCGGACGCGGACATATGTATACTCCGGTATGCGATGTGATCGTAACCTGAGCTTTTGTTCGATGCAGTGACAAGCGTGCACGCAGGACAAGCGTCGTCGATTTCTCTTGTCCAGAATATTGCGCTTATTACAGCGGCGTGGAGCTTCGGGGGTCGCTTTTCGTCTGCGTCACTTTGCGCGTCACATTTGAAAAATCATGGGGAGGGTAAGCATTGCATTGCGATCTTTGTCTAAACGGCGGATAATCAAAATGGTTGGGTGGGTACACCACGTCTTGGTTTCTCTCACGGCTGCTGCGATGCAATGCTTGCTTGTACGCGGCGCTTGCTCCAACGGCAGTGCTGCGTGTCTGAGGACGTGGGTGCCCGTGTTCCTTTCTGCGACTCTGCAGGCATGCTTGACGAAGTCGTGCAACGTTTGGGGGCAAAGTCCTGCCTGAAGAACAAAAAAAAACATCGCTTTCCAGCACACACCATGCGCCATACTGTGGTCAGCCAAGTCCCATGGCCGTTCTAATTCCTGCAGTCCGAAGCTCTCGGTGCCAGACGCATGTCGTGCAGAGACAGTCAGCCGCCATCAGCATGTATTGTCATTCGCTTACTCTAGACAGGAGTATTCCACCACTTGCAAATGAGTGGTGTTCGACACCGTCTTGACGTATATTCCACAGTACGCGCGCTGCCACACGCCAACAGCTGCCTTACGGGACCAGACAAAATCGTGACACGCAGTAAAGTGCAAATCAATGTGATCTGAACGTTCAATCAACGTGGGTAGAACTATGCATATGTACTCGCCTCGGTTCCTGGGCTTGTATTGTTTTTTCACAAGCGGGGGAGGACACTGGAGAGGAGAGGGTTCGGCTGCGCTATGACGATTTCGTCGTCGATTTTTCTTTCACCATTGGTGCTGCTGCTGCGGTAGTCACCACCCTCAATGCAGAGCGGCCAACTTTGCATTCCGATCCCCAACTTACCTTCACCGACAACACGTCGTCTCCCGTACATTGTCAAATCTACAGCACTACGGGGGCGATTTCCGCAACTCAATTCGCGGATAGGAGACGAAGGCAGTAAATCGCGCGGCGTGGTGCGACCAACGCCGCCAATACCCTTCTTACGGGATATTCTGGCGCTCAAAGAATGGTCACGTAGGCGTAGCCGACGGCAATCCCTAGATGGTGGGAGGGTGCGAGGTCTAGGCGGCTCGGTCTTGCTACCACGCCCCAAGCCAACCCGGTGGTGTTCTTCTCGCTGTGCTCCCAACCGCACTGGCACCTGTTTGTCACCGTGCTCGTCGCTTCCAACCGACGTGGCGCTCACCTCTTTCCGTGGAGCGGATGAGGCGCTTTCTTCCTTGTCTCCGACTCCCTCCTCGCTAGATGAGCGATCAGGAGAGTACTGGGTATTGTCAGGCGTGCTCTTCCCCTTGCTTCCAACACCCGATTTTTCTGGCGACGCCGCATAATGGGGTGCCACCGGTAAGAGCTTCTCAGTGATTTCCATCGTTCCCCCCCCGGCAACGCCGCTAGCAGGCTGAGGAGACGCTGGTGAAGTCTCTGCTTGCTGCGGGCGTTGTTTCCCATCCTTCGGCGAGTTTGTCAGCCCGCGCTTTTGGCGTCGACTAGGGGCCGTCTTCTTGCCCGTGGCTTCTTTCGTTTTCTTTGAGGGCCTTTTGTTTGGGGACAGGATCTTGGCCTGTGTGGGAATACTTTGCTTCGGCCCCACACTCGGGTACGATCCCTCAGAGATGATGCCATTAAGCAGGCCGATCTGTCTCAAAACACCTTTGTACTTGGCCTGGTCTTGCACGAACCCTGGTAGGGTCACTAAGGAGGACCGAACAATGTTCTTCACTCGATCCAGCTTACTCAATGGTACCTGGGGACGACGTAATCAACTAAGGGAGATTTAATGCAGTTGAGCAATTATCGCATTACATCGTATGCAGGCATGCGGCCTTGATGGAACAGTTATATCGGGCATCTGCTAAAAAGGGGGATCTCATACCCCACATACATGTGAGATAGGTGCTTTGGGCACGCAATCCCTCGAGTCTCCCCCAACCCACCCTCAACCTACGGCATTCAACATTACGTTTCCTAACCCTAACCCTAACCCTAAGATATTAGAACCCTACGATATCAAGCTAAATCAAAACGACCTTTCTTGTTACCCATTCACATCTTCTGCTTGATTTGTGACTACCCCTAGAGGCGGAATATTGTTGGAATATCGGCTTGCTCTGCATTCGACCCGATGTATGCGTGGTTCTTGTCTCGATTCTTACCCGCCCGGAGTAGAGAAGGTGGAAGTCTATGCGGTCTATCTCTCGAAGAATGCTCACTGCCCCTTCCAGGTACACTTGCCCTTTGCCGCACGAACCCGGTTGGTGAAGATCAGCCCTCTTCCCCTTGGTTCTGATACAGTACCTGGGTCCGGGGTGCGGACAGTGGCAACAGAATGCATCAAGACCCTACCATCTCTACGTGTACACAAGACAGATTGAGTTGCTTGGGTGAGACGGGTGAACGCTTGTTCACAACGCGTTTGTTTGCGCTTCTTGAAAGAAAGGTATTTTTTCCAGCCCCCAAGAAACCACCTTGCACACCGTCTTGTTGGAATTTTGATCGAATCAACCGCCATGCCGACATGAAATTCGGCCTTAGTAGTGGTGCGACGCGTTCAACCCCTGGTGCAATTCGGAAGCAAACAACAGCAGCAGTGGTACCACGCAACCAACCTGCGGTGTTGTTACCGCTGGGTGGCTTCGACTTCGTACTTGGGACAAAAACGTTGGGTGACGAAGGTGCGTGACACGTTGATTAGAACGCGGGGTACATTCCGCGCTTTAACTACTCACCAGTACCGCTTTGCAGGACACCGTACATATTTGATTAGATGTTTGTGCAGCTCGCCGAAACCCATGCCCTCACCCTTGACGGCACAGTAATAGAGCATGGCAGCACTCCATAGATGTCGCGTCTGACTCGGGTAGCATATCAAAGAGTTTAGGGAAGCCAACCCTTCTTCTGTGCCCAGACGCTCCCGGCTTCCGGCACAGAGGCCATACCTCCCACGATGGTTCACCCATACCTGTACGGTCGGGGGTCGGGAGGTTAGGGTATTGCAATAGAGTTCTGCCACGAGACATCATCACAGAACGACCAAGCTTCACTAACACGTGGGGAACAAAAAACTACAAATGCCGGACAAACGTGCCTTTAACCCGTACGTGACTACAGGCCGATTCAGCTCCGCTCTCAGCTCCGATCACTTTGCGTGCTGAAAGATCGCCGTTGTGCCTCGGCTAAGGGCAAAAAACATACACAGAGACCAGCAGGGAGACACAGTCAGCCCACCCCCAAAGCACGCTTATCAGCAATGCGCACGGGTGCCTAATCTCTCTGACGTGGGGCAGATATCCTTCCCAGATCCAATCTACTGCCTACCGGTACTGTAAGATTCAAACGCAAAATACAACCGGAGGGTACATACAGCACCCTGAACATGTGACCAACCCGGTGCCGCATCCGCGGGGGAGAGCAGAGAAAGCGCACACCGGAGACGATGCTAACGTACTGCCTCGGTGCTTGATGTTTTTGTGATTGCGGTGCGTGCGGTTCCCAGTATTGGGAGTGAAGGGTAGTTCGTCTGCTGTGTGCAAAATTCGCTCAAAGGCAAGGGTTTTCGGGACTATAGCTCCGATCACAGCTCCGATCACAGCTCTCTATTTGTAGTGCAGAATAGACGCATGCACACCTGCTCAGAAACTACTGCTGCTGCTGCTGTACAGTCTATTTCTCTCCGCATAGCTGCTGTACAGCAGTAGTACTACTGTACTCCTGTTCGCCACCCTTACATATACCGCGTAACCATTCCTGTGAGCCCCACACATGGACCCACTGCTGCACCATCCTTGCCGCCGTGATTTATGGGTGTACACGCATCCTTAGAAGATCTTTGACCGCAGAGAGCCAGTTGTGGGGAAAAAAACAAAAAAAAATCAAACTAACCCAGTCACGTAAGGGTTAAGAGATTGATTCTAGGGCGCGCACCTATCTATAGCAACGTCTCTGGTACCTGCGCATGATCATTGATGGCGCGAACGGCGTGGGTGCAGATCTCATGGTCGGCGAATGCGGTCATGCTCCTGGCGTACTGCACCCCGGCGAAGCTGCTGCTGATCCATAGCGTCAGTTTTCGCGCAGTTGGTTTATTTCGCCGCCCGTGCTCCTGAAGCTTCCCTCCACTATTGAGCTTATCTACCCAGCGAATCTGGAGCTTGCCGGGTACGTTGTGGTTGATAAGATATTCCTCGAAGAACTCCTCTGCTTGACGTCGGCTTATTTTCTCTCCTCTAGTCTGTTCAACCATTTCCTCCATGCAACCCCACTGACGGACAACTCGGTCCAGGATACCCGTGGCAACGCCCATTAAGTCTGTCCGCACCGCTTGCAGCGGTTTTACCAAAGACGCTTGCACTTTTTGAGGGCTGGCTTTGAACGACAGAACAGGAACGGTGCCGTCCTTCAGGAAACCTTGCATCTGAATGTCGGCATCTCGCGGCTCTGTTCGCCGACACAAACCACGGACACCAACTTTTATCTCAAGTCTTGATTTTTGCTGACCCATCGCGCTTCCAGCGGATGCAGGCCTCATTTTCTCTCTTCTGCGTGGCCGATTTCGGGCCAGGTGCTCTTGCGTCATTCTGTCACCTGTCTGATGTCATGGTTGAAAGGTGTAGTCCACACGGCAGCGTCGCCAGCATGTATGTAGTGAACGCACCACCGATAGGTTGCCTCCCGAAGACAACAATTGCGTAGGAACGATGGACCCTGCTGGAGCAGCTTCTTTCTTTCCTTTCAGGACAACCACCGCCAGCAATGCAGCCCTACAGCGGCCGCATGAGCTGCCTGTTTGTGATGCTCCGTTCAACCTTGTAGGCTACATGTATACATCCTTGTGCTGCAGCGCTGCAGCAGTTACTCGCCAGAGGCGGTGCAACGAATGCCCAAGGGCGCAGGACTGTCATGCTATGTGAACCGGCAGGAGTTGCAGCGCACAAAATAAGAGAACACACCTGCATCTATCTGCTGCACAACGTGTCTACTGCTGTACAAGCACAGCTGTGTACAACAGTTGGTTTTTCGATACCCTTTCGACGTCTGCAAGTCCACACAAGCGATGTATGTTTGTCTCCAAATCAGGCTTGGCATCTGACGACGCAGAGGAGAACAGAGGCGTATGGCTGAGCCGCGGCAAGTTACGGCCAAGGCGAGAGCGGACCGGACGTACGACACTCCGTTCACTCGGGAAACTGAGCCATGGGGAGCCAGGACATTGGTCTCCGTACAGCCGCACCACCCAGACATCCCGGCAGTAGATCATCGCTCAGACGTAAAATTTAGGCGAAAACAAACATTGTCGGTCGTGTCGTACAACGTTCTCGCGGACTCCAACAGCGTTCGGGTTAGGAACTGCGCCCCGGCCGTGACCAGTTGGGGTCGCAGGCGAGAGGTTCTGCTCAAGGAAATCTTCAGCGTTCGGTGAGGTTCGCTGCTTGATGACTTAATTTCTTTTTTGCAGAAACATATGTCAGTACACATTAACGTGCGCGCTGTGGGCATGCTTCCCGATACTCTGGCCTCACACGTTGCAGTAAATTTCTGCACTGTCTGTCCGCTACCTTCCACCCGCACACCACACTGGTGTACAGGGCGGATGTGCTATGCCTCCAAGACGTTGACTGCTTCCACCAATGGTGGAGTCCACAGTTGACGAGTGCCGGGTACGACAGCCTGTTCAAGCAAAGGACCAGTCGAGCGGCGATGCACCGGGAAGGTGTCGTAATTGCGTGGAAGCGCGATGTGTTTGATCTCTTTCGGAGCGGGGAGATGGAGCTCAACAGGTACAGCATACTCTCCTGAAGTACTCGGTACCGTTCAAAGTGACCAGCGTTTGTTTATTTATAATTCGTTTGTTTTCCTTTTCCCTACTACTCCTCCCTTTCCTTACAATACTAGCTTCCTTTTTGCTTACCACCGTCAAGGCAACGAAATTTTTCATTGACATCGACATGTACACAAAAATAATGTCGCGCACGGGCCTAATCTTCGTTTCACCGAACATTGGTGATCATTCTCCAGACTGGGAGAACACGAAGAGGACCGCTCGCTGGCGGGAAAAGCTGCAACGAGTGATAACGTCGCGCTCATGACGCTTCTCCGGCCGTGGCAAGACTCCGACCATCCTTCTGGAGCTTGCATCGTGTGCACTCAACTCAGCGAGGAGGAGGGGTATATTGGCGACGCAATTCGCGGGCTCCAGGCGCACGGTCTTACGCGCTCCGTCGAAGCCTTCAACTCCGACTTTTCTCTCCCGATCGTCATGTGTGGAACAATGAACTGTGCACCCAGCAGTGGCACGTACGAGATCCTGTGTCGAGGAATAGAAGCCCAAGATCCCGCCCGGCCAGGACCCCCGGGGAAGCCCCTCGTCGAGCCAATTTCTACGAGCGCCGCAAGGGTCCGATGGCCCGCACCGTCAGATGACAGCGAGTCACTCAGCCCTGCCATCGACACGTACAGGCTGCTGTGGGTCCCCGGGGGCAGCAGGTTCCTGCCAGGGGAGAGCGTGGATGCGCACGAGGCCGGGTGCGTGGTGTACGACCTCGTCAAGACGGAAAGTGGCCGTGTGAGGTCGGAGCAGAACCCTCTCAGGGCGTTCGTCGTCTCCGGCTTAAGCTCAGGCGTGGCGTACGAGTTCAGGGTATCCGCCATCAATAGTCTTGGTCAGGGGCCCTGGAGCGAACGATCGGAACCTGTCCGCATGCCACAGATGGCTGGAAACGACCCGGTGGATAAGGTGCTTCTTGGGGCCGCCTCGATCAAGCTGCTCCGGAAACGAGAGCTCGAAGACGCCCGCCGTAGGGCTGAGGAGAGGCTGGCCGACCCCCGCGCATACGAGCTGCGGAAGCTGGTCAAGGTCGAAGGGTTGCTAGACTTAGGCATGGAGAAAATTCACCCTTTCGGCTCGGTCTCAGGGGTGACGCCGCGGTACACCGATGCCGCGCTCCACCCAGACTTGGCCAACGTTCGCACCGACACCGGCTTCCCGGTAATCAAGGCCATCGAGGAGAGGCGATTGTCATCGGGCGCTACTGGCACTACCACGAGGCGGCGAAGACAGCGCAAGGCGAAAAAAACACCAAGAACGGGTAGCCACCAAACACGTTCCGACGACGAGCAAGTCACGAGCAGCTCCACGAAGGGACTACTGGATGACGACTTGAGTAGTCTAGAAGATGCCAGTGCATCCACAACGGGGGGCTTTAGGAATGGGAGTGGGGAGGGCCGGTCGGACACCAGTGGCGTAGACACTGGGGAGAGTGTGACAAGGCCTACAAAGTCTTTGCTGCCACCGAAAGCATGTGGCTCTTCCCAGAGAGAGGAAAACATTCTCCTCCGACTGGATTCTCTGAACGTGAGCGGGGCACGAAGCGAGCGTCAGAAGCACGCGCTCGGCCTACGGAGCGCCTACATGACGCACAGCTCCGGTGGGGAGCCGGCCTTCACCATGCTTTCCGACACCATGGTAGGCACGGTCGACTACATATTTTTCAGCGCGGATTGTCTGCTGCCAACGCAAGTGCTGTCCATCCCGGAGATGGGGAGTCTGGTGCGACGAGACATCCAGCAGACCGAGTTATCTCCGGCTCCCGGTCTTTGGGCACCGAGCGAGTGGCAAGGGGAGTGCGGAGAAGAAAGATACATGGGAGAATGGTCACCGTACTTGAGGGAAAACCCGTTGAGAGTCAAACACCGCATCCCCAACGAGCTATTCCCGTCCGACCACTTGATGCTCATGGCAAACCTGGTGTATTTCGAGCCGCGATGCTCTTCCACGTGGCGATAGCACTACATGTATTATTCTAGGCCGCCTTGTTTCCTCTTCCTCTGTTGTAGACTGGAAGGGTTGTCTTCTGTGCGTGGAACGTGGCTTGCTCATGTGTCCAGCACGTGCTTTTTACTTCCCGCGCGATGAAAAAAAGTCTAAACAAAGTACTTCGTAATTATTTTCGTCTATCTGTGGCTCGGAGAGGACCACAAAAAGAAATACGTACTCATCTGCTAGATAACCCGTGCACGAGCAACGAATACGGCACCAACCGTGGCGTCGTGCTAAACTCAAGAATAGGCATGATCCCCATGCTGATCGGCCGCAACCAGACAGGTCACGCAAAAGTCCAGAACAAGAGAGGCAACGCGAAAGCGCAAGAGTGGATAAACTACAAAAACTACTGCACGGGGGGGTGAAACCACTATTACAGTTGACGGCAAGACTACGTACTGTACGTTGTCGGGCGTGTTGGAACACAACCGAACCATCCACCCACGGTTCAGTCCAACCTGTTCTCAACGATGCATGCATGTCGCTCCCCCTTCCTCATGCACTAACCAAAACCTCCAGACTCAAGCGAAACCAAGACCTCAGAATCGCCGGACCTTCAGTCACAATACTCGGTGCGGCCAGATTGGCCAGAAGCCTGGGAAGGGTGCTGGACTTGCCACTAAAAAAACGATGACGCTCTCGGAGAGACTATTCGACTTGAGTGCACAGCAAAGGACACGTAAATGAAGGGGCTAAAAGAAAAACTCTCCAGCAAAGATAGTGTAAATCTAAACGTAAACTACACGCACTCAACGGTATGCTTTTTATCTACAGTACCGATGCCATTTGTACAAACGTGCACCCAACTCTTGCAACGTGCAAGAATTTTATGGACCTTATGCATACATGAGAGAAATACAACATGGAGGCATGTCTACGAACGTGCACCCGACGACGACTACAACGATAACAAAGAACACGCGGTTGGCGGAAATACTTTTCCAGAGAGAGACTCAGCAACGATCGGCATTCGCCGCTGTTAGAATCGAATCGGACGCCGTGACATAAAAAACGCACCAACGGCAACATCATCACAATCATAAAATGATCAAGTCTCCAAGGATGCGAGATTCAAGCTGCACTCTCATCTCAGGCTGCATTGTCGGTGAGCAAACTAGCCGCTGCACGCGCAGCCCCGCAGCCGTGAGTTGTGTCATCTCTCGGTCAAAAGTTGCCCGAACCTCGAAATCCAGCTCGAAGTGGTTGTCCGCGCCATCGACGGTTTGCGAGTACATGTCATCGACGGACTGCTCTCGTCGCTTGTGGTAAACCTGGAACCGCAAAAGGACAAAAAAAATGAGCGTAATGGGTTCTCAGCAAATGGTCATGGAACGAAACTTCGCCAGCGGTCAGTGAGATTGGCGTCCCGTGCAAAGGGAAAAGCAAAGAAGCACTCCTCACGGAAGGGAAATCATTTAGGCACCAGTTGAGGAGGGGAAGGAAGGGCGTGGGAAACTGCCGTGAATATTTCAATATTTCCAGAAGGCGAGGCGGTGTAGGGCGAGCCGAAATTTTTTGGTTCGGTTTGCTTCCGGTTTGAGGCAGATGCTCTTCGATATGTCAATCATTACAACATCATCACAACACCACGCGCGAAATCGACAGTATGACAAGGAGGCCACGCCAACCCCATGAATTCGCAAGTTGTCAACGTCTGACCGCGTGGATCAACATGCAACAGATACATGCATGCACAGCGTTGGCGAAGTGGGTGCGGTGTCTGGTGATTGGGTGTGGTGTGTTCGTGGCGTTTGGACATACAATGGCTCTACAGCTCGTGGTTGGGGACGGTTGATCCAATCCATGGCTAACACGTGCGTTGATTGGCCGCGAACGATGAAGGGCACGACACCAAATAACGCATGACGTCATTTGTTTCCTTTCATTACTCGGTACAGTACTTGGACCCAGCAGGGACAACTGGATGGATCAACACCTGATACAGGGCCGTTTCTGCCAGAATTGGTCGGTGTACCTCAACAGAAGAGCGCATGAATGACAACATGGAAGATACGACAGCATGATAAAAGGACACCATGACGCGGCCATGGTCTTGAGACCACACCTGCACGTACTGCTCGAACACGTCCATCCCGATCTGCCAACCCGATGCACTCCGCACGTCTTTCGTCACCAGTCCCCTCGTCACGCCCCCCTTCATGTGATGCACGCCTAGCAGGACCACCCCCTGGTCAACCTGTACAATCAGCGGGGACCCCAGGTTGTTGATCCACGGTGTCCGACCCAGGACGGCAACAACGTCAGTGACATAGGACCCCGGCACACCTACCCTTCGGCAACGCGAACGAGTAGACTCCGGCCCCAACACGCGAATTTCACAGCCGGCAGAAGCTGAACGCAAAAACGCCTCTCTCTCTCTCTCTCTCTCTCTCTCTCTCTCTTTCTCTCTCTCTCTCTCTCTCTCTCTCTCACCATTTTGAGAGCACGCAGGGCTTTACCATCCCCGCCGAGCAGGTGGATGAGCTCGGGCACCACCATCTCCAGATCCGTCGTACCCGTCACCCTGTCTGCTATTGAAGCCAGCCCCCTCTCCACCTCCGCCATCCTCTCTGGCTCCAGCTCGTGGACAAGCGTCGACGTGAGGCGGGCAATTAACGCCCAAGTCTCCTCTGGGCCCTGCGCTTGTGTAGGGGCGGGCGGGAGGACGTCCCTGCCACGACAGACAAGACGAAACGATTGCACGGAATGTCAAGTATACAGTACTGGCGCCGGGGGGGGGGGGCATGGCGACTCTGAACTATACGGATGTGGTGTGATATGATGTGAAACAAGCGATCTCCAAATAGCAGTTAAAGCGTTGGCGCTTCGTGGCACACAAATCGAGCGGTGCGTCCACCAGACACCAGCATGGTGACATGGTGACCGATATTAATATCTGTGCCATCTTGGCGAAAAACCTCTAACTAGTTGTAAATGGACCATCACACAACGGTCTTTTATGGAGACACAATCTTGGCCGACATTCGCCCAAAAAGATACGGGTTGATTTTTCATCTCAACAAGTCTTCCGGCAGATCTTGGCCAAGGTTTGCGAAGGGCCAACTTCTTGCCCCATAGGCAAATCTTGAGCCAGGCTTTGCTCGACTGGACAGACCGACAAATATTTGTCGGGACGTCGATATTACAAGGCCGTGCAAGCCTGAGTCGACCTCATCGTGCCTAACGTTATGAAATCTGCACGTGGGGCACTCGAAAACGTGTCTAACCCGCCTACGTTTGGTGTGTCAACGCTACGGGCGCTGGCAGCGAAGAAAGCCAAGTATAACCGCGCACGGCAATCTACAGCAGTTGCCCTCTAGAGCCGACAACCCCCGTTCACATATCTCACCCACTCCGTAGTTGGTGCAATGAGGTCAAGCCTTTGATTCTGCCACCTCCACCACCTGCTCTCTTTCGGATGCAAGTGAGGTATGCTATTTAGGTGGTTGTGTGGTTGTGGGATGCATGCTGCATCGCTGGCGGCACGAAGTGTGTTTGTTGTTTACTTCCCCTGTTATAAGGGGCCATTCAAAAAGGAAAAACATTATGATTTTTTTTTCGGGCAGGGTTCACTCGTGATCGACGCTTCCATGTCTTGATCGAATCAAAATGATCCACCACCCCAATCCTCACCAGCGAGGGAAGATGACACCGATAAAGGTTTGACCTCGGTGTGTACTGTTCGCTGGCTACGGGGTGAGAGACGCCGACAATTGTCATTGTTGGTCGGGCGTGGGGTCGATGCGGAAATTAAAAAAATTGCCAATCGACCCGACACATTTCTGCGGTTGGGACAGCGATGGAACAATTTTGTCCAGTACCCAGCCGGTTTTCCTCCACTCACTGAAAAGACTCCACCACATCCCGTTCGACTGTGGGTATATCTCGAGTGGGTAGTCTTTCGGTGTGTGTATTTATCTTTTCTTAATTTTGTTTCTCCGTGCTCACGAGATCGTGGCCAGGTCTTCTTCCATTCTTATCAACCCCGGCCCCGGCGCTCACCGCGATCACACACCCCGTTACCTAGGAGGCTGAAGAGCTGGGGGGGGCGAAGCCATTTGCAACGACGGCATGATCAGTTTCCGTCACACGGCGCACACGTGTTGCCCCCTATGGAAAAATTACCATATTTTTTTTATTATGCAGACAATACAAATCCTGGAATCATATCCCCTGGCGGTCCCTCCGCATAGAGTTTTGAGCTATTCTGCTATACCTCTCGCTGTAGTGCTGATCCCTAATCGTGCACATCCGATATGCCTTGCCCATACATAGAGACGCACACACCCCAATTTCTGTCAGGTTTGGTTGGGGTTAGGTCTTCAGCAAACGGCGTTGAAAGTCCGGTGCGTGCTTCCATGGCTTGGGTTTCTATATGTTTTCGGAGGTAGACGCATGATCGTTCTGGAAGCCACTTCTGCTGACTATTGGAGTTTGGACTTGAATTTGGGCCGACTTCCGCAGGCCAACCGCGGACGCTGTAGTGGAGATCCCTAATCGTGCACATCATGGATTCGTTCTATGGTCTTTTATCTCTACGATAGGCCAAGTATCGGCCGAATCCGGGGACCGTAGTGTTTCAGCAAACCTCGGTGAAAGTTGGCTCCCAAGAGCTGAAAAGGTTGCGCGCAGCAGTAGAAAGCTGGTTCAACTCAGATGTGGTCGTGAGGCATTTCTCGCGTCCAAAGCAAAATCAAAGGGTGAAAACAGCTTTCCGGTGGAGGGTATGATCTGCTTGAGGTGCCCGTGTACTTTGATGGCACACCGAGGTCTGTGTGAGGAGCACGAGGTGGTGAAAGAACTGGGCTCAGCCATGTCCAATCTGGGGAGGGGATGAAACAAAATTGCCCCTCTGAAACCTGCGGCGTGATTTTTTGTCCGTACTTTTTTTCAATTTCCTATAGGGGGCAACACGTGTGGGCGGTGGTATTGTATTGTATTGAGCTTTCTGCGGACCACGAAGGTAGTTGTTGCGTCTTTTTTCTTTTTCTTCTTCATCTCCAAGGCGGGACGAAAAACAACCAAGCAGGAAATACTTCCAGAAAATACACCGCGCACACAAACTAAAAGTTCACCAATATGTAACCAACAAAAATGTCTTGTCTCCGCAGCGGTCGGAACCAAAGAGCAAGTAAGATTGTCACATTGACTGACACTAGCTAACTGACACCAACTTGGAGATAGTGCTGTACGTTCGCAAAGACAGGGGCAGCGCAAAGCCCTGTGAGACCAAGAACGAGGAAGTAGGGGAGAGCTGCGGTCAGCAGTCAGCCTCCCCCCTCCCTGTTGACAGCAGGACAAACGTCAAGCCGTCAGTTCGTACAAATCTCAAGGGCTGTCTAACCGGTTGCGCGTGCATGTGCCACCAAGTGAGAAAAACGAAAGGCGTGTGCGTGCTTTATAGACGGCTCAACGGCTGTGTGTGCGGTGTGGTGCCATCCCATCCGTCTCCTCTCAATCTATGGTTACACTTTTCACCTTCCCATGTGCATGTTAGGTTATGTTATCTTTGTTTTTGGAAGCACCAGCCGGGGACATACTAGGGAGAAGGGACATGCAGGACACACACTAGCCAACGCACAACACGTCGCTCGTGTGGCAAAGTCCAGATCCGACTTCTAAACAACAGAAGGTTGGGAGCATACCACTGAACTTTAACTTTCCATCGAGCCTGGCGCGAAAAAAATAAACTGGCCCCGAGGGGTCCGCAAGTCAATAGAAATTAACGACAGATATTCTGTAGTCCTCCGCTCCCTCTGCACGCTATGCGAGGTAACAACTGAGATTATGTGTATGTTGCCTTCAACCACGTGCCATGTCAGTATTATTTCCCTGTGAGACTCGGGCATGGAATGGTACAGCAGTGGACTATTATATACTGTAAACCCCGCACTGCCCGGCTTGCATGGCCGATAGCCGTGTGTTTACGACAAGCAGAGCAGAGAGAGCTGATTCTTCGTATTTATGTTAGTTTCTGCACCATGCGTTGAACTGGAGAACCGCAGTTGTTTGGAGGAGGAAGTGAAAAGCGTGGCAAATGAACGGACGGGACGGTGATGGATGTGATGGGTGGTGAACCGCATGCGAATACTTGGGTAGACTTTTACAGGCCGACCCTGCACACACGTTCCCTTTCAGAAAATGAATAAATGAATTGATGGCCTGGGCTTGGTGTGCTGGCTCAAATCCTACAGCAGTAATAGACACTCACTCGGTGCTCGGCTGCGGTAGTAAGTCTTCCCGCCCATGTGCATCAATAATGCTTTTCGTACAATGCGGGATACAAAGAAAGTCTAGACTTCTTGTGCAGCACAGCATGATCATCGGGTTTAATAGCCCAAGCTTGCCTGCCTGGAGATGCGCGTTCTTAAAATAGCCGACAATAACCCGCCCTGGCGTCGTCGTCGTGACTACTGCTGTACCAACACCTACAGGCAGCAAGACGCGATCAGACGCTGTGCAAGCGATTGCCCAAAGAAGCTCTCCAACAACAAGAGAGCAAGACATACCGCATGCATTTTACGAATAATAACCTACACACCTGCCGGTTCTGGTGCGGATAGTCACGCGCCGCGCGAGCCGGGGCAGATCTTTGCACAGGCTTCCCTCGTCCGCAGGTCTTTCCCAAATACTTCGAACTCCGTTCGTAAACGTCTCGCTCTCGTCCTCACTGCGGCGATGCGGATCCGTCCACCCATGGCCATCATCCGGCCGGGGATCGTGCGCGGAGTTACCCCACGGCCACCGCCCGCATAGTCCTGCGTTCAGTGCCGACATGAGAGAGAGGGAACGTATTTGCTTGTCTGTGTGCGTATGCTATGCATACGAGAGAGAGAGAGAGGGGGAGGGCGAGAGAGACGGGGAGAGAGCGCCGCAACCAACCGAACACACAATAGACTACAGAAATCCTTCAAGTATGTATTGTACGAGTGAGTTCTGTATTGGAAGCTTGGAAGTAAATATTAATATTTCAATTGGAAATAATCAGCTGGAAATAACGAAATAACGTACCAACACACGTGGGACCACACACCCCACACACAGCAGGGGATCGAACCAGAGAGGCAAGTTGGGAGGGGTGTGAATCAAGCAATTATTTTTCTACCCTGTAGTAGCAGTGAGTATATCGTTATCACACTTCCAGAAGAACGAACACAGCTGCCCCACCATTGCCCAGGGCACCATTGGAGATGTGTTTCCACCATACATACATAGACTAGTCTATCATCTATCTGCGTCAGTTCCTCTAGTCTACATACAATACAACCAATGCTATCATAGGCCATTCCCGTCCGTGGTGCGACTACAGCAGTGTTGTATGGATGCGCTCAGACGCCAACTAGTTTTTTTTTCCGGAAGGAAGATGGGTGACGAGACGAAAAGGCCACATAACAGATGACGCGAAAAGAGCGGGCACAAAAAGAGCAGACCAGACCCCCTGTGCAGCGGTGAAAAGGAGAGATGAGAGATGTATGTGCTGCTGGTGCTGGTGCTGCTGCCACCTTGGCCAGCTGCACACAGCAATGCAAGTCAACTTCAACGGCACAGGAGGTGCCTCGTGGTGTAGACCAATGTGATGCATGTAGTCTATGAGTTACAAGCCTCATCACTGAACTGCAAACACACCCGCACACACATTCCAGCAGTGACTGCCCCCAAACTTGAGCAAGATCCGATGCCAATTTTACTCCAAAGTAGCATACAATGCCCACATGGATGCTGCTGCTGTTGTATGATGAGTTGAATGTGCCTTTCGATTGGTGGTGATAATTTGATAATTTTCTTTCTCACCGGCACCAACCCCGGAACGCCCGTCTTGGTAGCTGCTGCTGCCGCCGCCAAGAGCCCCACTCATATCCGTAGTTGGCGAGAGAAGTTGCTGACCTTGCAGGAGAGCTATCGCTCCCCAACCAAAGGACAAGACAAACACACGGAAAGCCAGAGAGACAGATTGCCTGCTGCGGGGAGAAAACAGGAGAGCAAAAGTAAAAGTGTTACAAATAGAGGCGCAAGCAAGATGGGTAAAACGGAGATGGAAAAGGGCGGGCGTACATAGAACAACACCGAGATACCCCTGTTGCAAGGCAAGCGCGTGCAACCTCGGTGCTTGCGCCCGGGCCCCTCGCATAACCGCGACCCTAGGAGACAGATCGATGTATGAGAGAGACGAAAGAGAGAGAGAGAGAGAGAAGCGGCATGGTGTTTCGTATCTGCTCGTCCCTAATTTTTATCAGACCAGTTTATTCCAGTACCTGACAAACACCCCGTCATGTCATCTTTTCCTTGCCGTCCTCTCACCTGTAGCACGTAGGTAGGTAGACAAGAAGAGGGCCTACACCTTAAGCCGACTCGTTTGCTTCTTCTCTCGCGAGCTAGAGAGAGAGAGAGAGAGAGAGAGAGAGAGAGAGAGAGGGTGATAGAGGGACAGGTAGACAGACAGAAAGCCTTGTAGACAGAGGGAGGCAGCAGTGATGATGTGCAATGTGACTCTTTAATTCTGAACAGAACGTTGGGGCGGCGGAAAAACGGGCGGGGGCTGGGGGGGGGGGTGCGTAGTGCGTACTACACCGCGGCATACAACACAACAGAACCTGCAGACCAGGCCAACTCACCGCCGCCCCAGCCAGGCTGTGTGTCAGGCTCAGCACTGCGTGCGACTCCGGTAGGTTATGCGCTATGATGCCCGGTGGTTGACCGGGACCGCTTGCCTCGTGGCATCTCCAAGAGCCTTCCGGCCATTGAGTCAACCGTGCTGTTTCCGACGGTACCTCAACGGCGACAAATGGAGCATCTCTTCCACATCATGTAGCAGTACCGGCAATGTCGGCCGGGAGAGGTTGCAGCCGTTGCAACGAGCCGCTTCCATGCTTGGGATGGATGCCGGGCTTGGTGTGGCAGGTCTCAGCGCTCTGAGCGCCGTGCGTCTCTTCACTGCAAGCATCACCCCCAAGCGCGTGCGCGTGGTGACGGACATCGATGACACCGTCAAATCGTCGGGGAACAAGGTAAGTAGTGAGAGGGTGCATGTACCTGCTTACGTGTCATCATGGATGCCTTGTCTTTTCGCAAGGGTTTGGTGCCCGAGAGGCTGTTGCGTGCGGGTGTGTTCAGGTCCAAGCAGGGCAAGCTATATTTTGGTCCTGTTATGTACTGCTGTAGTGCCAACGAGCAAGCGCAACGCTAATTACATGAGGAGTCTAATAGCGCAGTACATTGTGGGAGTATCTACGTGTAGTCCTTGGTCTAATCACGTTGGAGTGGGTTCCAGTCGCCATCAAAGAGAGATAACCAATGATGAAATACTCTACGAACAGCGGGCTTACAGTCACGCTACACCTGGTGTGTTGCTCGGTAAGCGTTGCTAGTGGGTGAAAAGAGAGACAGATAAGAGTCACGCAAGACAGCGTGGGCATGCTGCTATCCACATTCCACATGTCAAGGGCACAATACCATGGGTTGCGTGAGATACCTACTGCTGTACCACCACATCCCAGGGGTTGATTTGATTTTCCTGCAGCGCCAACACCTCAGCATTGTAGTAACGATGCCGAAACACCCGCGGTGGCAACGGCCTCATCGAGAGCAAGACGTATCATCGATTTTGGCATCCTCGTTGTCGTGAAGTAATCGAGCTTTGAAACGCGGACCAGCTTGTGGTGGACTTGTGCAGCCTGCACCTATGTGCGGTAAACCGTATCGTCTGCCACTGCTGTAGATGACAGACAGGCCTCATTTACATGTTGATGATAACACCACAAGCTGAAATCTTGAGCTCCTGTTACATTGGGTCATTGCGGCCTCAACGTGTCAACCAGCGCCCTCTTCCCCGTCCGCTCTTCACCGCTCCCCTGCTTTGCCTTCCGGTGTTCTACCTACCATCGCCTATCGTCGATCATTGTGTCCCTCTTTAGCGCTTGTTCGGGGTACCGCTGGGAGGGATCGACGCTCAATGTGAGATGCTGGATGTTTGAGTCATGTACAAACTACCTTAGTGACTGGTGCACACCATGATACAGTAGTACGTCTTTGCAAACATCCTCTGTACGGGTTGCACAGAGCCAGCAGCTTACCCACAGCCGTTGAGCATGATGTACCCCCATGTCCGTTCGGGTTTATGTCATTTCCGCGAGCGAGTTGCCCGGACTGCAGGACTACGCGATACGCGATACCATTTGTGGAGTGTTGGTCACGAGGCCCTCGTCTGAACTGCAGGAAGCGTGAATACGTGCATCTCGTGCGTTTCCAACATCATTAAAAATGACGAATGCGGACTCTTGTACGCAATTGTTGGCGTGCATGTCCACGGCACCGGCAACAGCGCAGCCGTTACGCAACTTCAGCTGATCGCACTACGATGGTGGGAAAGTGCCGGACAATGTGGAGAGATAGCATAGTGTGGTGGGTTGGTTCTGTCTGGGGGGGGGGGGGGGGTACTCATAGTCGTGCATGCCGTAGTCGTTAGACCATTGACCTCGCATCCCTACAAAGCCGGGACGGAGCACGCCGGGTTCTCACCGGACCAGGCTCTCACATCACCAAGCGCGAAGCGCCGTGAGGTATTTGGCGAGTCGCATGAAGGGTGAGCTGCATCCTGCTAAGGGTGTTCGGCATCTTGTGCTTACTTCTTGCGTACGGATGACAGCTGCGTATGACTTAATTTATTTTCTGGTGCTTTCACTTCCAGAGACAGTTGTAGGCACTGTGTAACTGCCTCGAGGAAGCTTGACCATTTTAACACAACGTGTTGCGATCATCCCCCCTTGCGCGGAGTGAGGGTTCTCAACCCCGCACAACATGATCTACTCGACCACCATTATGGTTACCGCAAAAAAAAAAACAGAGGTAAAAAAGAAAACGGTAACCTGGTTGCCGAGTTCACGAAGTGAATTGGCTTGTTTTACAACGTCGTTGCCAAGCGACGAAAACCCAACCCCGATGGCAAACACCGGGGACGAAGGGGGGTTCTGTTAGGGGGGGGGCGGATTGTTTTCATGCCTCGCCTTGGTTCTGGGTAACTTGTTTGGTTGAGACCCGACCGTGTTTGCTAGGATACGCTTTTAGCGCGACGAAAAGCTGTGGTCTGAAAGTAAACCAAGCGGCATAGCACCGTCTGCATAAGGCGACAAAGAGAGCTCACGTAGCACGTGTGTAGCAGCATGAGCTTTGGTTCTTAAAGGGGCTTGCTATTCCCTGGGTTGGACTTGGAGCGTGGCAGTTCTACGACCTGGTTGGTAGAATGTTCACGTCCACTCGGTCTTCAACAAGTACGTACGTGTTGACCTGCTCATTGGGAACCCCATCTGTTACAACATGATGTGTCCTCCACTTACAAGATAGCACAGCGCTGATTGCTTGAATTTATTGCGTTGGTGGCCCTTTTCGTTATGTCAAACTTAAAGATGGATGTCTCGAAAACGTGCTGTTCCCGTGTACCCCCTCAAATGCATCTGCAACTGTCGAGCGCTGCGCGACCTTCTATTGGTCTCCTTGCTGGCCGCAGCCCATGCAAAGCACCGCCTAGAATTTCCTTTGGTGCAGCAACTGCAGCAGCACCCTACCCTGTTCTTCGTTTTTGGTGTGCCACCGTCGTGCTACAGAGTTTGTCCCGCTTTCACCCTTACCAACGTGTCTGGCGCATAACTCCCCCCCCCGTCCCTGAATCCAACGGGCGCAGACCGCAGGGGAGTTTTTTACCCCGGGGTGTTCCAATTCTCCCTGGAGCTGTCGCGATATCGCGTGCCTTCTTGGCAAGAGCCCCTGTCGGTGGCTGTGCTAACAGCACGAGCTAGAGAGTTTTTGTTCGCGTTAGAAATCGGCGACACCCACGAAATAACGAGGGAGTTCCGCCAGTGCGGGGAGCGCAACGGAATCAAGAAGTGGGGGCGAGGCCCCGTGCTCTACGGCAGCGTGAAGGAATGGGTTTGTCCCAGCCGAAAGAGCGAGAGGAAGGCCAGAAATTTCGGTTTTTTGCTGGAGGACGATGAGAAGGGGGGTCGTGGCAGGCCGAGCGGGGCTGAGGGAGGCTACATTTTCATCGGGGATACCGGAGAAGGAGACCCCCGCGCGGGAGAGATAATGAGCGCCGAGCACCCGGACCGGATGCGAGCGGTGTTCCTCCACGTGGTGAGCGATGGGCCCCAACAGGGGAAGGTACCCGTGCCGATGGATCGGGTGGTGAACGCGGTGCCTGTTGTGTACTTCCGAACCTACGTCGGTGCAGCGGTCAAGGCCGTGGAGCTCGGGCTGATGGACAAGAAGGGGCTAGAAAACGTCATCACCGCAGCAAAGGAGGTGGGTTGGGTTGTTCAGAAAACGTATCTTTTCAATTTTGTCTTGGAGAGTCACTAGGTAGAAATCTCGAAAACCATGAGGCCGGTAGGATAAGGACTGTCATTCCTCGGCGAGGCGTGCATGTTCCGCACTAAGTACGCAGTACGGAGAGGGCTTGTTTCTGGGTAAGTAGAGGGAGGGGCGGCTAAATCCTTCTCACGTGAGTTTAAGAAGCACCGCGGACAAGTTCTTGAGTGTGTGAGTTTGGGTCCGAGGTCTGCAGTTGTAGAGAGACGAAAAGGCGACAGGGTAGTTAGAGAAAGACTGTGAGCGGCCCTAAGAAAGGGCGAGGGAACAAGAACACATCCTTGGTGAGGACTTGGCCTAGTTCTGTAGACGACGTGGCTCAATTCAATTTTCCCAAGGTCGTGGTGTCGTGGTGGATTTGACCCGCTGCCCAGGGAAGGCAAGGCAAGGTTTCTTCCGTGAGAATTGCAGTAGGCATGGAGAGAGGCCAGAAAGAGAGATGGTCGCGCGGAGAATTAACGAGGGTCAGCATGCTCACACCAACAGGTGGGAATTGCTCGAACACTCACCCGCCAGTGGTGTCCCGACCTCCCCTGGTTGTCGGAATGTTCTACAAGGACATTCTCTTGCTATACCGTTGAGTGTGTTAGGTATGGATACCGCCGTCTCATATGCCATGGTATCGCTCATCCATATTGATGTTGATTCCTCTTCGCTTGGCAACACCTGGGGATGGGATGGTTGTAACTTCGGAGATGGCCGGGCTGCCGACGGATAGCATGTGCGGTGCAGGCTGAACATGCCAAAATCTGCGCTGCGTCAGCGCTCTTGTCTCCTCTCTTCGGCAATGGTGTTGGTTGGTGTCAGGAGGAAAAGAAGTGTTAGTTCTGTAGGGAAAACACCGCGCCTACGGAAGCCCCATCGCCTAGATCCGCCCTTGCTGCTAGCATCCCTTGTCCTGCAGCGCTCATTGTCATGTTTCGTGACCGTGGAGAGTCCAATCATGCTCGTTGTCTCTGTGCCCCCTTGCATGTCTAGGCTATGACCAAGGTGCCCCGACAGTCCTCGAAGTGGGAAGACATCAATCGTGATCTCATGATGGCGCAGACGTCAGAGACCCAGCTGCCTTCCATAGGAGTGAAAACTCTCACCTCAGCGCTAGACGATGCGTTGGGGTCGAAAATAAACACGAAGCGGAACGGTGCTGTTAGACGGCGACCCCCTGTTACCACGGCAGCTACGAAGAAACGACCGCACTGATACATACATCTTGAGAGACGATGAATGTTTGCTGTTGATATTTCGAGGCACGTTTTTGATAGGTAGCAAACCGGGATGGCGAGGAGGACAGTTGGTCTAGCTGTTTGATTGGTGGCTACATCTCTTTTAGGGTTAGGGTTAGGGTTAGGTTTCTGGATGGCGTGGGTGTGTTCATAGTTGAGATTCTTCGGTGCCGTTTCGGTGAGAGCTGCTCGTGATTCCCGTGAAGGAAAAGAAGCCGTCTGTCTGATACTGTAACGGTCGTGTTGGCGAGAATGATCAATTACTGTAGGTCCCAATGTCCTGTGCGAGTTTGCAGCTGCTGTGCCATTCTGTGGATAGTGTTCCGTCCCTTGTTCCTGTTGACACGAAATTAAACATGATTCAGTATCTCACGCGTGCCTTGCCTATCCTGCTGCTTCGGCGCTTGGTCTTGCTCAATACAGTTGATGAGCAGCGTCGTCCAAGTACCATTTGCGTGTGTACCTGCTTGGTGAAGGCTATGCAGTGCGGCTGCCGATGATCCAATCCTTGTTACGCTCAAGGGACAAGGAGTATCGGTATTGTATGTAGACGCTGTACCTCGGCGGTTTGATTTAGCTTCAGCTTCCTTCACTTCGTAGCCTCTCGCGAGAGTGCATGCTGGTGGGCACAACTCGTTATACAGCGGCAGTCGAAGCAAAAACTGTCAAGGTGTGGTTTGTCCTACCAGTTACAAGTGGTTGCGAACGCTCCAGCATGTATCTTCTTCCCACTCCTGCACCGACGATCGTGCCGGCGGGCTTAGATTGGATTATCGTTTCGTCAGCCACCGAGCTTCTTTCACGAACTTGCGGTCCGCGGGGACCGAGCTTGGCTCCTCCCTGTCGTGTCACCTTCATCTACAACACAGAGATGGTTGCATCGTTAAAAGTCTGCATTAATAGTCGCGGCGCACACAAGAGGAAGGGGCGGGGCTGCCCTGTTGTGCGTAAAATAGGCGTTGCCCAGCCTTCAACAGCCTGCACGTGGGCCCAACACGCATTACGTGAGTTCACCATCATCATCGTGTGTCTTCGACAAACGATTAATCATGTCGTTCGATGCAGAGCACCAAAAGGATAACGTTCATGACCGCGTTGTTGCGGAACCTCTACAGAAACTCCCGAGCACACGCAGCAAGAATCCACGCGTTGTCGACGCCTGAAGCATCGACGCCCTCTGCACTAGCGGTATGTCCTACCGAAGCAGCTACCGGCGGCTGCACCCCCTCAAGCAAAGCAGCAGCCACTGACGACGGCACGGTTGATGGATTTCCTTCCGCTGCTCCTTCCGCTACCGAAGAACCCTCAGTTGCTGGGCTCGACCCGCCCGTCTCAGTCACCTTGCCCGTCTGTGTCCCTTCTTGCGGGGTCGAAAGCAATGTCGCGGGCGTAATCTCCGACCCAGGGGGTCCCCGAACATGGCGAGCCTGTTCGACAACGCTCGCCGGTTCACCAAGGATCCGCAACACTCCGTGCTCCAGCTGCGCTTGCATCTCCTCCGAGTGCTCCTTCGGACACAGCATTACCTCCTTGCGGTACAGCGCTCTACCTCCGTCCCTCTCGGCGCTGTCGCAAACGCCACCCCCCTCGCCCAACGATCCCCTCGTCCCGTGTCCCTGGTGCACGGCGTTGCGAGCGTCGAGATGGAAGCACGGAGCGATCGGAAGCTTTCCATCGAACCAAGAGGAAGGGAAACTGCCGAGCAAGCGATACTTGTCTCGGAGCCAGTCCAAGCCGCAACTGGGGTAGTGGAGCACGCACGGGTCGTTGCATTCCAGCACCTCGTCGAAGCGCAGCTCGCGGGGGTCCGCCATCGCAACACGGTTGACAAGATGGTCGGGGCCACTGCCCGACAACGACGGCGATGTCGATGCCGCTGGCATCCCGCCGCCCTCGTCCTCACCTTGCGTTTGCAGCCAGTCCCCGCACGTTTCATCCCCTGCGCTTCCAGTGGTGCTCGCTGCTGCGACACCCTCGCCCGTACCTTCGCCCGGATCCTCCAGCTTGTGGCCGTCTACTGGGAGGAAAGACTTGTCATCAGTTTCCTCCTCACCGGCGGCATTGCTGGAGCAGCGGGCGCCTCTCTCTCCAGGCTTGAGGGTCCTCCAGCGGTGCACGCTCTGCGGCACTACTCTGTCAGGCAGCACCCTGACAGCGCTCTTTCCGTTGTCGTAGGCCAGCATGTATTGCCCGTGGTTGGTGCGCCGGCGCCAGAAGCGTGTTCTCTCGGCCACCTCGTGGGAGAGCGGCAGGAGAAGGTGGTTGACCTTGAAGGTGCTCACCTCGCGAAAGTAGTCGGTCACCTCCTCTCGCAAGGGCACGGCTTCGTGGTTCGCGTAGGTCATCTGCTCGACGCCTAGCTCGTTGAGGCGATCGAAGTGTGGCCGGACGGACGGCTCTGAGGTGAAGAAGAGCTGTTTCGAATACCCGCGCAAGGTCCGCGCAAACGGCGCAGCAGGATGGAGTTATGGCACGGGACGCGGGTTACAACGATGGGCGTTCCTGATAGCGTTTGGGCGGCCCTTTCGAACGGCTAGTATAGTGGGTGTCCACTACTGGCATAAGAATTATGTTGAAGCTATCTCACTAAAAATGGCAGAAAACTGATATACCTATGGCGAAAACCTACAGCAGTCAATAACCGATAATGGAAACCTGCACAGGTGAAGTTCTGTTTGATCGCGGCGAAGTGGTCACCTCGTCAATGTCGAGATGCAACAGCCAATCCAACCCCATTGTGCTCGCTCTCTGTAGGGCATCCTCCGCGTTGAGGCTCTGCCTAGCAGGCACCTCCGTGGCGCTGAACGACCCCAGCTCGCCCCAAAGCCGACACCTGTCTTGCTGCCGTTTTCTCTGTTGTGGGAGAGCATGAGAACCAAGCATTGTAACGTAAGCAGCGCGATTCTAGTCAAGGTTTTGGTCGCACATAGCAATGAACGATACCAGACCATTTCTAACAGATAAATTGGGCACGATTTAGAAATTGCTCATGGTGAGCACTTTGGGCACCATTTGCACCCATTCGATCCGGGTCGAAACATGAGGTAATGATTTTGCGGCTTTCGACCTCAGGTAACGAATAAAAATCAAACCACGCGCGGCCTCGTTATATTAAGGGGCGACGGTCGGCGCTGACAATACCTACACCAGTAGTGATCGGCGGCCAACAACGCAGCCGGCGGCCAATAACGCAACCGGCGGCCAACAACGCAACCAACACTCTCACATAGGCAGTGCCACCGCACACGGATACATTGAACACGCAAACACATCGAGACACCGCTGTAATCGATTTGGTTGTGTCGTCAAGAATCGGCAAATAAATACCTCCGGCCGCTCAGACAAATCAAACAGCGAGAACCGCAACGAACGGCGGCTCTGTGCACACACCTGTTCTGATGACAAGACGAATCTCTATTTTCGTTGACACGAATATGCGCATGTTTCTCTCACACGATATATCTCCCTGCAGTTAAAACTCACTTGCGGTTCGTTCCGAACGTCGATGCTGACCTGTGACGGGTTGAAACTTGCAGCGACTCTCTCTGCCGGGTATGCGTAACACAGTAATGACAAACAACAAGTCAGGGTGATTCAGAACGCATTGAATGGTGCCTTGAGGCGGCTTGAGACGCTCACAAAGAGACAACTAAGCCCATGGTAACCCAAAACCGCCGACATCGTTGTCAGCACAACACTCAAGCGGGCGGCCCACATTTATGTGTTTGGCACAGATTGCCTACAATTCCACCATCATAGCGTCTCCTACCCATGCGTTGCCTACCTCTCCACAGATACTCAACCTTCGAACACCGCAATCTTTCCGAAGTGTCATTGTGTGGGAGTAGAGAACACTCAGGGACACCTCTAGAACATCCAACGCCATCCGTAAAGGCCTAGACTACCTATGTAGGGGGCGTTGCTGCCGTCATTTGCGTCCGCGTAGAGGAACACGTGTTCGATTCCCTTGGCCAGGTGGAACAACAAGAAGGACTCCAGTGTCGACCAGCACCGCTCGAACCGATCGATGGCTTCCTGGCCCCCATCGTGAGGTACAAACGGGACGAAACGAAAGGTGGTGACCAGACCAACCCTCGACATGACCTGACGTAGAGCGTGAAGTGTTGCCAAGCCGGCAGGAGAAGGGACCATGCAACGTACTTCCTATTTAGCGCGTCGTGAACACATTGAAGAGGTTAAGAAGTGTGTGCCTTCGGGTAACATGGAAGAAATTCCACCCTGTGCAATCCAACAGCCAAGGTTGACTTGCACTTCTGTGGTTCTAGACTACTGCTGTACAAAGTGTAGACAGGCCACAAAGTATCTACAGCAGTTGTGGGGACCCTAGGATGTTTTATGTATGAGCCATACATTTGAGCAATAAGATTGCCTGAGCTCGATATCTTGGCAAAGACGGGTGCAGATAGATGGCCGAACGACGCTTGTTTCGAACAGCTCTCTCGAATATGTAAATGACAGTACAAAGGCTTGAATTCTCCTGTGGAAGTCAGGATATGGGGTACTCATGAAGAGCAACTTTCCACACCACCCCGAGTTCGCTCGGTCCCGCTTGGCATTCCTCGCCACATGCACCAAAGGAAACAGCCAGCCTCCGGTGGCACGTCATACATAGCCTCCAGAGAGCTTACACCCCACATGCCAAAACCCATAATTGAGGGTGGCGTGCTCTGTACATGGCCATGTTACAATAATGTCGATGCCCGCAGCCGGTGCAAACTTGTGTAACGTCCGGCTCGCGACCTGGGACTCGGGACATGCGGATGGGACAACATGGGCCGCGGACGTGAGGCGAGGCATTTATTTGTATCATCTGTCTCACTCACATATCTCGAATTGGGTACAATGTAGTCTTTCTGTGTGTGTTTTTTTTATTCCTTAAATCTGTCTCACTCACGTGCCTGTGAACAATGCAGTCCTTCCTGTCCTTTACGTAACTCCAGAAAGAGATCTCTCCAGCCTCAAATAATGCTCCAGACAAGCACCAGACAGCTCTTCCTCCGCCGGCCACAACGCCACAACGCCACAGCGCTGCGCAGCTGCGCAACAGAGAAAGATGAGGCAACAGCACACAGCAGAGAGGAGAAAGAGGGACGTTAAAACTTGACAGTCCCGTGTGCAACAGACCGCAGAAGAACCCAAGATACCATCACCGTGATTTCGCGATGCCCCTGCACGTTCCACAGTCCCGCCGTCCCGCCCTCCCCCTCGTGCATACAATTTGTACCTGTCTATTAATATAGTCCAGGACCAGGACACAACCGTAGCAGCATGGAGCTACCGGGGGTTCCAGTGAGGCGGATGACGGTAGGACAAGGGCCGTCATTTGTCGTGCGATTCACAGGTACAGCAGAGAAACGAAGGCGGCATTCACCGCACGAGTATTTTTGAATCAACGAATGCGAGTGACGGAACAGCAGCACCCCATGTACCAGGCCGTTGTGCATCCCCCCATACACTTTAGTTCTCGTATCTGCACAGGACGTTCCCCTGCTCTCTCACTTTTTAGCTTCCTTCTCTCTGTATGTTGCCTTGTCTCAGGCGATGGGAAGTACTGCCTCGTGGCAGGCCAAGATCGCACCGTCCGGCTATATAACCCGCACCGTGCCGACCCAGACAAGGAAGGGACAACCAAAGCTGGAGAGCTCGAGCAAGCCCTCCTTGTCAAGAGCTATGCAGGGCCCCATGGGTGAGCAGGGTCTTGGCTCACCGGGAGGGCGTGTATATTTTCCGTGTGCGTGTATCCGCAGGAAAGCAGTCTCTGTGATCTTCCCACGTGTACGAGTCACTCGAACCGCCATGTACTGCTGTACCCACCCGTCAGGATCTCGTACTGCTCTTGCATGATGACGTCCCGGATATTTATGAGCATGGCCTTCTTTTCTGCGAACATTACGACTGCGCTACCAGCGCTCGTGGTAGCGCCACATCCAAGGCTCTCTCTCTCTCTCTCTCTCTCTGTCTGTCTGTCTCTTACGTTCTACTCCCCCCCCCTCCCCTCTTCAACCACCTTACCCCCCCCCCGCCCTTCGCGTTGCCGGGTTGCTGGACACCCGCCGTCGTGTGTTCTTCGCGGGGGTACGATCGGTATGCGGCATCATCTACGCTGTCGATTGTCTATGATCGCACGTGACGCCCCCTTTCGCCTATGCGCGTGAAACTTGGCCCGCTCTCTTGACTTGAATTGACAAGGTACGAGGTGTTGGACGTTGCAGTATTGGCCGACAACTCCCGCTTCGTGTCGTGCGGCGAGGACAAGGCGGCCTTCTTGTGGGATGTCAGCACGGGTGCCGTTGTTCGGAGGATACAGGGCCACGAGCAGCGAATAAATTCTTGTTGCTTCGGTGCTGAGGGCAGCGTGCTCTTCACCGCATCGTACGACAAGGTACGACAAACACGCTCACTCGTGGTGCGTCTCTCTTTTTGAGTATTCTTACCGTCCATGCCATGTGTTATGGGTGACGTTTATCTCTGCATGCAGGGGAGAGGGGGCGTGACGCTTTACAACAAGATCTGTCTTCGAGTCTACCTTGTCGCCCTGCAGCAAAGCTCCCACTGCTGCATAAACTTTTCCCCTCCTACCACACACGCTACACGAGCGCAGACGGTCCGAGCGTGGGACATGCGCTCCAGAAACCGCTCCCCGATACAGACCCTCGAGGGCTGCAAAGACAGCGCCACCTCCGTGTGCACAGCTCCCTCGGGGGACGAGGTGGTGGTGGGCTGCGTGGACGGGAAGGTCCGCACGTACGACTTGCGCGGCGCGCGGGTCCACGAAGACGATGTTCACGCCCCGGTGACGCACGCCAGCGTGTCTCACGACGGGAACTGCCTGCTGGTCACGTGCCTGGGTGGCATCGTGCGGCTGCTCGAGAAGTCTTCGGGGTCTCAGCTCAACACGTACACCGGGTGAGAGAGGTGGAAGAACGACGCGAGGCGCTCGCGACGCATTTTTGAACAAGGCTGTTTCAGCGGTGTCTTGGGCGTGGGCTACGTGTTGTGTGTGTCGCATGCGAGTCGCGGGTGTGCGGGGTCGCCTAGTCAGGGTCACTTCTCTTTTTGGCACTTTCCTGAAACAGGAGGAACGAGATTGTTCACCGTGAATCAGGACTACTTTTCGGTACAGTGGGGGGCCCTCAACCCCGCCGGTATGTGCCCGGCGCATCGAGCGGCGCTATTCAATGTACAGAATTACTTGGTGATTCAGTCGTGCCCCGCAATTTCACCGGCGCTTTTCAGGGCCACCGGCGCTACACTTGTTATCGACCGGCGTTGTGTTGTTGACGCCCCCCCACTGTATCCTTGTTTGTGTGCAGGCATCTGCACAAGAGCTACCGGATGGAGAGCTGGCTGGCCAACACCGACGCGCATGTGATCAGCGTGAGTCCTTCCTTCCCAACAAGCTTTTCTTGGGCTTTGCTCCACCTTGCGCATGCGGGTGTTACCTCGCAGTCTGTCCCGCCCCGCGCAACAACCCACCCATGCCCTTTCTTTTCGAATTTTCGACCACTTATACAACTACCCCTCCACGGGTCGCCTTGCCTTTGCTTTATTGCACCTCGTCCTTGCCGTGCGGCGCGTCTGTCTCTGTTTGTCGCTACCGGTGGCTGCATCGGGCGGGATGTTGCACATCATACCCCTCGATTACTAACTACATCAACCGCGCGCAGGGTTCCGAGGACGGGCACGTGTACATTTGGGATATCGTGGAGGGCAAGGTGACGAGGACACTCAAACACCACCGCCGTCCCGTGTGCAGCATGTCCTACCACCCCAGCGAGCCTATGCTCCTCACGGCGTCTTACGATGGTTCGGCGGTGCTTTGGGCTCCATAAGGCAAAAGACGTTGTTCATAGTTCGAGAGAAGGAGTGTGGTGTGATGGTGGTTCACTTGTCCATCGTGTCAACGTTCGCCGTCCTGTGGCCTGATGCGTACATCGTCAGCAGAGAGAGCCAGACTGATTTTCGCGGTTCCTGTGAAGCGCGAGTAAAACTTTCTTCTCCGTTTGTGCTGTTTTCTTGCTCCCTTCTATGTAGCGGTATGCAGATTACGAAGTGTGCTGCGCGCAAGCAGACACGGGTTTGTTCTGGTGTGTGTTGAGAGAACCTTAACCTCAAGACTTGGCGGAAAGACAGCCGAGGATTCACGTTCTTCGTTTTACGGCGGGATCGCGTCATCAAAGACTGGTTGATTTTTCGGTGGGGGCTACAACAGACCATCATACGCAACTCCCGCACCCACACCCTTACGGCTTCCCTCGGCCTTGGGCTAGGCTTCTCTTCTCTTTTCTGTGACGACGGCGTTCGCTTTGGCACGACCGAGGGGTCCATGTGCTCGTCGTCATCGTCGCGAGTGTTGTATGTATCTGCAGATCGGTTGGACTATTTCCACGCAGTGTTGCGATTTGAGGTTGCCGCCCATGGCATTAGCTCACGACAACAGTCGGCAGAACCTTGTCTAGTCTAGGCATTTCAACCGCGAAAACACGGGGGGAAAGGCGCACGAGACCCGATCAAAAAGCACGAACGGGTCATCACGAAAGCAAGGTTTGGTATCTTGGGTGTGGATATGTTTGTGTCTTGTTATTCATCGTTGGCTGTGCACTTTCTCCTACTAACCAACAGCTGTTGTTCTCTTTCCCGTAGCAGTGAGCGGCAAAACCAAATGATGACTCTCGACTTCCCGTGACTCAACATAGCTCCACAGACTGGCCTACAAACAATGTATCGTATCTAGTAGGAGCAAGGACTTTTATCATACTAATAGGATCGTTGTGGCAGTGCCGCAACCGAAATTGGCTTGAGGCACGACACATCAGTGAATCAAAACCTCCAGATTTGCAATGCAAGCCTTCATAGGCTACCTCATTGAACCTAGACCCATAACGACCACATCCGACATCACAGCCGCCGCTGTTTCTTAAATCTATCAACCAACCGTTCATCACACCCCAAACGGAAATCGCCACGCCACCTAGAGCAGAATTCAGGACTTTTTGCCTGCGCTGCTCCAGCATGTGCTTAACCAAACATGACGAAAAACAGTCACGAGACACAACTCACCTCAATCCACGAACCTCTGCTGCCAGAAAGAAGCGTCTTTCCCACCCCAACCTCTAAAAAATGGAAATGACAGCATGTATTTTACTTGCTGCAGCGGTTGCATACCCGATATATACACGCAAACCCGCGCACGTTTGTTGTCGAACGCGGAAAAACATGACTTGTTCAACACAGCCCGTACCCATAACCACACGACCACGGTCCTCAGGCCACCTCCACCTCTACACGGCCATCAAAATCTCCGCCCGGTCCGCAGAGAGGGAGAGCTCTTGGACCAACCACTGAGCGCTATTAGATGGTACGAACAAAAGACCCGCGCGGGCAAAAGGGTCACAATGCTTACCCTCTCTCTGTTACACTTGCGTGTCCATCTCCTACGGGGAGCATTCTGTACTCGTTTTTTTTTGTTTTGGCTTCCAGCCAAATGCAGTAATTTTTATCTTTGCTCTTCGTCAACAACGGGGCCGTCAATCTCCCCCAATCCCAAGCGAGCCCCTTGGACTCTGCGGGGGTGCCACCCGCCAATTCGGCTTCCCAACTCACTTATTGTAGTATACACGCACGCTGTCTGTGCGAATGCAACCAGGACAACGTATAAGTAGCTTCCAAATCTCTCGCCCCCCCCCCGCGCGGGGATCTACGCCATGTCCGCAAAAATTTCCCACGTAGCACGTATTCAATGCCCACTGCACAACGGCCAAGAGGGGCGCAAACACCTGCGCGTACCGCTCTCAAAGGGACCACACGTACATCTGTCGGAGGCTCTAGGTTATCTCTGTCCCTGCTGCTCTTGTGCTACGTTCCCGTGCTTGGGGGGTGCAGAGAAACCACGAACCGAAAACACCACGCCAGAAGGTCTCACGAGCTGTCTTTGGCCACCAAGACCCCTGTACGCAATGACAACCGCGTTTGTGACGTATAGACTACAACCCCAGCCGTGACTGAGCTTTAGGAATAGTACGTCAAAGGTCACAAATAAAACGCACGCCTTAAAAGCCTTGATGTGACCAGCCGGCGCAACTGCCTGCGTGTCAGTGCTTCTCAGGTCGGGGACCAAAAACCCTTCCAACATGTCCGCTCGCTCGGCCATCCTGGTACCACGGATGGGCGGCCTTCCATCCCAGTAGCGCCTGTCTCGCAAGTCACCAACCCCCCACCCATGCATACATAGCCCATTGCCTTCCCGTCCTTCGTGCCTTCCACAAAGGTGCAGGCTAGCGTGTGCGGTCTCTCCCACTCTTCGGCAGGCGTTCTGCAGGCTAGCCCACATGAGCGGGCCACGTTCCCCTACCCCGCCAACAAACTCGGCAAAAACTGGCCTCCGCGCCCGGCCGCGTCTATAGGCGCCAAGGAGACACATGCTTTCGGACGCCTCCATCCAAGTCACGACGGTCCAGCAGCAACAGTAAGCAGCAAGCAGCTCCAATAGTATCGGGTTCGGTGACGCCCCATATATTTCCCAACAACCGATGGGCTGATCGATTTTAACGGTGTACCACCTCACCCTTCTTTTCCGTCTTCTTCGCCACAGGAGCGCCGCCCAGACCGCCTTCGTCCCCCTTGGGCATGGCGGAACCACTGGCCATAGCGGGCACCATTTCGCCTTCCGCGGGATCGGCCTGGCGGTCCCCGTTGGCCACCGTGGACAAGATGGTCACCCAGATTATCTCCATGCAGTCGATGAACAGAAGCTTGAGGTCCTTGGGGATAGCGTTGCTGAAGGAGCAGCAGTGTATCAAGGGCCAGAACCGCCAGCTGGAGGTCAAGGCTGGCCACGCCTTGCTCTTCACCTCACCCCAAACCTGGTTGTGTTAGCGGAGATACAGAAGCAGATATATGCTGTTGCAATGCCGCGTGTTGGGCGTCATCTCGCGAACGGCTATTATAGACATGAACTTGAAGCGGTAAAAACCAAGCGCAGAGCAAGAGAGAAAGCGCAAAGGGCACTTGCTGCTCAAAAAAGCTTCGGATACCTCCACTATCGCCCATCTCGTCCCGAAGCTGATACTCCCGACCATGAGGGATAGGTTTCGGTCAAGGGTTGGGTTAGAGTTAGAGTCGGGGCAATCAAGCGGCGCTCACCTCTTCCTTCGGCAACCCCTGCAGGCTCATGATCATCGTCGAGTAGGCCGCATTCAAGAACACGGACCACACAGTCTGGTCCGCGATAACCTTGGGGATGAAATTCCACCACGCCCCATCGAAGTCCTTTTTGTACGCCGGCAAAGGAACGAGGGTGCGAAAGTTAAAACAAGGTCAACATCAAGGGCAGAGCGACAGAGAGAGGTGTGCCGTGTCTATATCTGGGGCAGCGAAGATCGAGACAAAAGCATGAATCAATTGCACCGTACTTTTTGCCAGGTGCAAAGGCTGAGGGTAAAGAACACCCTCTGATCCGGTAGTCTCCACGGCATCCGAACCGGAGGAAGCGTGAGATCATGTCTATCATGTCTCGTCTGTCAACAAACATTGCGCGAGGCAAGCTGTAGCTCCTGCAACCACCACAAGGACCGCAGCAGCGCAGTTCAGTTAGAATATTCCCCCTCTCCCTCCATACCTCGACAGCAGTACCGTCGAGACGTTCAACCTTTTCTCAATTCTACTCTACAGGCTACAGCAACAGCGCGCGAGTCGTACGAACACTGCTGCTGCTCACCAAATAGGTCTGCATGAGCTCGATCCAGAAGTGGCACAGAGGGCCGTGGATGAGGAGGCCAGCTGTCGCCGACCGTGCCGTACGCATCAAGTCCATATCTTCGAGGGTCTTGCCCTGCGCAACGCCATGGCGACGTCATGCAGCGCAGCAGCAGTAGCGGCGAGGCGATTAACATCTATTGAACAGGACGGTAAACGTCGAACCCGCTCCGGGATTGTTGGCAATCTCAAGGGCAGGCGGGCTACTGTACGTTCCTCGTCCCTCACAACATGTTTCTGTAGTGTTGGATGCACGACAAGCGGTATGTACTAAATAGGAAAATAAATACGCTCACAGAAAGACTACCCATTCGAGATATAACCCAATACATATTGTAGGGACAAATTGTAACGAGGCCATCAGAACTAGCCAAGGAAGATCCATTTTTCATACTACGAAGCTCGTGTGGTGTTTTGTTTCGGTCAGCGGCAGCATTGTCCGTGGAAAGAGGAGAGCAGACGTTCGATTCTCCCTTCTCCCGGCAAGACACGCGGGTACGGAATGATTTATTACCGTGAAGAGCTGCGCCGTGAAATCGCCCAAGCCGTACGCGACGCAAGAAGTGAAGGCCTTGGTGACGATGGGACTCTCCGAAACTGTTGCCTCGTAACGGTAAAAATTATCCCCGGGTACCCTGAAGACCGGACAAAAGCGGGGGCGTATAAAAAATCCGACGTCACATCACGAAGCAGATGAACCGTGTCTGCGCATGAGCTCGGCGTGTTGGAAGTTGATCTGTCTTCCCCTCTTGCTGTTGGCCAAGCTTGTGCTGACGCGACCCTCCTTCCCTCCCCACTATAAAAATACCATTAATATTAATAGGGGATGGGAGACTGTACGAATGCTCCATAGATGATAAAAAACAACGATCTATTACATTACATCTACTGCGGTCTAGTCTAGACCTAACGCGAAGAGGTTTTAGGAAGCCAGTGCGAGAGCGTAAAACAGCACAAGTACCACGGTGTTCGGCCAGCCTGTATGATGTGATACGGAATGAAATAAAATACGAAACACGGAGTGGCGACGTACCGCAGGAACACTACTTCGTGTAAGAGGGCGAACGCATCTCCTCTGGAAATCATCTCATCGAACGGGCAGTCTTCGTGTCATGGGTATACAACAAGTGCAAACTTCTAAAACCATCAAGTTACAATACACACTCTACTGATCAACACACTTACCGGAGCAGTACCTCGTACCACGTCCACCCTCTCGCGATGTCGCCGTCGACGGTGGCCAGCTTGAACGCCGCGAATGCCGCGAAGAGGAACACGACGGCAGCGTTCAAGAAGAAGGTGAGCTTCGCCGGGTCGTTGTTGATCTGCGAGAGCTTCTTCTGCCATTCCGCCGGAAGCGCGTCTTGAAGCGGGGCTGGCATGAAGGGCTCCACCTCCTCGTCGCCCTTCTGCTCGACATAGAGTGGAAATAAGCAAGATCGAGGATATGCACAAAGCATGGGCGCGATGAGTGCGATCTCCTCTCGTATGCGTACAATATGCATCGTAAAAACAGACCCGCCTAGGATGGTGTTATGCGGGTGTCTAGGCGTGTATCAACCAGACGAGTTATTCGGTCTAGACTTTCAGTCTACTCGTGCACTTTCAACCAGGTTTATCAGATCGAAAACGCAGACGGGTTGGGACGTTGGGATATCAAAAGTGTTCATACACTATTTTCTTAATACGACACAACGAATCCATCCCTATCGTATATCTACTTCGTTGAAAAGAGTTTAAGGTAGAATAGTAATGAATCTAAGCCTCAGAGGAGGCTACCTGTATTTCCACGATTTCCCGAGCAACACACAGCGTATCTGTAGTCGGTATTCACGCATGCGGCGGTGGCTCAAGTATTACTCCGGCTGTACACGGCGATCGGTGTGCTTCACAGCTAATGCTGTACACGAAATCTACAGCGGTCCATAATTGATGTGCATACTTGCTGTAGTCTGCAGCAAAACAAGCTTGTACTTGGTGCTTTGTACACAGCAGTATTTTAGTATTTTGGATTTTGGATCAGCGTAATTAGAACTCGCTGCTTTGGCTCCATTTCAGCGACGATGCGCAGGTGACTGCCGTCTGCTGTGACACCACTGATGTACTGTACTGGTGGCTTGAGGGTTCGGGTGACCGAGCGCTGTTGCCACGTAACGTTTTTGGTTTCTAGCAAGGGTGCGCTACACGAAGTGCGACATGGAGTGAAGGAATAATAAAAACACACACAGAAAGACTACCCATTCGAGATATACCCGCGACATGGAGTTGGACGAATTATGCGGTCTAATTGCGCCGCAATTATGGCGATGTCCAGGGGGGCAGGGGGGGCATCAGGGTTGCCGATTTTCGTCAGCTTGGGAACACAAACACTGACCGTCAGGGTACCGATCGAGGGGCAACAACGAAGTAAACCGGCGTCTCCAGGAGATAGGTTCTACTGCTGTAGACCACATGCACTTGCCACATGCAGCACCACCCCCACGCGCATCCCTTGCCGCAGTCGAAGCCCTGCCTCGTCTTCAACGTGTTAAGACTACAACATATGCACAGCGTAGTACGTGTTGCTAAAGTGCGCGACTCGTCAAAGCGTTACGACAACTTTGACATGCACCCTCGTGTCTGCTTTCGGAAAGCAAGTCTATGTGGAAATCCTCTGCGAAATACTTAGAATACTGCTGCCTCTTACACAGACAAGAGGGCAACGCTACTGGTGATGCTGGCACTGCTGCAAGGCAGCTGCTTGTTCTAGGTAAGATTTATTTAGTCCCAGATTCAACATTTCAACAGCTGGGTGATGTGTCTAAGATCGAAGTTCGGTCCACACCGGTACCGATAGCAGCAGAGCAACGCGTGTTCATGAGAGATGGGATGGTATAACCACACGGGTCAAAGGGGCGAAGACTGAGGTTGCGTTTTGGTACAATGGGCCATCGCACTCATTCTTCGTTGGCATGGCTGGTCGGATGACTCGGGTGACGGGGACCGCTTTTGAATTGCGCAATATTTTTAGTTCAATCTCGGCTCCTGTGAGACTCCACACCATCATTTTCACCCAGGCAATCAACATCCCTCCAAACGAAGACAGAGATGGAGAGCCCGCCGTCAACAACAACTCACAAGAGAACTGGACGCTTCCCCGGCATCTTCGACGGCAGCCATCATCGAGAGCTTGCCAGTGCTGCTGCCGCGGCCCCTCTGCCTGCTTCTCCTTGATCTCCCCCAATCTTCCCAAGCCGACGGCAATTCGGAGACAGAATGGGCAGCTGCCCCCGGCCCATACCCGTGGCTGCTGCGCTCTCGAACACCAATCCGGCGGCCGCGTCCCGTGGAAGAAGCCGCCGATTGGTGGCTGGCGCGTGGTCGCGCAAGCCAAGACTGACCATGTGCTGGCGCAAACGCGAGGTGGTTGCGAGCGCCACTGCTGCTGCTGCTGCTGCTGCTGCTGCTGCTGGTGGTGAAAGCTTCGGCCGCGGTGTGCCTACAGCAGAGGCTCGCTGCGACGAGCCCCAGGGCGGCGGCGGCGGCTCTGGTTGTTCGCTGCCTGGTAGGCACCATGGTATAAGAGCGCAGGTGCGATGTCACGCGTCGGAGGTCGGGCCAGCGCTGGTAGGTGTGGGAACCCTGGATGTGTGTCCGAAGAACCTATGATATGCTGCTGCTCACGTTCTGCGTATGTGTGTGGAACCACGTCACCATCTGTTCGCCAAGAAGGGAAAAAAAAAAAAATCCTTGGGTCGAGGGGGAGAGTACTGTCAGTCCTGGTTGGTCTCGCGGTCTGTACTCTCTGCCAGCCTGCCTCTCCTCTCTCCTGTGCTGTTTATTTTCGCCACATCTTCGCCCGCAATGCCGTAAAAAACTCTTGTTGGTTGGGCCCGAGGGTCGTCTCTAGACTAGACTTTACGTTTATTTACTCTCCCAGGGACGAGTAATTCCAACATCGAATACGTATGTACCAGGTATAGGTTTTAGTGTGGTAGACTATGTGTATACTGCTGTTACAATTTATTAACTTTTACGATTATCGTGCATCGTTTGGGCGTCCCACTATACAACGTACGTTCGAAGTGTAGTACTTGCTTGTCCGCGGAGACTGACTGTGTTATTGGTCCTACAGGCGCCGACGAGCTCCAAAACCTTCACCCGACACCCTCTTCTGAGATATTTGCTCGTGAGAGAAGAGGGGAAGAGATTGATTTGCTGAACCTCCGTTGTTATTTTAGTACTACTCTGTACGCATCAGGTATTCTCCTCTACCATCGTAGTCAATGCCATTCAGTGCAAAACCTGCTCTATCATGTGTCTGTTGGCACGTTCCGGGTGTTTCTCCGACTTTGTGGTGTTCGATCTTACTTCCTCTTCCCTCTTCTGTCATCTCACCGGCCTGTTTGGGTATCTAAGCTATCCTGTAATCATCCCTTGGATACCGCGTGGACCAATCTGTCTATTGTGTGCATCTGTGTGTGTTGGCCAAGTTCTATGGCATAGATCCAGCTGCTGTTCTTGCCAAATTCTTACTCGAGTCCAACCAACCCCAGTCGAAAAATTCTCTTTTTTACTGCGTGCCGCGCGATCCACATCGGTTTGTATGTCCTGTAGTGCCAGAGAGTGTTTCAGAGAGGTGGATATATTTTGGCCATATTTTCTTGTGCGGGAGCGAGTGCAACAATAGCATCGATATGACCACTCAGTCTTGTGAGCAGCACGTGGCGGGGACTCTGCCGCTGCATGTCGTGGGCGCGGGGAGAACCATGAAGGAATTGATTGGGGCGAGCGAGCGTGACTATATGTACAAGTGTACAGAGTAGATCCAGAGGCAACTTGATGAGCGTGCTTCCACCACCGGCGCGAGTGAACATCATTAGACTTCACATTGTAGTCCATTTTGGATGGCTAAACTGCGGCGGCTTTCCAACAACAGTAATGATGTACCAAATTGTTGCTTTTTCTTCACCGTCCCAGAGGAATACAATATAATCACCACACGAGCGAGCGTCTTCAACATGTGAAGAGACTGCACACTGTAGTAGGACAACAAAGGAAAGAACGATTGAACTTGCTCGGTCATCTGAAACACGTTTGAACGCTCAACACGAACGACATTTGCATGAGAACGCTACACAGATTAGATACTTGTCACCAATATAAACTTGGTTCACCGCAACGCATACACAAGAACTGCCTACCGCGACCAGAAGCACATCGGGAACATGCCACACACACACCCCGACGACCAAAAAAGTATTGGTGAAGGCACGACATTGATAGAGCAAGCGTCCAACACAGGCAGCAACGCCAAGTTAATGCGCAAACAAGGCAGCGCTTTCTGATAAGGGTATTTCTGTCGGCAGGCAGGTTCTGTCAGAAACGTCGCAAATCAGATGTGCCTACATCAACCTCCCCAGGACCCGCACTGAGCTTGCTCGATGCCGATGTAATTGTGTTGTATCGGCATACCACGTTGTATTGTTGTTTGGGTTAACACATCCATACTACAAGAAGACGCGAAATCTACCGTATACTGCGGTAGGATACAAATCTGAATCTACCATCATGATGATAAAATCTCCATCTCCCTCACGCCAGACCACTGGAATCAATCAACACCTTGAGACCACAGGCAGTGCAGCCGGAAGGCCACTCCACGCCGCACGAAAACCAACAAAATCAGGCGAATCTCGAGGTGACGTCCCTCTCTGTTTCTCTCCCTCTCACGTGAGCCAAAGCTCGTGCACATCGTCTGGGGCGTACACCTTTCCGCACGCTGGGCACTTGCGGTTTCGACTCTGCGTGTTGATTGGATGCAAAAAAAAAATGAGAAGGGCAGGGGGTGGAGTCACATTAGATTAAGAGATATTCCGTGATCCCGTACAAGTTGTGTTGAGGACATCGACCTTTCAGAGTCGACGGAATGGGTCTAGATTTGTACGACGCTCACATTCATGAAAGACCACACGTCCCTGTTGGGGAAAAAAAAAAAGGCCATGTGTCAAGTACACCAATTCCCCTTTGGGTGTTTGCTTGAGAAGGGGGTTTTCGTTTACATGTACTGCTGTACCTTGATGCTCTTCTCGAGGCACCCGTCGCAGAACATGTGGAAGCACTTGGTGATGACCCTGTTCTTTTTCTTGTCCTGGCACACGGAGCACTTGATCATCTGGTGCATGAATCAAAACCAGCGAGACCAAAGAGACAGGCAGGGATGCAAGCGAAAGAAGGAAGTGGGTGAGAGATCAAATGAAGAGGATTTTGTGCATGGTCTGGTACGAGATTGAATGACGTAGGCCTGGGGATAGGCACACAGCAGGGTAGGTGGGGCAACAAACGACAGTCACGTCTGTCGCGATCAGGTGAGGGTTATGGTCGTTCTGTCTTACCAAGCCAGGATAAGACACAAAAAAAGACGGGGCCGACACCCACACCTGTAACGTTTTCTTTATTCTTCTGCTGGCCGAGTGCATCAGCGCGTCCCAAATCGTCGCGCTCCACCCAACAACAGGTGAACTGACGTCCACGACAAGTAATCAAGCGCACCCGTGTTTATGATGGCAAAGCCTAGAGTGTAACCTGCCGCACTACAAGGCCTGCCACAAACCACCTCTTAAGCTTCGTGCACATGCCGTAGAACGCAAAAAATACACGACACGGCCGCTACGTGGCGGTTCTGTTCGGCTTTGACCTTTGACTATAGAACGCTTGTCGGTGCAGAGGAGATCGATCCTCTTGCATATCTGAAGAAAAATCGAATGCAAATTTACTTCCCTGCCTCGCCTTACACGTCGCACGAAACACGTGGCCATCGCGACGCCTCTTGTCGGTTACTGTTTACTACATTAGTGGTTTCAACGTTAACCGGCACCAGCCTCGTCTACAACAGACCTACGTAACATTAACGGCCATGCGACAAGCGGCACTTTCAGCGGCACGTGGAAAAAACAGACCGCGACAACCCTCGTCTACCCAGCCCTTCAAAACCCACCATCAAGCAATGCCCATCAAATGCACCCTTCACCTTTCGGAGCTCGCCTAGCTCGGCATCCCTCATCTCGTTGTCCTCCTCCTCCACCTTGCTGAGGCTATTTGTGTTCTTGGCCGTCTCCTTCACTTGCTCCACCAGCTTGGCGTTCAGGCTCCGAGACTTCTCAAGCCTTCTCGTGAGGGTCGCCACCTGCTCCTTGGTGGAGTTGACCTCCTCCTCCACCTTCCCCACCTTAGAGTTGAGCTGCTCGCAGTGCACCTTCAAAGCGCTGTTTGTTCCGTTTGGACAATTCAAGGTACAACGTAAGGTGGTTACGTTAGGAGGGCATGCCGAACACAACAAACACTCCACAATGGCAACGGTAGAAGAATGCGTGGAGAGAGGTTGTTGCACAGGGAAGCAAAACAAGGGCGGGCGGGGGGGGGGGGGGGGGGGGGGAAATC